ATGGACATATATTTATTTAATGATAATATCGATTTCTAAATCTATTACGTCGTTGAGTGATACCTATATTGGCTGCTTGTTCAATGATTATTAGTTAATTGATCGGGTCAACTCAGCTCTTACATTTCATCGTCTTCAATTGTTTCATGTCAGTAATATATTAACTAGCCTATTTTTAATAAACCAATCATTTATACAAATGTCTTGTCCATTTTTGTTTTAAGTAAATATGAACAGTTACTGGTAGTGCAAGTCATTATTATATTTAAGTCTTTTCAGGTGTATCTAACTATTCGAAGACATAAAATTAAAATATTACAGAAGACTGGTTAGCAGAGATGGATAGTGGCTAGCAGTGGAATCCAGGGCGCGCGTTTCGTCCTATTTGGGACTCGTCAGCTGGATGTACCTGCATCTCAGAGTTGATGTTCACTCTGGGACTCGAACCCAGTACCCTCGCTTCAAACGCCATTGCGTTATCCACTCGGCCACTGAGTCCTGATGGCCACTTGCTTGTGCAGCTACATCTAGCTGACGAGTCCCAAATAGGACGAAACGCGCGTCAAACTGGATTCCACTGCTAGCCACTATCCATCTCTGCTAACCATGCTTGTGAATTAAGGTATATCGAGGCAATATGCACAGTATGCACATATGCCAATTAGAGACTGACCAGTTGCAGTCCTAACAAATCGATGGGAAGATTCAAACAAACAATACTAAGTTGAATTACAGAAAACTGTTTCATAAAATCTATATAACCAGTAGACTATATTGACAAGCGTAACAGATGTGTTAGATTCTATGATTAGTAAAACGGAAATTCACAATTTTTCTTTTGTAATAAAGCTTACATTTAGATTCATTTTTAAGTAAAGTGTTCAGTGTAATTCACTCATCTATGAATCTCTCATTAATAGCTAATAATACTAACCGAGGGTCTAAACCAATGTAGCTGCAGTCAGGTTAGAATCTACGACTCAATTGGTTGATTGGTTAATCATTAAGCCACACATTACAGATTTTGCTTTGACTTAAATGAAGTTTGATAAAAATTTATACCAATAATCTTCTGTGAATATGGAATTAAATTTTACAGGAGTGCAGAGGATTAGTACCAGGAACTTCAGACTAATGTAGCAGAGACTAATACATTCATTTACAAATCACTATCTCAGTTCTTCTTAGTATACACTAAGTTTAAGATAAAATCATATATATATATATATATATATATATATATATATTTGGTTATAACATTGGTAAACATCTAAATGAATTGACCTTGCTGAATAGTTGTTGTGACCTAATTTTGTGATGACATATATACATATGAGTATGGATGTTTGCCAAACCAAGAAAGCGATTCTTTCATAAACACCTAACATCTGTCGTACTGATGTTGTATGTATCATGTTACGAAACAAATTTCAATGATTTCCTTAACATTATTAAGCTAAAAGCATTAGTCAATTGAAGCTAGAACACCAAGGAAAACCTGAAAGCACTAGACAGCCGTTTCATCGGATGCCAGCTCAGTGGTCTATCGGTTAAGTGCTCTGGCGTGAGACTGGTAGTTTCTGCGTTCGAATCTCGTGAGGCGAAGTCGTGGATGCTCGCTGCTGAGGAGTCAAACGGTAGGACGAAACAGCCGTCCATTGCTTCCAGGTTTTCCGTTGTGGTCTAGCTTCAATTGACTAATGCTTTCACCTATGAAAATATTGAAATCTCCACAAAACTCCTTATAAGCGTTAAAACTAATAAACATACCATTATTATTAGTAGTATGTACCGTTTGAAATGTAGTCAACTCATTAACATTGAAAAAAATATTTCTACACTGATAGCCTCAAATTGTATCATTTTGTATGCCAATAAAAATTACAAAAAAATACATAAATATTGTAAATTATTTTCAATGGTCAATATTATTAATTGACTTTATTGTTTTGTTTAATAAATTTTGATGAAATTTCGAAGAATAAAGATTAGTATTTAAATGAGATTAAAATTAATTCAAGGTGAGACTATAATTTATGGACGATGACGACCTTTGAGCGAATCTTAAGTGACCTTGAGAAATATTAGCTAAACAGTCAGTATAGAGTAAAAATATGTTATACAACACCAAATAATTAAAATGGATACACTTCTTTTATATGGTCCAAAACTATTGAAGGTTAGGAAGAGTTTCAATGGTTCTAAGATCGTAATGCATAAGGTAGAGGAACTCATACATATGGCTCCGTAATAATCGGTCTCTGGAGCCATAACAGTCACAAAAACTCTATAAGCCTCAACCACATAGCTTTAGTATTATTTGTTTGTACTCTGGTTGTGTAAGTTTATCATATTTATTATGAATATGTACCTACAATACTCATACCACTGAACAGCTGAAGTTTCAGTAACATCTGCAATCATTGCAGCCAATGTCACTGGTGCTTTTATTATACAGTTCACGGCAATTATCATAATATGCCTTAGTCTCAATCTGGATAGAGCGAAAAAAGTTCCTATTCAAGCAAACGTCTTTCTCTAACATATGTTACATCGAAGGAAAACATCACGGTAGCCTTCACAAAATCTACAAGCCATTTGATAACCGCAATTACAAATAAAGGAACTTCTTAATAGTCCCAATTATTGTAGTCGCTTAATTGTCACCTCTTCTTTTAAATCCTCTGTGAATCGATTGTACATCAGGTACTGAATCAGGTACTGAAATTGGCGCCGTGACCTTGAAACCCCTCAGACGCTTCTGATTGGCTCGTCCATAAATTATAGTCTCGACTAATTCCGTTATCCTTGTATATTATTTATTTAGTATTATTAATTATCCAAATTATTAAAAAGTATTAGATCATATTTTTATATTTATTTCAATAATCGTTTGTTTATGTCAAAAATCATGAAGTCAAGTAATCGAATATGCGTGTTTTTTCTGTTTTTGTTGTTGTTTTTTGTTTTTCTTGACTATTATATGACATTCTATGAACTTTGCATGCTTCATTCGTAGACTTATCTTTGACATCATCAATATCAATGTCATGATCAATTGATGCACAGTTTAAATGTTTGGTTTGGAATGACTAGTGATTTTGATGACCTTCATATATATATATATATATGTAAACTAAGATTTTTCATTATTTTATACTTTCAATTATATTTGTCGGGTTCAGAATTTGAAGGAATGAATGACTAAATTGACAGTAATGTAGAAAATTGTAAGCCATTTATAGTCGTTAAGAAATCCTGTATCACAGTTTTGTGCTATTCGGCACACGGTGATAAGGCTTATCGGCAATCTTGAAATGACTGATGCTGTCTGTTGAATTAAAATCTGTATCATTTAATTTCATAAAATGAGACGTTACCATCTGAGATGTGCAGTTTGACGGATATCAAAGACATGAACAAGCATGACATCGGTTGCTACTCTCTAGTCATTCGACTAATTATAAGTGTACTAGTTCTTTAGTAGGTCAGGTTCAACCCAAAAAGTCCAATGGCTGAGTCTCAGACTAAGATGCATGGTGACGTTGTTTTAAGTCCCACAGGGATCAACAGTTCTCAAGACTCAAGATATACGTTGCTGATGAGTACGAATGAACACAAAACCTATGTCAACCGGAGTTTACTGCCAACTGGCTATCTCCAATTACCTAATATTTCAACACACTACACTCAATGTTGACTCGTGTAGACTAGTGACAACTTTGATTGACAAATTCTATCAGTACTCAAAGAACTGAACAAATATGACATTAGTTAATACTCAGAAATCAATCAATGGAATAATCATAACGTGAAATATTAACACTAATTAAAGTTGCGTGTTATGGTCCCACGATTATATAAATATTCCGTAAATTTTTCTAGTCTAGTGACTTGAAATACCGAATTCTAATGTCTTGGAGAGGTTACTGCTCTTGTAACTTTCAGATTGTGAACCATTCTACCATGTGGTTCTTCAAATAACTTTTTCTATACATTGTTCTACTAGAAAACAACTCAACACATTAATCCAGGCAATAGGATAAACAGTAACCTACATTCTTATGTAGGATTGACAATTATTACTTTTCAAAGCTTAGATTATACACACTTCGTGAATGTAATCGTAATCTTTTCCTTATGCTCAACAATTTTTCTCACCCTTTACCACTGACATGCGTAACAGTTTTGACTGATTTACACATCTGGCATATTCTACTTTCTTGATGATTGAGTAGGTAACTGACTGACTTATATAATGGAAGATGAATCGTTATTTTTTCCTTCATTGGCTAATACCCTCAGGATAGTTAGGCTATATAGCAGAAATACTAGAACTCATAAAATAATATACAATACTAATACAGTTATTTTTTGACATCTTTCATTAATGTCATTCCATTCGATGTTCGTTTTCTGTTGCATCTACTTTTGTATCCATTTATACGTGTCGCTTTTTAGTTGAATACCTAAATCATCATTTTCAACCGTGATTATCTTCATCTTCAGTAAGACTTTAAAACTTTTCACAGTTTTACTTTATTTATTGTTATCCGTTATTATCATGTACTGAATCCATATCAATGCGCATTTTTATTTTGAAGATTGGTATGCAGATTGTTTTGTAGGACAACTGACCAATGTTAATTCATAATCTGTTCACTGATATCTTTTTTACGTTATCAGTATATCATCATGAATAAAGATGAAACCTTATCAAAATGTTCTCATATCAATATGTACATTGCGTCATGTTTTTCTCTATACTTGTCGCATAAACATATACATATTTTTCTGGAATCACATTGTTTACCAGATATTTTTACTAATGTCTTCAATGAGTCACATTCATGTTTCTTTCAGTTTGCAGAAGCAACATCTATTATCGATCACTTCATTCACAACATAATTTAAATTATTGATGGTTTTTAAAGTAGAAAATACATCACACACAACTTTTTCAAGTCTATGAATCAATTGTTCGTTTTCTTACATTTCAGAACAACTTGAGAATCGGTATCGTGAATGTCGGTGCTCCAGCTTGCGGTATTAATGCAGTAATAAGAGGATTTACTCGTTTGGGTATCACTAAAGGTTATAAGATTATCGGAATACACGAAGGATTTTCCGGGCTTGTTAAAGGTGATGCTAGTGAAATACAGTGGGCTGATGTCCGTGGATGGGTGGGAATGGGTGGTTCTATGTTAGGAACACGTAGGTATGTAATCTGTATTGTCAAATAATACTGTAATTTGGTTTTTTGAAACTGGACTTTTGTCGAAATGTTTAAACTACTGTTAATTTATAAGTAGCCGCAAACTGTATCATCATTTTTGTGACCGGACTGACCTTGTCTTCTATGATTAGTTGCCAGTTAAAGATAGCATATTTTACCTGTCCTATGTAATGCTGTATAGACTGAATGGAGTATTATAGCTATGGCGACAAGTTTTGAATTTGATATTTTCTCAGTAATATCTGATGAGTGACAGTTTTGTTGAAAAGTTGTTTATCAGCTCCTAATAGCACAACAGCATTTGAAATGATGAGTAATACCTTTCACGTATTTAAGTAATTTATATCACCTTATAATCCAACACCTAGATATTTCAATTGTAAGGCGTTTAGAAATATTGAAGCCTAAAATAAAAATATTACAATCTGTCTAAAACAGGGAAAATTAACATTTATCATCTATTGAACTTTATGAATGTTGATCATTCATTAGGATAACGCACTTAAAACACCGTGGAGCAACATTATTGTTGTCGGCGAATCACTCAAAACTTTAATTTTAAGGTTAATACTAACTTTTTCATTTTTAGTATGGTTTTATAGACTGTTAATATACTTTTATTTTATTTATTAGAGAAGAATTGTTGGAAATATTCGATTCATAAGGATAATGTTTGAGATAAATTTAAAATTGTCATCTAAATACATCTTTCATCGAAGCATTTCACTTTCGTGTCGCAAAAAATTAAACATTTGACTCAATCTTGCTTTCAGAACTGATAGAAGTCAGATAGATTGAAAATCCAATCGGTGCATGACTTGAGTCATAAAGTTACTTTAGCCCTACATAACCGTATTCTTGTCTTGTACTTCATGGTTTTGTTTCTACATGCTAAATAAGTTTGCTTTCATTTTTATACTTTATTTCAATTATCTAGAGATACACCGAATGGTTTAGGTATAGATAAAGTAGCGGCGAAATTTAAAGAATTCAAATTAAGTGGTCTACTTATTATTGGTGGCTTTGAAGCGTACGAATGTATGATAGAACTGGTTGAAGGACGTGAAAAATATCCTGAATTATGTATACCTATGGCTATGGTACCAGCGACAATTTCTAATAATGTTCCTGGTACTGATTTCTCTTTGGGTTGTGATACGGCTTTAAATGAAATAACCTCTGTAAGTTATGTGTGTATTTTCAAGTTTTATATTTTTTTCTGATTAGCAATTTAATATCGTTATTAGCTTGAAGAAATCAAAAAGAAATTAAAAAACTAGAGATTAGCGGTTACATCCTATTTTACATCACTTTAGCGATGTGCTGGGAGGGGGCCCTGTTCTTTCTGTTCTCATTGTAAATATGATACATTTAGATCGCGAAGATCGAGATAAAACCATACTCTTATAATTGCAATAAAGTAAGTATTTTGTTTCACTACTAATGTGAATCGCAATAAACTTGATTATTTGCTTATCACCCTTAATAATCCAATCAAGAAAACGTTTGGAGTGGGTATTTTGATGTTTACTTTCATGAAAGACTGCTATTGTCGCTGGTGGAACCATTCAAAATCAAACTGTATTGATATATTTGGATTTAGATATACAACGATATTCTTTAAAAGACTTTCTGATTACTATTACCATGGCTTTGTCATAACGTGTTGAGAGCATCAGATAAGGAATGCTGATGCGAAACACAGAATACTTGGCAAAGATGACAAATCGGTTAGTGAAGTATTGTATCTTCAATAGTTGAGGTATTTGGAATATGTATTATTTATGCCTAATTTAGAACTACCCCGACTCACAATGCTTGATGGCATAAGAGTAAGTTAAAAAAAACAAAGATATTCAAATCAAGACACGGTGTCAGTCCATCAAGTTATCGACGTTCAGAGTATACAGTCAGGATCCTTCCTTCAATATGTGGTTAGAGATGAAAAGTAATATAACCTCAAATCAGTTGCCGCAATGCAATCACAACTAATAGTCCCTCATGTCTTCAGTTTTAGAACTATTTTTCAGACTTTTTATTCCGTGAATTTATTTATTCTTCTCAAATAACATTCTCTTTGATCAATCATATCTTCTATAAATAATAATATTACTTCTAATGCTTTGATATTCATCTTGACAATATCTTCTTACTAAGCTGATATAATGCCGCCACTGGAACGAATGCACATTCATACCCGATTCTGTGTCTCTTGTGACTGATCATTGAACCAGTGGTTTCAATACAAACTCAATTTATTTCACCATCATACTTTCAAATATAATTCTAAATTTTTCGTCTATATTTAATTCTAAAGCAACGAAATCTTCCTATGATCAGTGTTAATTTGAATTTTCCCCAAAATTTTTAGTGTCTAACGCGTAACAACTGAAAGCAAAGATGGATAGTGGCTAGCAGTGGAATCCAGGATGCACGTTTCGTCCTATTTAGGACTCGTCAACTGGGTGCACATGCATCTCAAATTTGATATTCACTGTGGGACTCGCGATGGCGTTTGAAGCGAATGTTGCTGGTTTCGAGTCCTGGATTCCACTGCTAGCCACTTTTTTGTAGATTTTTATTATTTTGCTGTTGTTCAAGATATAACGAGAAAAAAGTGATGTTAGATTTATTACATTAAATGTTAGAAATGAACTCACTATAAAATTAAGCTAAACCAATCACTAATCTATGATAAAAGATATTTCCCGGTGAAATAATGTTGCTTTTTAAATATTGAAAATATTACAAACTCAACCATCAATTAAAATATCCATTTAATCGTCTCTTCAACGGTCTATAGACTCTACATTGACCATATGATGGACGCTTTTGTTTATTATTTTGCTTAATGAATTATAAGTCTTTTAACAATATAAAGTAAGATATGAGTATTATTTTTATTTTTATACCACAGATTGACTTTTGTTAGACGGCTATTGGAGGCCAGGAAGCACTGGATTGCTATTTCGCTCTAGTATTAGAACTTAGTGATACATATCTGTAATCTCACTATACGGTTTCAAATCAAGGCCTCTCAATGGATGTTCACTCTTCAGACCACTTAGTTAGTATCTAATGTTCTATATTACTTACTCGAACCAATTCGCGATATTTTGTGGGTAGAAAGTTGGCCACACTCGCATTTACAACTTTACTAGGGAGATAATCGAGGATCTCTATTTCTCTTAGAGAACACTTGGTCATTATAATCCCAGGATCAAAGTCTACTAGTGTAATTCTGAATTCAATCGCCTTGCAATATGTAGCATGACGACCATTTTATACTATTAGTGAAAACCGTTTTACTCCCAACATTCTTGAAGTCTAACGGTCACAACTTCAGCTCAGAATTTAGGAACATCTTGAAATAATTCACAAATGATCTGACTATTTTATTTTAGTTGAATGGATTTTATGAAGATCAGTTCAGTTTATAGATTATATTGGTGTCAGCGTTCGTCATGGGACATGGATATCCTGAGTCTGACTTGCTATGAGGTTGTGAATACGTTCTGATAAGAGGCCCTATACTAGGACGAAGCAGCTATCCTATCCATCCTAGTTATTGTCGGTACCTCAACTGAGATAAATCTGTGACAAATATAACCCTAAGAAATATGTTAGTTAATTAATCATTATCAATAATTATTGATTACTTTCTTCATTCTCTCTTCCTGTTATCATAGTTATTATTATTAATCTCTATTTAAACATAAACTTTTTCAAGGTTTTAGATAAAATTAAACAAAGTGCATTAGGTACAAAACGTCGTGTATTTGTTGTTGAAACAATGGGCGGTTATTGTGGTTATTTAGCTACAATGAGTGCATTGGCTGGTGGAGCAGATGCTGCTTATATATTTGAAGAACCATTTACAATTGATGATTTACGTGAAGATGTAGTACATTTACGTGCAAAAATTGATGATAATGTTAAACGTGGTTTAGTACTACGAGCTGAATATGCTAATAAATACTATACAAGTGAATTTATTCATCAATTATATGCTCAAGAAGGTCAAGGTATATTTGATTGCCGGTAAGTGATTTTTCATTATTATTATTATTATTATTATTATTATTATTATTTAAATCGAAATCGATCTAATTTTCATAATTAACATCATGAAATGATCTTAGTCAAATGATCATTGAGAACTAAGAAACATTCTTGTTATAATTTGTGGCCGCCAATTATTATATCCTGTGGCCTGGATGTCCTCTTAATGTATAACATGATAATACTGCCAATTAGAGAGCAGCGATTTATCGATTGGAACAGTGACACATGTAACCCGTACGAGCAGTCTAGAGTACTTGCCGGTCCTGCTTTCTGCCTAGCCCAGCTAGGCAAGTCCAGAATACCAATCTCAGCCTCTGCGGTATGTATCATTTATATTTCAAACATACTGAGTTTATATGCCAATCAACAGACCACATCGTACCATAAAATAAGAAACAACATTTGTACAAGATTCAGCCAAAAGTGACTGTGAATGTGGGGAACAGTAATCAATAGACTGAGTATAACTCAAGAACGGTAAATCATATAATAATTGTTCATTGGTCAAAACAAAGCCTATAATAGGAGGGACACGAACATGAATAGTTTAGTTAGTTAACAGTTATACAATAAAAATATATGTATAGTATTGGTTGATAAATAGATCCCAAAGTTACCATTCATTATCCTTATCGAGGCATAACAATTGTACAACTGTTTCATTTCAGTATATTGCTTTCCACCTGGAAATGAACCTAAGACCTTATGTTCTTGTGTCGAAAGCTTCATCTTCAAACCAATGAATCAATATCCAATAGTTTACATCCCTAACCTTAATCAATTCAGTAGTTGTTTACTTTAAATCAGTTCGTGGTATAAACAATCTACACAACAACCTATCGATTAACTTTCCTTGCCTACTTGGTAGGAATTAATCACCAATTAGATGTTATACAATAACGTGTAATCCATTTTCAGTTGTATAGAAACAGAGGCGTAATTTCTGTATCTATTGTTGAGTAATCAGTCAACTGACGTAATCTGGAATCAAACTAAGTATAGATTACTCATGATAACTGAACTGCTCACATAAGACGAAAAAACTGACTGGTATAAATATTTCTTTCTCTTGAAATAATTGTGAAGAAGAAAGTCTTACAAGTAGTTGTTTACTGTTTTATTAATAATTTGCCGCGCAACCAAGTCAACGATAACTTTAACTGCACAATTTAACCGTTCCTTTGTAGGTTTGTCTCTATTTTAATATATCTTACTGTCGTTGCTATATAAACAGATTAGTTTTAACATATTTTAATTTCTCTTGAGAATAGTAAAAACTCATTTGTCTAGATCTATTTTCCGTTCTTTTACATTGAGAAGCTAAGACAATTAATGTTGATAAGGTCTTATCGCTTGACAGAAAAGAATATTAGGAAATAATAAAAGGAGATTCTTATTCCAACTTAGAGTACGATACTTGAAATAAATGTAATGATTTTATTAGTATAGAGATATTTGTAGAAACTGTACAAGTTTCGTAGTTCTCTTCATGAATCGATCTTAGCTGGACCACCATGGAAAATTTGGAAGGAATTAACGGTCATCTCTAGCTGTATAATGCTATACTACTCTTAGTTACTACTAAGTAGTTCATGCTATAGTTGAATATTTTTAAAGCTTATTTCAATTATATTCATGTAAATATAACCAAAACTTTTACTTCGTCAATATTTTTACAACTTTTCATATATTCAGTTGTAATGTACTAGGTCATATGCAACAAGGTGATAGACCAAGTCCATTTGATAGAAGTTTAGGTACAAAATTTGCTTCGAAAGCAATTGACTGGTTAGATGAACAAATCAACGCTAATATACGTTCAGATTGTAAGTTACATATTGTTTGCTTACCTTTTTACATTCACATGATTACACACATAATTTTAATGCCTTCTGTCATCTACATTTTATTTTTTGTTATGAAGTTAAATTCGTAACTTAATGAGTTGCTTAATTTCAAAATCGAATTTTTTTTTACCAACCTTTTACATTCAATAAGAACTTTCGTCTTGCTATGAATGAATAGTTAGTTTTTCCTCAGCAGTCTGATCTGACCTTTTTCAGGGAAATACTGCAAAACTAGAAATATGAATCTGTTTGCGAATTAATTATGTACTAAACTACTGTCATGAAGTGAATATTAACTCTGAGATACAGATACATTCAACTGAAAAGCCCAAAATAGGACGAAGTGCACGTTCTGTATTTCACTGCTAGTCACCATTCATCTCTACTTCTAATGCTTGAGACTTATTGTCAATATCAAGAATATCTGGATAGGATGTACAAATGGCTGAAAGAGACTGATCAGTTGTAGTCCTCAATATTAATGGCAAGATTCAAACAACCAATACAAGTGTATTTCATTGAGATCATGAATCGATCAATGTTAGACCACCATTGAAAACTTGTAAAGTGTAATCATTCTAAAAATGTAGAGTTTGGAATTCAATCGAATAAGGATGGGAATACGAGTCTTCAATGTAAAATGTATTTAAAATGGTATTAACAGAACAAGGAAAACTTTGTATATATATGTGGAGATCATATGCGATAAACTACTCACTAAAAATATACAACTTTACTCAATGGTTGTAAATAAAACTGGTCGATAGATAATCTTATCCGAATTTTGTGCTGATGATGTCGTTCAGAAGGACGATGAAAGCTTCACGACCAAAACATCCAGCTCAAAGAACAAAACTCCATCAAGATAATCTTAATTTTCGAGTATTTCATCCGAACAAGCTGAATGAAAATTTCAAATTGCTAGTTATTTTCAGTTCCTGAGATGTCTACAAATATATGATTTCCTCTTCTACATTTAGCTGCCCAAAGTCTCATTTGTATATGTATATAAAATATGAATCGATTTTCATTGTGTAAGGATAAACTCCGATTTCGTTTGCAATTTTGGCTTTGCACCTAGCAACGAACCAAAATGAAGCAGGAATTATTATTTGAACCATCGTATCCCATAATGAAGGACGTGTTTCGTTTTCTGTCTACTTTGCTGGCTTACATGAAAAATGTAAAAGAAAATACCACTCCACCATGCTACGGACGTGTCAAGTGGTGACCATTCAGTCATGATGGAGAAATAATCACAACATAGCAAAAGACATACCTCAATTAATTCTATGATGAACATTATTCCAAAATATCTACAACTGAGTGATTAGATAAACGAAAACACAACCTTAGTCACTGATTACTTTACACTCAGATGACTTGACAACGTAGAGTTTATCCCCAGTCTTTTCATTTGCCTTAAATATTACTCTTGAGATTTAACATGATACTATAGTTATTATAAATGATTGGCTGTGGCTATGAGAGTGAACACTGGGTGGTGATCAATGTCATATGTGTCAAGTCCTTCTTAGTGCAGATTGGATGCTATTGATCAAGTTGCAATGTGGTAACTAGTCTAGGTGAATCAGCACTGTGATCAATCAATTGTGATTGCATCTCAGTCCTACAGGAGGTCGGTCGCGGCCCAGATAGCTCAGTGGTAACGTCTCTGACTGTGAAGCTGAGTGACACGGAATCGAATCCATCAGGGAGCACCAGTTCCCTCAAGACTACAGGAACACTTTGCTGACGAGTGCCAAGTAGCACGAAACCCGGGTCCAGGGTTTCCTGTTGACCTACTCCAACCACCATCTTATCTCAACATACTGCATGCAGTGTTGAGTCACCTAGACTAGTGACCACATTGCAACTTGATCTATGACATTTGATCTGCACTATGAAGGACTTGATGCACACCCGGTGATCAATCAATTGTAACTAGTTATTTTATTTATCATGACTATTATGTCCTATGGACCTGCTAATATATCACATGACTAAATCGCCGCATCATATGCTAGAATAGAAAACAACAATTATACAAGATCAAGCCAAAAGTAGTTGAGTGTGAGAGATTGTCACTAATAAATTGAGAATAACTTAAGAATAGTAAATCGTATAATAGTCGTTAATAGATCAAATGGAAGCTTATAATAACAAGGATTGTGAATTTGTATATATTATAGTTGCTTAATAGTGATATGTATAAGAATATAATAACAGTCCATAAATAGTTCTTAGAAGTTACCTATAGCCTAAACTACCTCGGATATAAGGATGGCTTAATTATTTCAAATATATTTAGGTAAGATTCGCTTTCATTTGTTAAGATAAACTAGATACTGTTAAGATACTCGTATACCGTAACATTCTTTAATTTTTGTAAGTCTTTTACACTTGTTATTCTTCATTGATAATAATATTGAGTACTGTTTATATTTGTAATGCTTTGTAATTGCCTGTTGTTGATATTCAAGACTGTAGCTGACTAATCTTTATTTTATTTACACATATTAGGCGGATTGAATCGATTATAGCTTTTGTCACATGTTTTAGTATAGTCGTATTACGGTTAACAGTGGAACCCATTAATGATGTACATATGTTAACAGAGCCTGATCAATTACATTACGAAATATCAATAACTAAAAATTACAAGCTAATAGTAATAACTTTCTATCCTTTAAACACGTTAGTGACTATCTAGACTCAGCTGCTAAGTGAATAACGCATTGATTTTTAAATCGAACGGTCACAATGTAAATGTCAATTCTGGGATACAGGTACATCCAGCTGATGTGTCCGGAATTGGATCAAAACGCACTCTATTACTAGAAACAGTATAAATAAGCTTAAATTGCTTATGTTTTCCTAAATTATTTAATTCAGTCTGGCAACTTTCACCAACGTACCAGTTCTTTAATTCAAGTAGATAGATATTTTCATCTTCGAACAGTCTGCATGTGTATGTATGATAAAACTAGTTCCTTGACTTTGTGATGTGACCATCAGAATAATTGACTGGATATATTGGTGAACTATGATAGTAAACGTCTGTAGGCATTTGGTATAAAAATTATGACCTGAGATTTCTGACGTTTATCAGCAAGACATTTCTGAGGCCATAAAACAATCACACGTCACCCATGACCAAAGTGAGGTATTATTTTGTGTTCAAATTCAAACTCAAAGTTATCAGGCTTCATTATGGTCACTTAACAACAGTCCGTACTTTTTATTCATTCCACTTAGTTCATGATATACATCATCTGTTGACTGATAACATCAACAATGGCTATCCATCCATATTTCCCTATCAATTGCCTTAGTTTAGTTTAAATCGGACAATGTAGATGAGGCTCATTAATTAGAACATGCGATTTTCGACCATTAAGTCGCAGGTTCAAACCCAGCTTCACTGCTTCAGTTTGATCAACTGATTAGTATCAGTAGCCTTACACTTATAGTATTCCTCAGGTACACGAATCCGTAGTTGATAACAAGTTTGTAAGATAAAATAAAAATCAAATCAGGTGCAGATTAATAATTTTTAAACCCAAAATATAACGTTACCATCTCATAATATCATCATTCCATGGTTTACACCATTGACTTACCTCAGTTAGACAACCAGGGAGTATTGAACAGCTGTTTCCTCCTAGTATGAGACTACTTAGCTGAGAGTACTTACCACCACTCTGGGGATCTAACCTAGGATCTCTGATGTTGCAGCTAACCTCATGACTGTTAAGCTGGTATTTAATGCTGTACATTCCTAGCCACAATCACTCCTCGATATTGTGACGTCATCTCCTATTACCTGGTGAGGATAACTATCTCATATCTGAGATACTTACGTTAGTAATACGACGATTTATATGTCAACTAAATGACAGAAACCGATAGTTAAAAATAGTTAAAAAATTCTGTAAGATCCCTTTAACATCTGTAATTATCTTGGCTTATATTTTTTTGCTTATTTTTTTGTTTTATTTTTATAAAACAGCTACAGTCTATACACCAGGACATTTATGTTGTACATTAATTGGTATTGTACGTCGTCAGACAACTTATTCAAATATTATGGAATTAAGAGAACATACAGATTTCGTGTAAATGATTTTTTAAAATTTATTTTTAAAAGATTTAATTATATTAAAATGATAATGATAATGAAATTACTTTAAATAGTTCCATTTAAAATAAAGGAAAAAAATAATTTAATAGTTGAATATATGAGTCAATTAAAACTAGACCATCATGGAAAACCTGGGAGCACTGAATGGTTGTTTCATCCGAGTATGGGACTCTTCAGCAGTGTGCATCCAGGGTCTACCAGTCTCGCACCAGAGCATTCAGCCGATAGACCACTGAGCCGGCATCCACCTCAACCAATCCACGAAATTGCTCAACCAACTTCCATTGTACTGAGGTAGATACCTGTCTTTACTTGACATGAATTAGCTTCACTGGCCACGACTTCTCACTAGAACTCCAGGAATTACCTCATGGAGACAGTCACTACTGAGCATATGATACTTTTATTTCCAGTGATTCTTTTTCTTCAACTAATATTAGTGAATCATTAATGAAAATAATCTTTATCAAATTCTCTATTTATTTGATACTATATTTCATTTTTTTTAAAATTTAATATCTTCTTTATAGACATCGTTTACCAAAAGAAGAATGGTGGCTTAGTTTACGTCCATTAATGCGTATTATGGCTAAACATGATAGTCTTTATGAATCAGAAAGTATTATGGCTGGTACTGATAGAAAATAATCACTTTTTCTTTTATCATACATATTTCAATTTATTCAATATTAGTTTTACTTAATTTTCATTCATAAAATCAGATTTTATTATTATTGTTAATATCGATAATTTTTTTTTGTCTTTTTCTTGTTGTTTTCTTCACTGATTTATTATTCGTTTACTTAGTTACTATTTATGATAATTCAAACAATCTTATTTATTATATTCTGCTTTATTAAAGATTAATCAATATTGTATTGTAACCCTACAAGTTTAATTAAATTCAATATTATAAATCAGTCATTTTAACCTTTCAAAAACCAACACCGATCACCTTTATTATAATTGTAGAAAATTAAATTTAATTTAGACCTTTTTTCAAGAAAAAAAAAGGAAGAAAAACAAAGTAAAGAAAAACGAAAATTATTGTTAACATGTTTCTTTCATTCTGTTTTTTTTTCTCCCTTTTTTTGTCTTTTAGTGAGGGTATGTAGTATTGTCCTAGTGCAATATTTAAAGTTTTGTCATGTTTTCTGTGTTTTTTTTTCTTTTTTGTATAACAGAGAAATTATATAATGAACACTTTGATTTAAATTTTAAATTTTCATGTAATAAATCGTTCAACCATATCGGTTTAATTTATTTCAATAATTTGTTTGACATAAAAAGACTCCCCTTGAAATGTCCTCCTCTTAAATTACTCAGGTTGAAACGTTTTAGTTATGCCAAAGTTGCCTCCCCAAATGCCCTGGTACGGATGAGAGTGGGGAGAGTTCGCTATCCCTCTCCAACTGTTCTCATATAGCCACGCGTATATAACCTCCGCCAAGGAAGTATTACTCACTGCCTTCTCGTGGCATTATTGTTGTTTACGAAACTGAGAGGACGAAAAACGAATGTCCGGTGCTTTAACCGGATTGATGGATATTGAGGATCAATCTAGGGAAGTTGGAAGACTCTGATTTCAAACCAATGGTGTACATGGACTCCAGTATTCTGAGGGAACAAATAACGTATGAACCTATTGTTGTTTACCGGTTACCATGAGACTACATCTCCTAAAGTCGCTCCACTGCCTTGTGGATAACATCTTTAAGTCAAAGGCTCGGGGTGTGGCCCGCTAAGAAAACCACCTGTCTTGGTTTGTGCACCTGGGTAGTATCACAGCCCTCACATAAATGAAATGAGATTTGTGCGACGCATATGTATCTGGTTCCCCTTTGTACCAATATTTATGTGTTCAAATAAATAAATATACCAGAGTATAATCAAGGGTAATTTTACAAATAGAGATAGATTAATATGTACAAGTCAACAACAAATTTCACGACTAACTGATCATTAAATAGTAACCAACGTTATGTCAGCCTATTCCTTTATTGACGATCGAATATTGTTGTTATGAATGAGTACGTCTATGGGAACAACCAATTTATTATTTAATTCAAAATTACAGAATGTCTTCGCAAAATATGACAACCAAACATTAAATAATTTATTTGCAAATCTCCCAGCACTCGTCATTCACATTCTCCATGATTCTTCCAATTCACAATTCCTTTTTTATTTCCATTTCTTCAACTCAATCATCTTGGCCTCTTTCTGCGAGGCATTCCACTTCTGATTGGTGTTACATACTACGTATATCTTTCGACATAAGTAACACGCACCATACTGTCACTCAAGTTTCAAGTCGGTCACTATATTGAGATCTTAGGCGGTAGGAGATAGTCGGTTAGAAAATCCTTTCTGACTTATGTTTCATACTAGTTGACATTTGTCAACCTTTGATCTTGAAGGAACTGATTCTACATGTAGGATTCAAACCTACATCACTTAACTTTATAAGTAAAAATTACAAACATGTTTCAACAAGCAGCAAACCTAGGTTCACAGTTTCCTCTCAACTATCTCCAACCACGTAAGATCTTGATATATTCATGTTATAAATGAAATCAACATTTGAACATTGCACAAATTAACTGTCTGTAATTGTCAAAATGATTTTAATATCAAAGTTTAAGATATTATTTATAGCTTAGATGGTTAATCTCACATTATCTAACTTAGATAATTTAGATATACAAAAAGAACATCATTATCTATAATTACATGAAACAACTAGAAGTAGATTATGTCGAGGAACAATAAACAAAATACCAGGTCAGTGGTTGAGATTTAGTTAAATATGATTTTATATTTAATGTCTATTGTATGTAAAACACAGAGCTTAACTACACCCCACAATGAGTTAGATTTAAGACTAACTGTTTACTTTACTATTAGCCGAACCTGAATGATTCTAATATGAAAGATTATGGATAATAATATTTATTTTGTGTTTCAAGTTTATACAGGAAAAATTAAAATCCTTAGCGATTTGAATGAACGATTACAATAAAAGATAATAACTGACAGTTTTAGCCTCATGACGAGTCAATTAGAAGTTGTTATCAATGTTTTAACATCAATCAAAGTATATTAAAATGCAGCGATGTTGAACTCCCTTCCATTAGAGTTATTCAGGGTTTAAGACAGTATATGTACTTTTAATGGTATAATGTGCATCCATTACTCTACCAGGTATCTAGCCTAAGACATTCAAGTAACACGACGAGCGTTTAACTCTTAAAATCACTAGGACAACATGTGGTGGTGTAATTCGAACTTCAGTCAATCCTTAATACATAATATAAAGTAGCAAACAATCAATCCCATTGATGAATACTAATTCACTTATGACATGTTTGGATTATAATAACTTCTGTTTATGCTCATCTTTATGGAATTGTGCCTCCAAATGATCCAATAATCATCAGTATATAGGTTTACGAAGGTTATTAAATATTTCTAACATCATTAATCAACCCATGTTATATGTCCACTGCAAAACCAGAAAACTATCATCAGTGAAGTTCAAATATGCAGGATGTTAACCAGTTACTCCCTGAAGATAATGAAAATTGGTTACGAATTATCATTGATTGGTTTAAGTTAGACATGCATGTCAGTTGTCTGAGGGTTAGAAGCTGACTTATGAGACCGAAAGACCTAGATTCGATTCCAGATGGAATTAAGGATGTACACTCCCAAGGAGTTTCATACTATGATTGAACTGCTGTTCAGTGCTTCCAAGTTTTCATCTGTTTTTCAACTTGGGTTCATCTAATAATCATTTACATTGAGTAAAATCAAAGGATTAAAATTCTTGTTCAGCTGACCTCATAAAAATGAACGAATACTCAGATGAAGATATGTACAAACATAGAAACACATACACAAGTACTTTTTTTATATTCATTATTCAAGAATACAATAAACTGATAAAGATAAACCTCAATGAAACAATAATAATCATAATATGAGGATGTATTTAATTAGTTTTACTTAACTAGCTAATCACTTTAAAATTGTAGAAAATCAGGAAAAAAGAATTAAGATACACACACACACCGACAACATTCACATAAAGCAAAATAGGTGGTCATTTCAAGGTAGAAATAAAAACCGAAGGAATTAAATAACAGACAAAGCGATGAAAGAATGAAAATATAACCAATCAAGAACATATTTTTTACTGTCACATGTTACTAAGATCATATTCAATGATGATGTCGGGTGCTGATAATGATGATGATGACAGTGAGGAGGACGGTCATACATAGCAAGCAACATTTTAGAATTTAATGAAAAAACCTATCGAATTAATTAACATTAACGATGAGGATGGCAGATGTGATGGTGACTGTGGCAATGACCAATAATCAACATTAATAGTAAATCTAATTTTTTTTTGTTTCAACATACAAATCAGTCTAGATCCATGAATTGAAAAACGTCCTCAGTACTCATCTTTAACTATTATTATTATTACTATTATTATTATTACTGTTAAAAATAATACATTAGTTGTATTATAGGGCTAATAGTATTCAATCATAACATCTAATGAATAACTTTCAATATATCGTTGTAACTATTATTTAAGCATTATGTATTTATTTGTTGCTAAGAAACAAACGGGAAAAAAAACTAAAAAAATAACATAAAGGGTGATGTATAACAGAAGAAAAGCAAAAAATAAAGAAAAGAATAACAAATTTAAGAAACCTCATAGTACTGAAAAACTGAAGAAAAAAGAAGATTAAACAAACAGCAAATAGAAGATTCTTTATGATTTAAACATAAACTTATTACTTATCATGAAAAAAAAAATTTTTTTTAAATCAAATTTTACATGGAAATAAAACAAACAACAAAGAGGAAGAAAAAAAGAGAAACTATTGAATCAATAAAATAATAACAAAAAAGAAAATTTTATATGTTTACTAAAGAGAGGGGGGTTCCATTTATTCCTTGAATACTTTTCCATTCTATAATACCAATCAATATAATTTAGATAACAATAAAGAGTATAATGATTCAATCCAATCAATAATAATAGAAAACAAAAATGCAAAAAAAAAATTAGACATAGAAACTAAAATTATATAATCATTTATTATTATTATTATTATCATTATTATTATTATTATGACTTGCATTTAAAATATGTATTGCAATATATAGATAATGGGAAGTCGAGCACTGATGATATTGATCAGTAAGGTAGTTGGTTAAAGGAGTATAACAAAAGAAGTATGAGTGAATGTGCGTGCGCGTGTATATGTGTACAACACACGTGGAACAAACACCGTTTTTTTTTTAAATGACTAGATAAGGCATAGCAAAAGTTTGTGCATGTGAATGAAAGGGGGAAAAAAAAGAAAAGAAATATAAACAACAATAACATGATAAGTAACTTTTCTCTTACTGCCCCTCCCATTAATCCATGTTCTTATATAAAGCATAAAACAATTAAAATGATAATGAATAAAAAAAAAACAAGATCTAAACAAAACAAAAAAGCATGGCAAACAAAAACTATATGAAACCGGATTTTCTCTTTGAGATGTTTCTATTGTTTTGTTGTTAGTATTGGTCCATATTTCTTTTTTCTAAGTAATTCTTTTATCCAACAGTATTGTCACCATCTTCATTAGGTGGAATAGATGAAAGACCATGATGTGCATTTGATGAAGTAATGACTGGAGGTTGTTGTTGATGTTCAGCAGAATTATTTTGTTGTTGTCTTGATGATTCCAAATTATCCAATTCATTATTACCAATAACAACATGTTCATCATATGCTTCAAGATTTTGCATTATACTAGTACTATTATTATCTATCGGTTGATTTGATGTATTGCCAACATGATGAGCATGTCTTATGTCTACATCTGATGTTTCGTTATTCGACACTTGACCGACTGCTTCAACACTTTGTGGCTGATCAGAAACAGCAACACTGACACCAATATCAACATCGACATTAGCGTTATTGTGATCAATTAATTCTGAAGTTATTGACGGATGATCACTTGGCAGCATTACAGCATTACTACTCTGATCTGAATTTAATCAAAATGAGTAGAAAGTAAATGATAAATAGACATATAACAAATAGACAGATAGATATAAATTAATTCGTATTGATTGTTTGAGTTTCCCTCTGATTTAATTAAGTGAAATTGATTTGGGTTTTTTAACATGTAAGCATCTTCAATGGATTCCCTTGATCTCTCCATCAGTAATAAGCATTTTTTTAAGCTAATTCGAATAGTGGGTAGCAGTGGAATGTAGGACATGCATTCTGTCCTATCCGGCACCCATTAATTGTAGTCCATAACATCAACAGAAAGATTCAGGCAACCAATACAACTTAAATCAAAATTGCACAAGCTAGAGATTTTATGGTCTCAGTAGCTAAGTGAATAACACGTTGGGCGTTTGAACCGAAAGGTACAGGGTTCAAGTGCTGATATGACTATCAACACTGATGCAAGCACATCCAACTGACGAGTCCAAAATAAGACATGACATGCGTCCTGGATTCCACTGTTAGCCACCTTCCAACTCTGTCTTATAGATATGAAATCTTTATTTTCCTTGACACAGATACAATCTTATACAACTGGAGACCAAAATAATGTCAGAAAAGAAAAGAGATAACATTGTCGAGAAATAAAAGAGGGAAAGTGATTATTAGTTCCTCTCTAAATGGTATGGTACGGGCGAGGATATGATGAGCTCGCTCTCTACCTTTCACACTCTGATTTGCCTTATAGGACAATACCTTTATAGCAAGCGAAGTCTTACTGACTTCAAGCTGATGTATATTTTTACGAAAATTTAAGGATTAAAAGATAAGCTTGACAGTCAGTAATATCTAGTTCAACAATCAATTCATTCGTTCTCATCAAACCAAATACAACTAGAGATTAGATGCAAAGCATAATTAGAGTGCAACAGTCGTTACCAATAACTGTGGATAGTCATTAAAATAGATCATAGATTAGTTGAAGCTGAAATTGTACCATTCTACATCGACTTAGTGGTCCTAATAGTTAAGCATTTGATAAGAGAATTAGATGTTCTGATCTTGATGCCTAAATGGGTTGTGGTTACGCACTTTTGAAGATCCTCATGATAGAATGGGACAGCTGTCCAGTGCTCTCTAGTTTCCAGAAGTGGCCTGACTGAAATAAAACTTTGGTGAAAATAGCCTACAAATTAAAGTATAACCATATACTTGACTGATACAAACATCTAGTGAATACTTTTGTTCATTGAACTACAAGAATAATACTCTAGGTTGATCACATAATTTCATTATGGATTTTTAAATATCAAATCTTCCGCTGAAAACTTGCAATTTTGTATAATACAAGAAGTGGTTTTTGACAAGTAAAGCTGTTCGACTGAACCACTTAGTGAATTTACAAGCTCGAACACTCTTAAACTTTATTTGTTTTCATCACAAATGATTAGTGACCAGCTGTGGACTTTAGAAGGTTCCTTTCGTCCTATTCTTGTCTCATCAGCTAGATCTACTGCATGTTTTTCAGTTTTTTAGACAAGCAGCCTAATAATACCATTAACCAACAAATATGTGAATGTGGTGAATGACAAGGACCTATACTTTGTTACAGAAGCATATCATCATTATGAAAAAAGCAAGAACAGGATTATTTTCAAAACATAAATAAAAAGATTTACCATCATGTGACGAGTGAATATCGGTTTCAGCCATTTTATCAGTTTCATTTTGTAAAACAATATCCGATAAATCATCTTCTTGATCCCAACAATGTTCACTTGTAGGCTGTGATCTAGTTGAAGGTGTTATATCATTAGTGATGGAATTATTGGCACTTGTCAATTGTTTTAAACCAGTATTATCGTTATTATCCTCTGATAAACTAGTAGTACTATGTTGTTCTTGACGGATTTGTGTAGGTGATAATAAGTCTGCTTCTAAATATACAACAAATAACAATCAAACTAATAACTGTATACCTTGACAAGCGATACTTGCTAGTGGAGAAGTAGGTTGAAAGAAAGCTAGGGGCAGACAAATTAATACGTGACATCAATCCACGAAGCCACTGACTTTCTAATCGGAGTCTGCATGATAACTGATATCGACGGCTAGAGACTTTAGATGACGTATCTCAAAATCGTTCATATCGGTGAAGATAGATTCAATCTTTATTATCCTCTATATTTTGAATTTCAGTGCTTCTGCATACATACTACTCCACTGTCTTTTAAAATCATATTCCCAAGGTTTCATCTTTCTTTTTATACTTGCTACTACATTATCTCGATCTCTTTTTTATTTTTACCTACTTATGCTAGTGCAGTAAGGCAACTTGGGCAACGCATATCTGTGTTAGGCTCTATGCTGATGATATCAGTCTGTTTACGAGTTTGAGAAGAATGTTGTAGATTATAATCAACAGTACTGACTGATCTTAATTGAACAGTCACCAAAAGCGAGGAAGCAGTGGATAGATGTTTCGTTAACGAGACCTAGAAGTTTTAGATTTAATCCTTTGTGAGGTTGTATTGGTGCATTGTTGAGGAAATTCATAACAGGACAAGAAGGCTTTCCAATATGTCTGGTTTTCAATGGAACCTCAACCGAAATTAATCTGTAAACGATACAACTCACAAATTAAACCAATCCTCTAGAAAATATTTCAACTAACGTATAAGAATAGTTCTCGAAACCACTTACTTATTATTTCATTGGCTGAATTGCAATCATTGGATGCTGACTTAATAGCCCTGACTTAAGCGCTCTCCATAAGATATGAAGGTCATGAGTGGGCACTACTGATTAGTTCAATACTAGGTCAAAATAGCTGTCCAGTACTTCCTGGTTTTCAGTTGTTATATGACAAAGATTAAACTATGGTGTTAATCATATAAATTAAAGGAAGGAACCTGGTTAATTTCATTTTAAACTATATACAAAATGAAAATAAATTGTTATATGAAACAAACAACATTAATAATCTCACGTTTATGATAATCTGCAGTATTTTCCAGCTGTTGTTGACTCTGAAGTACATCTTCGACTTCATCTTCTAACTTTAAAGTATCCGCAATTTTCGCATCTGCATCACAGATTTCTTGTTGAGAACCTTGCATAGCCGATAGAATCAATTCAGAACTGCTCATTGATTCACTGTCACGAATTATATCTGCTTCTTCATGTATAATTATTTCATCATGTTTCTGTATAACCATTGGATCACCACCTTGTTGACTAGTTGAACAAGCTGGTTCAACCCCTGCTTGTTGTTGTTGTTGCCAAAACTCTTCATTGTCTTCTTCTACTTCAGTCTGACCTGGTTGTAAAGCAGGAGAAGGTCGTCCCTCCTCTTCTTCACTAGTACCATGAATGATGACATCGGATTTTCTCGGACTTTGACTATCTAGGCCAAGACGACTCTGAAGAATTGGCTCGGATTCATCGTGCATCGGAGTAATTCTTACATCTGGATATTTAAATGCATCTGTTCTATCAAAACCAATCATAGATTGATTAACAACATCATTAGCTGAATCAGCTGTTATGTCGTTCATACCAGACATTAAAGTTGTTGTTGCTGCTAGAGAAGTTGAGAATGCATCTGACAAATTAGGATTCACAGGGTCTGAACGTTTACCTTCATCTATTTGACGAGTAGCCTGAGAAATTGATTAAAAGTAATAAATAAATAATAAATAAATAGCAAATTGAAAATGGAGAAAAACCATTCTTAATAACAAAAGATAAATAGGTGAACATAAAACCTGATACACATATATGCACTTGTTCAATTTGTAACCCTAATGAATGACTGTTCTCTATAAACTCTGACTAAGATACTTTACATGCTACTTTGGTAGCCTTTCAGTGACTGGGATTATCATAGAATCTTCAAATTACTGGGGTCGTATGCCATCTTAAAGTCATGAAATACCATTATAATAGACCATTGGTAGGCATATCTATGTTCCAGAGTAAAGACTGTAGGATAAATAAATACGCTGAGATTTATGAATTTTAATTTGTTTTACTTAAAAAAATAAAAATGTCGACATTAACTTATGAGTATGACGAATTTCCTTGTCTTATACAAAATTTGTTTTGAAATAACTCTATAAACTGAATGACTTTAAATATTAAATTGGTAACTCATGGGATATACACGTAACAAGAAAGTGATTACCCTTGATTTGTTAAGTGTTGCGGATATGCTTTGATACGATAAGTGTTAGGAACTATGAAATATAAGCGGGCTTCAAGAAAAATAATACAATTAGGCAAACGTTTCAGTCTGATAAAGGACGGCTTCGGTCGCCAACAAATTATAATCATACAAGAAAAGAAATGGTAATAATTGTTTAGTGTTTGTTTGAAACTCATTATCGATTCGTCCCCATTTACAACGCCATTTGGATTTAGAGACTCAGGGCATGGAAGTATAACAACAAACACGAAAACATTAAGTTCTGATGCTGTTTAATTGGGGGTAGTAGGCAGAAGTTATTGAATCTAGGTTTCATGCTGATTGACGCTCGTGAGGTGTAGGTGCAGCTGTAATGTGAACGAATACTTGGTGGGAATAACCAATTTGTGTTTTCATGTTAGTCACATAGTGGTTTAATAAAATGTCAAATCATACATTAAATAAATCATTTGCACATCTTTTTGTTTCTTACAAACTTCTTTATCCCTTCATTCCTGTTGTTATCTTGACTGCTTTCAGCTGTCTTCTCTCTTCTCTTCACAGTATCTTACAATAACTGATTCTCTCTGTAGGATTTGAAGCTGCACCACTGATTTTCAGTCTATAACGTGATTGAGCTGCTTGAGTAACAACTGACCTTCTCTAGGACTTGTATGTTCACAAGTGAATAATCACAGATCAATATCAAGTTTGTCTTATCCTTTAGTACTAATCAAATTCCATCAATCAGTTATTCTGTTGCTAACCTTATGAATCATATTTTAAAACTCAAAAGGTTTATCATTCACATTGTGTTTACCTTGATAACTAACTTTATTTTCACTTCCCACTTGGTAGTTGAATTAAACGAGTTAAAATGAAAGGAAGTCTACATAAACCATATAACTAATTAATTTTGATAGTGTAATAAGAAGACGAAGGTTATGAGAACTATGTGATGAGATATTAGCTCAATACATTTCAAACAATCTGATCACACATAATACACTTGTTAAGAACATTTATATATAAAAAAAGGTCAACTAGACTGCAAATGGGGAGGGGATAAGAGTAGACAAGGATAATAATAATAATAATAATAATAATAATAATAATAATAATAATAATAATAATAATGTGAAAACGATTTGACACCTCTCTTATCGGGTCAATCGATTCTATTTGTTTCTGCAACCACTTTGGTAAATGTTCACCCACCCTAATTTTCAGATCACAATCGCTCCTCCCTATGTATGTGTGAACACACACACACATTTAAATTGGTATATATGTGATCAGATTGTTCGAAATGTATTGCGCTAATATATCACACTTAGTTCTGATAACCTTCGTCTTCTTATTACATTATCGAAATTTATCAAAGGGACTAATTGTTGTCTTAACCAAGGTCGTCGTCAATTTGTTATGACTTTACAAAATAAACAAAGGACGTATGCTAATTCGTTATTGGTTTTTATGTCCGGCTTCTATCACGTGAATTATCCACCAATCGAAATACGACTTCTTCGACCTTAACACTGTGACAATCAATGACGTTCGATCAGTATGAGTAATCTCGCGTCCTTATTGGTCCTTTATCCGCCTTGCCCTTCCACTTGAGTTCAGAACATCAATGACAGATTCTGTTATACGAATCTATGAGAATCGTTTATTTCAAGCATACTTTGTTTATATACTAGACGGACAGACCACATCACACCATAAAATAGAAAATAATATTTGTAGAAAATCAAGCCAAATGTGGCTGTGAGCATGGGAGACAATAATCAATCAAACTGAGTATAATTTAGGAACAGTAAATTGTATAATAACAATCAATAGATCAAAATGAAGCTTATAATAAGATGAATATAGATATACATAATCTAGTTACTGCATAGTTATACAATAGGAATATATAGAAAGTAAAAGTCCAATAATAGGTCCTGAGAGTTATCCGTACTTATGTCTTCGCTAGGATATAACACTAATCACTTTAAATTAATTAACTAAATTATCTAGGATTAAAATGAAATAAGATAATGACCATAAAAATAAGAAATAATATGAAATGTATAAGTTAACTTCACCTTTGCATGTTCATCAGCATCAAGTACATAACGAATATCACGCATACATGATTTAATAACATCTTCACGACCAATTCGACGAAGTGCACAATCTAATTCATTGCCTATTTTAGTGAAATGAAACAAAAAATAATCAATATAATTAATAATAATGATAATCAAAATGATATTGTATATGAATATGCTCATTAAAATTAAGTGAACAAGTGGCTCAATAGCTAAGGAGTCTAATTTCCAGCTATAACGTTAAAGGTTCGAACCTCGTTTCACTTAATTAAGTTTGTGCTATTGGGCAGTATATCTACTAGACCTCAAGGTTAAATTGTGACTTAAAACCAAGTAAACGAATCCCTATTTTATGCAAGTTAATAATGATTTGACAAAATATATAACTGTAAAACACCTATGTAATACAACCAAGTATAAAGTCATTAGAACAGTTCTTAGAATTTTGCTGTTCCAAAGATTCAACTAGTTTTATTCACTATACTGTCGGATATGTTTTTGATAGTTATCTCTGAGTATAGAATTCATAAAGAAGTGATTTTATTTCCAGTGGGTAATGTTTTTTTTTGCAAAATGAAACCTTCTTTGTAGAAGATTTCTTTCAACATTACCAATATGTTATCTACAACAGATCTATTTAATTTAATATAGATCATTTAAATGTTTTATTATTAGGATAATCAATGGAAATTCATATTGATAACCTTAAAAGTGGTCATCTGTAGAAAAAGTTAATTACTTGTTAATCACCTTATACTTGGAATAAAATCATATTTTATCAACTATACTCGGAACATGATCACAAGAAATGGTTATGACAATATGATTTCATAATCAATAATAACAAATATGAAATTTAGTATTGAGAGACTTTGGTCAGTCATTTTGTAGTGTGGTCTACTTATATCCATATAAGTAGTGTATGGTGATGGTCAGACATAGAATGTATTTTGGTAGAAGACCGATAAGGAAAGAGCAGGAATGAAGCGCAATCGATACGAAAATGCATGAACAATGAAATCAGAGAAGATGGACTGATATTTGCAGAACGAACAGTTAAGATTAAGACAATCGCTCGTTATTTTGCAAATTAACTGTTGACTGTATGGTTATCAGAATTTAGTGAGATAGCCTGTAATTTTGTGCTTAAATACATTCGATTGTCCCCACTCATGTTCTGTTCACTACAATTTAGTCAAGTCAGTAATATAAAGGAATTAGAATTATGCTTTTTTTTCAAAAGATACCCGAAAAATACTTTTTCATTTCGTTCGTGAAGAACCAGTTGTTAATCTGAAAGTAGCAATTTTTTCTACTTAGGATTAATGTATCCTCTTGAAAATCAATAAATCTTAACAAGTGCTGGGTAAACTATTGAATACCGACTACTTTGGAGGTGTAAATCTATCATATTAGCTATGAGATTTTGATCCCGTCTACGGTCGATAACATTCACTACGGTATTTTCATCAAAGACAAAGAAAATATTGTACCCATTTCTCCTTTGATTTGCACAGAAATAGTTAACTTGGACGTTGGTGTTCATGACACATGCGTGTATTTACCATCAGTCGTTTCTAATCATATGTGAAGGTCTAAATAATAAAAGAAACTAATATTTTCTGTGGAAAAAGAGATATAGGAAGCTTACCAGGCTAACTTCTGATTAAAATAATGTGACAGTCTTATGAACCAGTTATAGTTAATATGTTAGATAAATTTCGATAGTAAAATGAAATGGTGAAATTTGTCAGGAAAGTGTATAACTAAAAGTGACAATCAATTCCATTAATTAATATTCAATAAGTCTTTCTGAACGTGACTATAATCAATCATCATATCTGATTGTATCTATTTGTAAGTAATTAAGATGGTATATACATTTTAATATTCAAATAGGAAAGGAAAGTAAGTGAAAAAGGAAATAATTGAAGGAATAGATTATTGTAATTGTTCAGTGACAATATCAAGATCAAATTGAAGTGATACATGGAAGCCTGAAAATTGAAATGTAATAAATGATTTCCAAAAACATCATTAAACTATGGTGTTTTAATTAAAACCATGATTAAAAACATATATAATTCTGAGTGAAACCGTCTGAGAGCGACGGCAGGCCTCAAGCTTGTGTAAAGGAATAGCATTGGTAGTAAAGCCAGCAACTCAATCTCTTAGGAATGAACTGAATCCAAAAAATCAGTTAAACTCATCTTTCAGGAGGAGAAAGATCATCGTATAGAGGAGTTATGACGTCCCATAGTGAAAGCCGAGATTTTTCGGACAACACAAGGCAGATCAAACAGTTGAACCAAGATAAATAGTCAACCCCGACGAAGAACTTTTAACATTGTGATCGAAACTTGATCAAATGAAGAGATTCTGTCACTGTTAAAAAATAACTTTTAAAGTTTTGTTGCACTCAAATGTAGTAAGAAAGTATAATAGAATATGTGAAGCTCAAGATTAATGTTTTATTAAAAACGATAAATATGGGGCATAATCAAGTTCAAAGATTTATGATTCACAAATTGTATACTTGAATTCTGAGGTTAGTTGGCTTGGAAATAAATGATAAATCTATAAGGATTTTGAAATTTTACATTATAAAATAATCTTAGCCAGAAACAGCACAAGTAAAGAGGGACAAGATCGTTGTTTCGTTCTAGTACGCAATGCCTTTGCAGTGAGTACCCACGAGCCTATCAGAGATCTAACCTTTAATTCACAAGTTTCACACAGAACACTTAACCTATAGACCAATCATTTGGTAACCGATGTTTCACGTTTCCTCACAAGGCCTTAAGGTCCTTTCAAAGAAATCCACATACAGATGAGACAGCTGTTACAGTGCTTCCTTGTTTTAAATGGTTATTTAACAATAGTCAGCACATGAAATAAACTGTGGGTCTTTTAAAGTTGATAAAGAGGAACTTAGTGTATACAACTATATTATTATTATTATTATTATTATTATTATTATTATTATTATTGTGTATCATACCTGTGGCTGAATCTCCATTTTCCTCACGCCATGCCAATAATACCGCTAATGCTTGATCTTGTATTGTACGTAATTCATTTACACTAATTGGACCACCAAAACTGCCAGCTACATCACCACCGTCATTTTCTCCTGTTATTTTACCCATTTCCATAGCTAATCGATTTCTTTCAATTTGCCACTTAGGTTCACTTTCATTAATCCAATTAACTAATTGATTCACAGTACATGAACTATTTAAATGAGATTGAGGTAAGAGGAATTCGATTAGTTTGGGCCAATCTGAGCCGATTTCACTAGCAACTTGCAGTAAATCAATTTGACTACGAGCAATTACATCTGATGTATAAGCTGATTGAAGGAGAAAGACAGAAAGAAACGAGATGAAACAAAATACATTTGCAGAAATAGTTGATAAATGGTACAGGTGTAGGTAGTCTTCGGAAAACACTGTTCAACCCAATATTTTTTTTCTAGTTACCACTTATCAGTAAAACGTACCAACAATCTTGAGAGGATTGATGGTCCTTGTGAGATTAGAAACCGTGCTATCAACTAGTTTTACAGCATGAGTTTATATCATCAAGGTATTTAGGCTTCAACTGTGAACCCGTACCCATTTGTGTTTCAGAAGTGGCAGGAATATCAGTAACAATAGACTTTCAAACTATTTTGCAAATTATGGTAAGCAGAGATGGATAGTGGCTAGCAGTGAAATCCAGGACGCGCGTTTCGTCCTATTTGGGACTCGTCAGCTGGATGCAAATTATTATTATCCTTGGGATTGTCTCTTAAACTCCAATAATCAATTATCTATCAACATATACTGTGATAAACATCAGTTCATGAAGTCAATGAGTGCTGAATTGAGCCGTGTACATTGATTATTTGACTAGATTTTGGTCACATTATAAACAATGATTGAAGACGTTGGATGATGTGGTTCATCATCAATCGCAATATGCATTCACTCCTTGTTTTCCTTGAGACCTTGAGTTTTAAAATTATCTTATAATTTTTGTATTCCAAGAATTTATTTATTACTCTCAAATTATACTGTCCATCCTTGATCTTTTCTACTATCACTGATACTGTTACTAGTTCTACTGCTTTAGTATTTCATATAAGGGGTTTTGTGGAGATTTAGTATTTATCATTGTTGAAAGCGTGAGTCAATTGAAGCTAGACCACCATGGAAAACCTGGAAACACTGGACGGCCGTTTCGTCCTATTATGGGACTCCTCAGCAGTGCGCATCCACGAACCTGCTCTCGCGAGCGGGATTCGAACCCAGGACCTACCAGTCCCGAGCCGAAGCCCTTAACCGATAGACCACTGAGCTGGCATCCAACGGTGTTAATGTCTAACTTCTATAATTAATATAGTCATATGCTCACTAGTGACTTCGAGAAGTATATCTAGGAGCTCTAGTGAGAAGCAGTGACCAGATTATTTCACATAACTTTATTGATGTTATTTTGCAATGCAAATAGATATACATATATATGTCCCAGGTTCTAACTCCGCCTGTAGCCCTTATAGAGTTAATGCCGGTTTCAAGCCCGGATAAAGGACGGGGTTGAGCATGAGACCAGGAAGATAGAAAAGAACCTTGCTAAACAACGCTAACCAAAAACCATTTAAACTCTGACTCGGGACTTCAAATGTCATTATTTAGAAGAACATGTTCTAAGCTTTACAAGATCTGCTGAAAGAAGAAACTACGATGGATGACAACTGGAAAACGATCAAAGAAGCATTAACTTTAATGTGTCAGGAGGTTCTACGTCGCAAGAAGCATCATAAGGAATGGATCTGTTTGAAAACCCTGAGAAAGCTTCAAGAAAGGAAGAATAAGAAGGCAGCAATTAACAACAGACGAACAAGAGCAGAAAAAGTCAACGCACAAGCTAAATAAACTGAAACAAATATGTAAGTTAAAAGGTGTATTGGAGCCAAAGAGCAGAAACACGTGGAAGAGCTGGAAAAGGTAGTTTTAAAAGCCGCAAGAGAAAGAAATATGGAACAACTGTACGATACAACGAAGAAACTAGCAGGGAAATATAATACAGCAGAAAAACCAGTCAGGGACAAAAAAGGTAAGCCAGTCACCGGGATTCAAGAACAGAGGAACAGATGGGTAGAGCATTTTCAGGAACTGTTGCATAGACGCGCCCAAATGAACATTGAAGCAGCATACGTAGACCTTCCCATAGATGTCACCCCACCAACAGTCAAGGAAATCAGAACGTCCATCAGACAAATCAAGAAGAAGGACCAGGTAACATACAAGCTGAAGCATGGAAGTCAGATGTGAAAGTAACTGCAAACGTGATTTATGTTCTGTTCAGTAAGATGTGGGAGGAAGAACAAATGCCGACAGACTGAAAAGAAGGATACCTCGTAAAGATACAAAGGAAAGGAGATCTGAGAAAATGTGAGAACTACAGAGGCATCATACTACTATAGGTACCAGGAAAGGTTTTCAACAGAGTGTTGCTGAACCGAATGAAGAGTCCAGTAGACGCCCAGATTTGAGACCAGCAGGCTGGTGTCAGATAAGGCTGATGCTTCCCGCCTTTACTCTTTCTTCTGGTAGTCGACTGAATTATAAAGACCTCCTTATCTGAGGGGAAACACAGAGTACAATGGACGGCTTGAACGCAACTAGACGATTTGGACTTCGCAGATTGTCTAGTTCTTGTATCCCATATACAGCAACAAATGCATGTGAAGTCAGCAGGCGTAGCAGCAGCCTCTACAGCAGTAAGCCTAAATATAAACAAGGGAAAAAGCGAGGTCATAAAATACAACACAGAGCACCAACACAATCACACACCTGGACAGCATCATTGATAAACAAGGAGGATCTAACCCAGATGCAAAGACATGGATCAGCGAAGCAAGGGCAGTATTCCCACAACTAAAGAACATATGGAACTCGAAACAACTATCGGCCAACATCATAGTCAGAGTCATCAACACGAACGTCAAGACAGTTCTACTGTATGGAGCTGAAACTTAGAGAACTATCACACCCATCATCAAACAAGGTGCAAGTATTTTTAAACGACTGTCGGCGCGAGATACTCAATGTCCGTTGGCTGGATACCATCAACAACAGTTTACTATAGAAAGAACAAACGAGCCTTCAACTGAAGAGGAAATTAGGAAAAGATGTTGGAAAAGAATAGGACACACACTAAAGAAATCATCAAACTGCATCACGAGGCAAGCCTTAACTTGGAATCCTGAAGAGAAACGGAAAAGAAGGAAGATCAAGCAACACATTGTGTTAGGAATTGGAGGTGGACACCGAAAGAACAAGCAACACTTGAGGACAACTAGAAAAAAAATCCCATGATAGATTTGGTTGGAGAATCCTAGTCAGCGATCTATGCTCACAAGAAGGGCAACAGGTGTAAGTAGGTAAGTAAATAAATAATGTTCCAGGTTCTAAGTCGTGTTTGTAATCGACTGACTGACTGACTTAAGAGGCTCAACTTATGACTAGACTCTTTTAATTTCATGATACCTCCCCCCTCTTGAATTCAATGTGAATGAACATTTGTAAAATGTGAAATGTTAGACCTATCAAATTTGAGCCGTTGATAATTGTACATCTAATTTATAACCATCAACATAATTCTTGTAACATTTATGGTACGTTTAAATTTTGAACAATTTGTTCATATAAATTCAACTATAAAATAAATGGTCATTTTAATCCAGTCTTTAATGTGAACAATAATAGTAAGATACAAGTAGATCCAGTGGATCAGTCCCAGATTCCAATGCTTGCCATATAATAAGTATTTTAGTAAAATGGATAGTTTAAAAAATTACTATAATTGATTTGAAAAAAAAAACTTACTTGAAGTCAAATTACCAGAAGGTTTATTAACTTCATTATTTTGTCCATTAACAATTTGTTCATCATTAATAATACGTTTAGGATATGGAAATACACAACTTAATGAACCCATTGTTAATTCTGCTGCACTAGTTTCATTTAATTGATCTAAAAATTCTGGATGATTTTCTAAACCAATCAATGAAAGATCATGACCATGTTGACCATTAACACCATTATCTGAACTAAGTCGTATTTCTAATGTACATAATGGTTTTTGAATAGGAGCTATTTCATGATAGATATATTGTGAATCACCATCTCCATCCTATGAATAATGAAAAAAAATGCTAAGTTGTTAAATAGAAAGAATATATATTTGTAAAATCTCAGCGAATTAATTTGAAGTAAATCCAACGTTTCGCCTGGCAATTTGGTCTAAGCTTTTTCAAGGAATTAGACGAAAGTTCTCATATAAGTTGATTTATTCTTTTTTTTTCTTGTTAGATTACTTCGTTCATTTCTTTTTTGGTAATGTTTAGGAAATAATAATTTGATGAAGGGATTTGTATGTTCTTATTCATTTTCACATATTTATAATAATATAGCTAAAAGCGGTATACATAGACATGTAATAATCCTAAATGTTTTGGTATTTGAACGCTAAGATATACTTTATCGTTTACCGAAATTTTCTACTTTTCAATTCTTAATTGAAAACTGAAGGTGGAAAATATGAGAGGTATTTTACTTTCAAGGTTATTTTATGTATTTATTGGATTATATTTGACGCTAAGATAACTGTGCCGGAAGTTAGCGCTAGCCAGAAACAGGTTGTGCTCTGTGCACAGTTGCAGTAGACGGTCCCCGTTATCTGTCCTGTGACAAACATGTCCACATCGGCCAGCTAGACGACTCTCTTCTGTGTCTAGACGCCCGACCTGTGCATTCAAGTCTCAGGCTAGTACTACAATATCTATAGAGAGTTATTAATTGGTCATCGTATTTTCAATAATTTTCTTCTGATTTTTGAAAAGTTTTCTAAACATTATCGAAGGCTCTCAACAAAATTTAAATGAATCACATTAGTGTAGATGTGAAAAAGAAATACAAAAAAAGCATTTTCAAATATACTACTCACCTACTTTTAGCTATGAAAATATTGCAGTAAATTTTCCAGTTACAAATCAGTTTAAACCGACTTATAATGAATCCTAATAGTGCATACTTTCATGCTTTGTTATAAACAAAACATATATTTATGGGAATATGATCCTTGAATAATAACTATTTCTGTGTATTATAAGCAGGGATTATGGTGGCTAACAGTAGAATCCAGAACACGAATTTCGTCTTATTTGGGACTCATCAGCTGGATGTACTTGCATCTCAGAGTTGATGTTCACTCAGAAACTCGGATCAGTGTTCGCTTTAAACGTCAACATTTTATCCATTTAGCTACTGAGCCAAACTAATACGAATTAGATTAAAACTCATACACTTTGTGCATGAGAATGGTCAAGCGTACTTAATAGCTAAGTAGATGAAGGGTCGGTATTTGAAGCGGACCGCACGGGGGTTAGAGTCTTAGAATGAATTCCAACACCGGGATGCAACTACATCCAGCTGATAAATAAGACGAAACATGTATCCTGAATTTTGTTGCTAGGCAAATTCCATCTACTTCACTTATTACGGTTATTATCACATCTGGCTATGTGAACACTGAAATTCAGTAAACCATTTTTCTGGAGGGGGGGGTTATCAATACATATTAGTTTCATTTACTATTAATAGGCACTACCTATATGCTTAACTAATCAAAATAATTCCAAGATCAATTATTAATTTGAAATGGATGACATATGATCTAAGTTACAGATCACATTGATGAATAACTTCGTGACTTAATCACAATAATGAATGATATAAATAATTGTTAGTAAATTTTAGAAATTTTCTATTAAATGAATTAGATTAATAAAAGTACACAATGTTATTGGAATCTTGGAAACTGAAAAAGAAAGTTTTTTACGACCTATTTCAATGATAATTCATAAACAACTATGAAAACAATATTACTGAAAGGTATAATTGCTCTCTATATAGTTCGATGAATTTCAAGAAGTTTACATCAAAGAAAAAGGATTAGAATTTTACAAGTTTAAAAATCAATAAAAACAACATATTTTTCATTATTAGTATACGGTTGTAGAAATTATGAAATTTCATTGAGATCCTGAATCAATCATTGTTAAATTACTAATGAAAACCTAGAAGCATTGGTTGATCGTTTCATCCTGGTTTCTTGTATCTCAGCAGTGTGCATCTACGATCTTGCACGGAGAAATCGAACCCAAGAACTTCTGTCTCGTGTGTGAACGCTTAAATTCTAGACCTCTGAGTAGGTCATGCCGAAAAGAATATTCTTTCACAAGTTTAAATGTCCTCAGTACCATGGAAATATATATATATATATATATATATATATATATATATTTCCATAATGAATTTCATTAGATGAATGATAAAATTTATTTATTCGTTTTTAAATTTCACTCAAATGTGAAAATTCGTTTACTTTATTTTCAACAGTTCGTCCTAGTATTTCAAGATAGTCCATATCCGTTGGCCGAATGCTATCAGCAACAGCCTAGTGTGGGAGACGACAAACGAGCTTCCAGATGAAGAGGAAATTAGGAAAAAAACACTGGTGGTGAATAGGACACACAGTGTGGAAATAAAACTGCATCACAAGGCATGCCCTAGCTTGGAATCCTGAAGGGAAGCGAAAAGGAGACAGACCAACAAACATATTGCATCGTTAATGGGAAACAGACACTAAAAAGATGAATAGCTACTGGCAAGGATTGCATAGAACAGAGTTCAGTAGAGAATACTGGTGAGAGGCTTATGCTCCTCCACGAAGGGCAACAGGCGTAAGTAAGTATGCATTATACCTTTATCCAGATATTTATCATAAAGAATGGTTTTCAAGTACAAAGTACAACTTACTTATTTGTATTTAAGATATAAAATGTAATTTTAAGGAATAATATATTTTTCCTTAGTCTTGAATAATTTATTAACAACAACAATAAATAAATAAATAAATAAATAAATAAATAAAATAAACATACTCGAATTGGTTGTCGTGGTTCACGCATAAATGCTAATTTACCAATAACTTCTTGTTGAAGATCTTTTACACGTACTGGAAATGCAAGTCTATTCTCATGGAATGCATCGAAATGTAAACGTAATTGTTCACTTAATTTTGCTACAGGTAATAAATTACCAGCTGTTTCAAGCCAAACTGGTCGACTTTCAATTATTTCAACTTCTGGTGAAGCAGCGCATAATTCAAAACCTTCTTGGCATTCCAAAGTCTGAATAGAAAAAAAGAAAACGAAGTAGAAAAAAATTTAAATGACACTATTTCCCTAACATTGAAATCCGAAACAGAAAATCAGTAATTTATCGACTATTGATATGATGATGATCGTCATAAACAACACAGAATCTGGCAGTATGTATTTACATTGGTTTAAGTTCCTGCATTATATTAACATAGTAAGATGAAATTATCAAGACAAATCTCAGAGTATTAGAAGTTGTAACTGTATTAGTGGTAGCAACAGACGGATTCGGACTATAAAAAGTACAATATAATTTTAGAATTCAAAATCTAAAGGAAATTAAAAAGTGAATCTACATGAGCCCATTTTTGACTGACAAAAGTTTGGAAACGACTAAGTCATTTCAGTAGTCTAATGTGAATGATCTGTTTGCCCCGTGTTACCTGGATGTCTCAGGCCCGCTTTCTGTTAAAATTATAATTGATCACCCTTGAAGAGTGGTAAACTAGAGCAAAATAATAGCACATTGCTCCCTGGATGTTTAGAAAAGAATTTTTTTCAGTCAATTCCAAACTATAATTCAAACTAAATTCATCATATTATATGTTATTTATTCAAACTTTTAATTATTCTGCAGCATAAACGCATGAGTATTAATAAAATTCAATCAGTAATCATTAACGTTATCACTAAAACCTTCATTTGGTTCTAACTTATATATCATATTTATCCACTCTGATCACATTCTTAGGATTAAGTTCCAATTTAGCTACTAATCTGAGTAACAGAACACTGAGTGCATTGTTTCTTTGATGTTCGGTAGTTGAAGGCAAGAAACCCTTGACCTATATTTCTTGCTAGCTGTTACTTTTTGACATGACTTGCCAAAAATTTTGAAGAAAATGATGCACTTTGTGTTATTTGACAAGAGATATTCAGAATCTCAGCTACTGCTGAGTGATCAGTTCATTGTATATATATTGGTCCTACAGGAGGTCAGTCGTGGAGCGAATGTCACAATAGTAACATTAAATCATTTAAAACTGATTGAATCACACAGGAAGCATCAGTCACTTAATGTTTGCAATTACAGTTCATTGGCAAGTACCAACTTTCATAAAACTTACACTGAAGGTTTATTGATGCCTATCTCTTACCATATAACATTTAAATATATTCATAACCATAAAATGATTTAGGCCTAAACTATGAACCATTCAGATGACTAAAATTCAATAAATACAAAGATTTTAAAATTAATTTCACACGGATTCGTTCATGTACACTGACGTGAACGGCATTTCGAATTGAAATAAAACAACCGTCTATAATTATAATCATCAATTCTACATTATCATTCAATGTAATATAAACAATTTTCTAGAAATTCATCATATATCATTCATGGAATCAATTAACTGACAGATTATATATATATATATATATATATATATATATATATATATATATATATATATAAACAATTTACAGCATAATCTCTTACTATATATTCAACTCGTTTGATATAATATATGAATCAAAATAACGGTAAGTTTACATTTGAATAGTGTATTGTGTGCTACTAATGTCGACAGGAAAAAGTGGTAAGTAACACTAAGCAAATGTGGAATGCTTGGCGGCAGAAGGTTGAGAAAATCGAAGAGAAAAGAACGAGAACAGAAAGTGATTGGTACGGAAACGAAGAAACAAAAAAGTTCAAGATAATTGATGGCCATTTTACAAATAAAGTATCTGCTCTATGGTTCTCAGATTTTACCAAGATATTCTGTGAGGTTGTAATAAAAAGCATTTGGTTTTCTCCGCTTGTGTTCTTATTTACTACAGTAGTAGTTGTTGTAATAGTAAATCCATTTATAAAATCTTATTAGCTATGAATCATGCACTTGTTTGTGTGAGATTTCACATTACTACCAATTGACTGGGCGTTAATCAAGGTATGGGAGAACATGATTTAAGCTATCAATTCAATGGTTGATCGTCGAATGGTTTAACGACTAACTCATAAGTTCAATAATTAATCCTATAATATATAAATGACTAAATTTACGAATGTATATAAGGTTTTGAATAATCCTTAAATGATCAGTCTTCAATAGTTAGGGTTGTTAGAAAAACCAGTGACTATAATATAAACAAATATCGCATCAGACAATGGAATATGACATTGTGTTTAGAAATGCGCGCTCCCATGATTAACGAATACTGACTATCAAGAAGTATCGGTTCGAATGAACTCCCTAACTTCCATCCTCGCCGCCTACGAATAATTTCAAGATATCATTAGACTATTACTTGTAAGGCCCCCAAATGCCCTGGTAAGGCCGAGAGTGGGGAACGTCAGCTCTCCCTCTTGAAATGCTCTCAAATGGTCACGTGCATACAACCACTGCCAGGGAAGTCCTTCTCACTGCCTTCTTGTTGCATTACTGTTGTTTACGAAACTCAGAGGACGAAAAAGGAATGTCCGGTGCTTTAATCGGATTGGTGGAAATGGAGGATTAATCTAGGGAAGTTGGAATACTCTGATTTGAAACCAATGGTGTACATGGACTCCAGGATCCTAAAGGAACAAATGGTGCATGAACCAATCGTTGGCCACCGGTTACCATAAGACTGCATCTCCTAAAGTTGCTCCATAGCCTTTTGGATTAGACCTTTAGGTCGAAGGCTCCGGGTTTGGCCCACTAAGAAGACTACCTGCTTCAGTCTGGGCACCCAGGCAGTATCACAGCCCACACACAAACCAAGTGGCTAGTGTGGCCCATATGTATTCAGTGCCACTTTGTACCACTATATATATCTTCAAATAAAATAAATAAATAATTGCTTGTAAGATCGACAAATTTTTCAAGAACAGATGTTAGTCTTTCAGAAATGTTGGACAGTTGCTGGCAGTGAGATCCAGGATCTATGCTGTAATTTGTTTCTGGACTCGTCAGCTGTCTGCACCTACATCTAAGTAAAACGAAGTGAACGTTGTAGATTCTACTGATAGCCATTAAAAAAGCTTTAGTAAAATTTCGATAGTGTAATTAGAAGACGAAGATTTTCCGAACTATGTGATATATTAGCGCAATAGATTTCGAATAATCTGATCATTAACTTTTGCAGTACGGTCATTTTGAAAACAAAGGAAAGAATCGGAAAAAAGCTCTTGCATTAATACCAATCATATTAATTTATTTCCAGTTAATACTGATAAGTATGTCACTAATTTATCTTCCATTGTATTATCTGCTAATGAAAAGGGAGAACTTCCTCTTCGTTCTAATTTCTCGGTCTCTATAACGCAAATGCCTGAATTGAAAATTAATGCCCAATTTGAAAATCCATATGATCAACTGAGTATTCTAACCCCTACGTCTTTAAATAACCAAAGCTGGTGTCAAGCTAAACTGGTGGATATAGCACACCAATTTCATTATGCTGGGCCAAAGCAAAAAAGCATATTAACTTCTCAGCATTTTAAATCACTAAAAGAAATACGAATAAACCCTGATATTGTCTTGTTGACACCTGGTAAAGGATCAGGCTTGGTTATCATGAACAAATGTGAATATAAAAGTAAGGTGTTATCCATCCTCAGTGATAAAAGCAAATTCATGCCTGATGTTGAATTTGGAGGTATTAACAAACGAGAGGGAAGAGTAAACTTAAACCTGGAGAAATTGTTACACATGAATATTATTGATAAAGAGGAATTTAATTTCTTAAAACCTATGAGTTCTGAGTATCCTCATTTATATGAACTACCTAGAATTCAAAAATCAAACATTCCTTCATGCCCAATTTTATCAATGTGCCGATCACCTACATATAACCTAGCTAAATGGCTAACAAAATTGTTGGATCTTATTCGAAGACGTTTATGTAAGTATTTTCTGAAGGATTGTTTTGAATTGGTCGATCATTTAGATGATATTAATATCAAAAGAAAGAAAATGTGTTCATTTGATGTGAATTCCTTATTCACAAAATGTACATTTGAGAAAGACTAATGGTATATTATGTAACTACATATCATTAAACAACCTTAAATTACCTGTCCCTTTAGAAATTCTTAAAGATTTATAACTATTATGTACTGACAAAATTCAGTTCAGTTTTGAAGGCGAATACTTTCACCAGATCGATGCGGTTCCTATGGGCAGTCCGTTAGGACCATTATTAGCAGATGTGTTCATGGAACATGTTGAAAATCTGATTGAAGACCTAATCGAAAATATGCACTTTATACGAGATATGTGGACGATATCTTGGCTGTCTGTCAAAGAAAGGAGGACATGAATTGTTTATTGAATAAACTTAACACTATTCAAAACCACATCAGTCTCTCGTGTGGAGAGGAGAAGAATGACCAGCTTCCCTTCCTGGATATACTTCTAAGTAGACGAGATGGCTCAATCAAACGATCCATTGCCCTGTGCAATACAAACGGGGTTTGATAAGGTGCCCACTTAACAGGGTTGATCGTATTTGCACAAACGACGCTATTGATGATGATGTTAAGTTGTTAAACAAGATGTTAATGGGGAATGGTTATCCACTTAAACTCATAAATAGATAGAAAGTTCATGGTACAGTGAGACCCATTGTAGCCTTGGTGGAAAAAAAGCTTGTCTACATCACTTTACCATTTAGAGGTGATTCAAATAACCTTTTAGGGAAACAAAGGCTTAAATCAGTCATCAACAAAACGTATTATGAAGCGAAGGTCATTATCAAAGAAAGAACGAGCTTGATGCTTCATCCAAAACGATTGTTTACTAATTTAAATGTGTGTGTGGTCACACATACACAGGGAGGAGCAATTGTGATCAGAAAATTAGGGTGTGAACATGTACCAACAAGATTGCAGAAACAAATAGAATCAAATGACCCAATAAGAGTAGAGGATAAACATCCATCATTCTCTATTGCCAAACATATTATCGAAACAGGTCATAAGATTGATTTTAACTCGGCTTTTGTTGTATTGTTTAAAAGTGTAAAAGGGCGTATACTGAGGATTATTGAAGCCTTAGCCATACGAAAATACTAGACCAATCACGCTAATTTGAGTCAATAATAACAATCAAATAGAATACACCACAGAGCATAATAGTTAAAAGTACAAGTTGATAGTGAAAAGACAGGTGTGTTGATAGTAGTAGTTTCCAGGTTTTGCATGGTGGTCTAGCTTCAATTGACTAACGCTTTCAACTATGAAAGTAGTAAGAATATTAAATTACGATAACAAAAGTCTTATCAATAGTTAAACATTGGAAACAGGAGGTCAAACGTGGGTAACTAGACTTAGAATAGTCATCACAAAACATTAAAATCATTACGTAATAGGAAGTATGTAAATAATTATATTGTGAAGAATACAGAAATTTGGTTAGATGCCTCACTAGTAGAGCAAAAAAGATCTGTTCAGTAGATACTTTAGGTCAGGGGCTGGAATTTATTAATAACTCACTGACAGAGATCGGCTACCCTAGTGCGTTCATTAAGAAGTACATGTATGATACAAGAAAGAAGTCTGAGATTTCAACTGTTCGAAAGAAATCTTTTTACATGAAACTACAATTCAACGGGAATGTGGCTAGTGATACTCTGAAAGATAGGTTAACGAAAGTAATTAGCAGGACATTCTACGCATTCTACGCGTTGACTTTCTCGAATCCACCAGCGATGTCTACTCAAACGAAGGAAAAGTTACCTGAATTGGCCTCCTTTATGTGCATTTACAAGTTCAGCTGCTCCTGTGGAGATAGCTATATCGGGCGTACTACTAGGCAACTTAAACAACGAACGAGTGAACATCTACCAGCATAGTTTGGGAAGGGCCAGATTAAAGCTACACAGCTCTATCTTGGCACATCTAATTGATAGTGGTCATAATGTAGATAAATCGAAATCATTTCGAATGATCTGTCGTATACCTCCATCATTTCCAAACGGAGTTCGTTCTCGTCTCCTTCATATAGATGAAGCTATAAGAATCCGTACATTTCACCCCAATTTGTGTGTACAGAAGAAATTTGTAACCCTCCTATCCCTTCTATGGGTGGACATAACCTTACAAATGACATTATTATTTTTCAAATGATTTTGTATTGTAAAAAAAGACGATCAAATAAGTCTTCTAAAAAAAAATTGTAAAAATTTGTTTTATTAAATGTGGGAGATTGTGGAGACTGTTTGATTAGAGTATGTAACAGTGTGCATTCATGACACAAGTCAGTGAATCAACTATGGACTTTCGGGTCTTGAGGGAAACACTTAAGCCTTTAGACCGCTGATTTGGGACTTGTCAGTTTACATTTAAGACTTCAGTCTATTAGCGATTTTATATTACCGTTTAAAAGTGTGTAGTTTACTAACCTTATCTACTTTATCATCTGTTACACAGAAACATCGAACTAATGCTTCATCCATATCCAAACGTTTGGTAAATACAACAAATTTACCCATATATGGAACTAATGTGGCTTCAGCGTACAGCATACTTGCATATTCTGCAGCTTCATGTACAGCTGAACAATCCATTAACCAAAATCTGAAATTAAGACAAAGAAATCATTTAGATCAGTAATTCAGTCAGCCAGTCATAACGTAGAAGCTGTATGTATGTATATCGGTTCAAGTTGCCATACTCTGTTAGCAGACAGATGTAATTATCATTTCAAATTCCAGAATAGTAGAGGTAGTAACAGTATCAGTGGTAATAGGAAAGATTAAGAATCGAATATACGACTCTAAAAGAAAGTATAAATTGGTGAAATAAAAACAAGAAAGGTTTTGAGGAACTTAGATTTTCAGGGTTTACGAGAAGACAAAGAATGGATGCACCTGCGCCATCGCAAACGATTTGAGTCATGTCGTTCAAAGTCCCTAACCATTGGTTATGATAGTCACGCGAACCCCAAAATGGCAATCTGCACCTATTAAGATGGATAGGTTCAAATGTCAGTGACTTTATGAACTGATGCTATTATTTAATATTATGCAATGAGATAATAGATCTCTATGATTACCCTTTTGTTCATCAGCAAACAATATTATTACTTGTCAGTATGTGGTTGTGCGAACTGTTGAATTTCAGTCAAAGAATGAACCGATCAACGTTGAAAACATGGATGCACTAGACGACCATTTACTCTAATACAGGGCTCCTCAGCCCACAAACCCATTCTGACAATTATCATACGCTCTATGGTGACTAGCTTCGAGAGAAAATTTCTGGATTTACAGATGGAAGCAGTGATATGCAGAATTCAACTGTGTCGAGTGTGAGGTAGATACCCACTGAAGACAATGGAAAATAGTCGCACAATATCGTGGGTCGAATGAAATTGGACAATAATATCGTTGGTTTAGATTGAAGTCTCTGGATTCGATTCTCCCGTGCAGGATTGTAGATTCGCATTTCCGACGAGTCATATACTATGACGAAAGGGCCGTCCAATGCTTTCAGGTTTTCAATGGTGGTCTAGCATATATAGACTCATGAATTTTCAACTGTTTGATTTACTTAACCTCCGTAAATTAGGGCTTTATTTTTTAGTTTCAATGTAAAAAATGACTTTCATTATAAATCAAGATCAGTTGAATAACCATTTAGTTCTTTCTGAATAGTATATAAAATACACAAGTATAATGATCTGAGTAAAAGTATAAATATCTAAACTGTTATCAGGGTAAATCATGCTGAATACCTAGAAACGGAAGGAAATGCACATCCTATATTTAATTGTATAACACTATCAAAAGTATAAGGTGAAAAGTTCAACTTTTGATATAGAACAGCATGATTATTATCACACAGCATTCAAATATGATAGATCTGCGATTCCAATCATTTTATATTTTTAATAGACATTTAAGAGCTAAAGACAATACAATATAATATCAAACTTTTACTGAGTAATTTTTTTCCCAGTACAATGAGAAATGATAATTTATTCAAGAACCGCGTCAATGACTACCTTTTCATAATTAAAAAGGGTATACAATTTAAAATTCAAAACTAACCACCATTTATCCTACCTCGCTGAAACTGTTGTCGTGAAGGAGACACAATCTTTCACTTTAGACAATGGTGTAGATCCAGTAATATCTTCCCATTGTGCTGGTGCTGTACCACCGGTAATACTGCACAACAATCGTAAACTTGGTACATTTTGTGATTTTAAATCATTCACCGATGGATTCAGCATACCACGAACAACAGCTTTCGGTAATGGAATAGTTAAAGTGATTGGTTTATGAAATTTACGACGACGTGGTTCTAATGTGACAATTGGCGAGACTGTAACACGATTACCAAATAATCGTGTAACTAATTCTGGAGCAATTGGCTGAGCCTAAAATTTAGAAAATCGTATTTAACGCAAAAAATGATTAATTATAGTGAGGTGTTTTTGTAGAGACTTCTTTATAGTATAGGTGATAATTATTACAGACCTATCACTCAATTTCCTTCCACTTATGGAATAGGTATGCTCATATTATAATTCTTTAATTGTGTTGTTGTGTAGTCAGGATTTTACACACTATAACTGCATTAGTGACTCACAAATTTGAATTGCTTAAGAAGAGGTTATTTCCTTAGTGTGTTCTGTTCTATTTTTTTTAGTTTATTGTAAAGTAGAATCATAAATGATACTCAATAAACGTTTTCATCTACGTAGCTTTCGACTGTTATCAGTATAAGCAAACAAGCTAATTATTATTTGACTTGTTAGTACAGTCTACCAACCAGAAAATGTACCTTTATCATCAAAAAGCATTAACTAATGTATTGTACAACAGTGGCTGTTTGATAATCATATCACGTACCATATTCGATGGATTTGGACAAGAAATCAAAGCTACGCTAGAACCTTATCTTAGTTACAATATGATGACAGTCCAGTTTATATAATATGATTTCAAAAGCTCCAAGGAGATGTTCAAAAACTTCGAAATACGCTTATAAATGATAACGCCTTGGATCAATAGGCGTCGAATATTCACAGATTGTGTTAACATCCTTGAGGTTCAGTATACACTTCGATAAAAAGTAACGTGATACCCAGAATCATCAGGTGATCATGTCCGTAAATCAAACACTTTATATAATAGCAATTTTTTTAAACCAACAGGGTAGTCTAAAAAATATAGACCTACTTGTAAACCGACACGAATTCTTTTCTGTAGTGCACCTTCTGGAAACACAGCTTGGACTTGTGGAACAACTGTTGAACTAAGAACACCACCATCTGAACCAACTAAAGATGATTCTTGACGTATTCTACTAACAACTGCCATATATTGTGGAAAATCATTAGTCAATATACGAATAATACGTTTCTCACGAAGTTCTTCCAGCGTCTCTAATGTGTCTGTTTAAGTCAATTTCATAATAAAAATGATATGGATATGAAAACATTATATCATGATAGATATTATTATAACAAAAGAATAAGACATAAGAATAAGTTCCAGTAAACTAAGACAAAATTTTGTGATAATACCTATGCATGAGATGATTTCAACCACTCAATCCTTCCAATTCCCTTTAACTACCAAACAACGAAAATTCATCACGCTTACATAAGACCACTGTACCTAGAGGCTGCATTGCGAACTGATCAGTATAATTTAATCAACACAAAATATGAGACAAACCAAGCAATTCATACTGACCAGTAATCAATCACTGTAAATATTTCAGTCGTACAGGCTAATTCCAAATCGTAACTGGTATCTTGACGTTGTGGTCAGGCTTCCATATATTGATGACTCAATCAAGCTATATTAGCTGAAACATCAGGTACATCTGGTTCTACCATATTAGACATTGTCTATAGAGCAGTCAGACTAAAAGCAGTAAAATTAAGGTATGTGTGCGAAGTCATATTAGTGACTGTGGCGAGGTTTGATGACAGTGACTTTTTCTCCCTAGACAATAAGCAGCTATAGTGATGTGCCCTTTCTATAATGGAAGGAAAAGTTATAAAAACCTTGCCCTAAAAATTACATGACTCACCTAACCCCATCGCTGGCGGTAAGGTCTTATAAAAGTACGGTACTAGTTTATCTAAAACTGTTCATAAAAAGGTCGTTTGCAATTAGGCTTAAATAGTTGTCTCTTGAGCACTGCAATAAAGCTTTCATGCAGTGAAGACCATCCCTAATCTAGTCTTTTTAGAGAGGCATCACAGAGAGGCATCGTCCTACAGTTTGATCAACTTGGAAGTGAAAATACTCCTTCGAATAATAAAGGGATACGCGATCAACTCATTCACAATGAAATCCCATCTTCATCCATCATGAATTACAGGTTAGCTGACACCCAAGTTGCACCGACTGTAACACTGAATGACACAAGAGTTCGAGTCTCACAGAGAATATTAGTTTTCTCATTACTAAAGACATACCTAGTTAATTATAAGCAACTAACAAGAGACTAAGTGCCATTAATACGTAATCTTGAACAGAAACTTAGAAAACGAAATCAGTCATTCTTTAAGATTCATATTATAGCCAAGTATTCAGCACTAAATACAATGTATACTGAAAGAAATTACTCTTCCCTGGTGTACTTTTATAGAATGAATTTAGTTGGACATGCCTATTCTTGTGTAATATTAATCTATAACTTGAAGGATATGTTGCCACTTTGACTTTTAGAATGTGATCCGAAATATAAAAAACTATAACTTTACTAATTATCATTTGTTTTGTTTATTAGAAAGTATGTCATAGATACTATGAATGAGAATGTACACCGTAATATTCTGAATACTTACCGAAACTTTGACCCACAGCTGATTGAACTGCTTGATCTGTAGCTTCTAGTGAATGTTCACGCCATATTTCAGCATTATCACTGCGTAATACAACGAGTTCACGTTGACGACCACGTAATGAAGCAAAATGTGGAATTTCTAAGAGAACTGGTGAATTGAAACGACATGGATGCGGTCCCAACTCAATAATGCTACATGGGGCATACAAAATTAAGGAAACATAGGTTAAACTAATGTAAGAAACAAAAAGGACAGATGTCCTTGATAGTAAATTTTCATAAGAAATAATTCATCTGAATTATTTATTGATATCAATTAACTAAGTTAGACGATTATTGAAAACCTGGAAGAACTAGACTGTCATTTCTCGGTAATGTGAAACTCTTCAGCAGTGCTCACCGACAACCATGCAGCCGGGAATCGAACCTCTGACCTTCAGCCTCCAACTTAGTCTTCAGACCACTGAGCCGACATCCAATTGTGTACAGGTCAACCAACGACTTTCAGCAACCAACTTTCATTGTCTACAATGGGTAGCTTTCACAAAGCGGATAAGGTCTAGATCCATCGGTCACGGCGGCGGAAGATGTTCATGCAATATCGTGGATTGTTTGACGTAAAACTTGTGTATCATTAGATCCTGACTCAGTAGTCCAAAGGTTAAGTGTCTGCTTTTGAGTCTGAAAAAGGTCATGGACTTGATTCACAGGTTACGGGGTCAAGGACACTGAGAAATCCCCTGCCAAAATTGAACAGTAGTTCTGTTCTTTTTGACTTTTAGTGGCAATCCAATTGAAGTTGGTTTGTGACATAATCTACTAACATTTGACAATAACCAAAAACAAAACTACTTGATTGATACTATAAAGCCCAACAAATTAGATTTACTGATTACTTAAATGCTCATATTTGTCATTAGAATAAACAGTCTATAGAAATGAGCAAAGATGGATAGTGGCTAGCAGTGGAATCCAGGACGCGCGTTTCGTCCTATTTGGGACTCGTCAGCTGGATGTACCTGCATCTCAGAGTTGATGTTCACTCTGGGACTCGAACCCAGTACCCTCGCTTCAAACGCCATCGCCATGCTTATCATGCTTGTGAATCAAGGCTATATCGAGGCAATACGTACAGTATGCACATATGCCAATTGGAGACTGACCAGTTGCAGTCCTAACACATCGATGGGAAGATTCAAACAAACAATACTAAGTGAGTCTATAGAAATAGTAAAATTTTCAAAAAATTAAAATTTACCGACAAGCTAATCCTTCACAATCATTCAATTGAGGTGGTCGAGCTGTACGTTCAGGTCGTAACATACGGCAGGTAATACGTGTTGGAGCACTTGCTGCACTTGGTGGGACTAAAATTCGTAGACCTGGATGACGACTGCCACGCATCGATCCACCACGTGCATCCACCAAAAACGACACAAGAAAGCTACGCGAGAAAATGAAAGGAAGTTTAAGTACTAAAAACTATACGATGACGATATATAAATATCTCAGATTGATATAAATCAAACAAATTTATGTCATTACTCGTAAACCGTTGAATCATCCCTTTGTTAATATTAAGGACTGAATTTTGTTTCGTTTTTGTTAGTATTTGTATGTTCTGACTATATCGTCTAGATTTAACCATTTTGTCATATTTTTTTCTCAAATTGATGGTATGTAGCTAGCAGTGGGACGCTGGACGGGCGTTTCATGTTATTTGGAACTCGTCAGACAGATATAGATGCATCTCAGTACTGAAGTTATTCAGACAATTATTTTGTGTTCCGGATATATTACATATTAAAAGTTTAGATTAAGTATAATGAATGAGATTGATTTCAGATTAAATGCTGTAATAAAAGGGATGTATCCAGCTGAGAAGCTGATGTCTCTGTATTAAACGAAATGCTAATTACGACAGTCATATGTTGAAAAATCCCCAGCTTATGTTATCTCGAATTGTTTCTGCCAGTTTACATGTATGTGCCAAAGCACACATATTGAAAGGACAGAAAGGAAGGTTAGTGTCCGCATTACTGAACACATGTCATAGAAGCTTCAACTAACAGGACAGTGCATTTCCACGAGTTCAACTGTACGCCATTCGCTTGACAGTAGTTACAGTTTTGATATCTTAAAGTCTTTCAAGATCATTAATATATAAAGAGCGTCTAATTTACTATGCTTCTCTAAAATGATTTCCATAAAAGGACTTCAACTAAATTTATTAACTTAAAAACAGTCAGTTATTATCATCATAGTTGAAAGCATGAGTCAATTGAAACTAGACCACCATGGAAAACCTGGAAGCAATGGACGGCTGTTTCGTCCTGTTGTGGGACTCCTATGCAGTGCGCATCCACGATCTAGCCTCGCGAGATCTTGCCATAGTAACCTCATTCATAAATGCTTATTACATAATTTTTTTATTCTATGATACTAATTATTAATTCTTACTTATCATTGGATATGTACTGTTATTCAATTTTATTTTATATTTTAAGAACTACATACCTATAATATTATTACTTCATTTTCAATTAGTTCTGTCTCCATACTCCTAGTTTTTATTCTTAAAATATTTATGTAATCAACCCATAAATATTCACATTAGAATTAATATATGAACATCTCTTTTAGTTCTTCCATAATTATTACTCTTTTTATGAATCTCCATTGATGAAAACATTTCCAATATTATGAAACTATGATATAAATTATGTACACTGATTTTTGATGATTAATATTATTATATTTAGACTGCATGAACCAGATGAGAAACTGTGAAATAAAAATGAATTCATGTTAGTCTGGTAGGTTCAGTGTTCGTGCTTTGGTTAAATAAAGATGATTTTCATAGTTGAAAGCGTGAGTTAATTGAAGCTAGAACACCAGGGAAAACCTGGAAGTAATGGACGGCCGTTTTGTCCTATTGTGGGACTCCTCCTTGGCAGTGCGCATCCATGACCTCACCTCGTGGTATTCGAACGCAGGACCTACCAGTCTCGCGCCAGAGCACTTAACCGATAGACCACTGAGATAAGATAATTTGTTTGCTCAAACACAGTCGTTTGATGATAAAAAGTTTCTATTACAGATCGCTTAACGTTCAATTGATTAAAGAACGAAATAAGAGCTGAATGCACCACATTACAATGTATTGAGCATATTTTCAAAGTATACAATACAAAATCTTTGGATGTATACGTCGATGGAGAATTCTGATCGGCGGCCTGTGCTCCTCCACGAGGGGTAGCAGATATCAGTAAGCAAGTATACATCACCTATTTCCGGTTAAGCGTAAACAACGCTTAAATTCAACAGTATTAGGAAAACATAGTTGGTCACATACGCATAATGTTAACCACTTTTCATTTCCTTCATATTTCACATACCGCTTGAGAATCATCTCTACAAATAATGCACGTATGATAAATAACAAATCAGTTCTTTTACTCTTTTCTCTCTTGTTCTTCCTATGCTTTATTAATGTCGAAAAGTTTTCTATTTGTCTTATTAAATGAACAGTCTACATGCTTTTGGTATTACTCGATATTTACTTTTACGATTGATGAATTCTTGTACATTACTTATTATCCTCAACTGCTCCCCATCATTCTTTGCTGAACTTTTTAGAAAACATTTCGCTTTGTCACAGAGAGTGGTGAAAGCAGTTAATAACGCATGTGATGAGTTTTTTATGTCAATATGAATATGGTTATGAATAGACACTTGAAATCTAACAAAAAACTGCCAATTATTGTTTAATCAGATACTAAACATTCATTCCATTAACATCTTTCTCCTTGTATATCGTCTGGTAGAACAAGAAGCAGATACATTGGAATCCATGTATACAAGCAAAATTACAGACGCTCTACAACACCATTCTTATCTAACAAATATATTATGCGACGGTTATAAGGGCTGAGCTAATCAAAAACTTATATTTATGAGCATATTAGGAATTTATGGTTGTATGGGTTCTTAATACTTAGTTCACATATATATGTATGTAATTATCTATTGTTTTTTGTGTAATAAAGAGTACAAAAATTTTTCTGAACTATTGTATCAGAAGGGGGTTTCGTGAAAATGTTAGTAATTTTATATGGTTGAGACCATAGGTCAATTGAAGCTAGACCACCATGGAAAACCTGGAAGCACTGGACGACCGTTTCGTCCTATTATGGGACTCCTCAACAGTGCGCATCCATGATCCCAACTAGCGAGATTCGAACCCAGGACCTGCCAGTCTCGCACCTGAGCACTTAAGCAATAGACTACTGAGCCGGCATTCAACGTTGTTAATGTCTAACTTCAACCAATCCACGAAATTGAGCAATCATTCACCGATGTCTTCAGTGAGTTCGTATCTCCCAACAGACCTGGTTGCACGCTGAGGATTCTAAATTGCATTATACATATAATAATAAATAAAGCCATTACAATTATTATCACTATTATTAGTATTATTACTCTCTTCCTGCTCCTTCTCTGTCTTTCTCTTTGTCATAGTCAAATTTAATTTGTCAGTTCAGAATGAATTTCACCAGCTTAAAGAATTAGTTTCAACAGTTATAGTACAAAACCATAAACTATGAAACCAAGAAAGTTTGTAGTGATGAGAGCACGCATACGCATAGTGACAACACACGAATCCCGATGCGCTACACAATTAAAAATCATTTGAGTTTTTTTGAAAAGAAACACGATCGTATCAACTAGTCATTGCGTTTGTGATGTAAATGACCTTCATCACAATCTGCCAGTTGCACACATTTAAACCAAAAAGTACACTGAAAATAATGAAATTCATTTAATAAATTACAAAACAACAGTGTACTTTACGTAAATAAATTCCATTAAAAACATTTTATTATTATTACGAAAAGTAAAGATTTAAGCAATAAGAATAACTAAGATCGATTTACTGAAATTCAGTTCAGAATATCAACGAGATAACTAATAATACAAACATTATACTCGTTAAACAAATTAGTGACTATGTGAAAATTCAGTAACTTGATGAATAATGTGATGGAAGTTTAAAATGAAAGGTACTAGTTTGTAATTTCAGAATAAATATTAACATTGTGATACAGTTGAGTGCCTAGCTGACGTGTTACAAATGGGATGAAACATATATTGCTAGATTCTATTGTTAGTTATAATTCATTAATTCTGAAAGATTATGTTACAAACAATTAAGAAAATGTCTGCTATATGGTTGTTGATCCATAGTATATTTAAGAATAGTTATATTTAATGATGAAGGAACTTAGTTAGACACATACGTGACAGTAAAACGATGTAAATTATTTAATGTTGAAGTTAGAGATGTTTCACTTGAGATAATCGGGTTTTTTTAACAACAACAAAAAACTGACAGAAAAAGAAGAGTACTACGATACCAACTTCGTTTAAAAGAACCAAGCTGGTCAGAATGGTATGTATGTTGAGATCATTTAAACTGTAGATGTTTTTAGATTGCAGACTAGTTCTAATTGGACAATCCCTGAAAACCAAGAAGTTCTGGAACACCGTCCCATTGTGGTATGAGACTCCTCACAATGTATAAACACGACATTATTCATTCAGAATTTTCAATGAGCACACCTTTATATCATAAGTTCTCATACCTTGGTTCACAATTACAATTCCAATCGATTCATAATTTAGCACTACCATCTTTCATTACAAATCGATGGTTATTGTATGATGAGAAAAGAATGAGAATTCTCCCAGGATGTACATATAACACCAGAGATTGATCAATAGCAATTCTGAAAGTCAGTAAATCTAGTTTATGTCCGTTTATTTAATTTGTTGAAAAAAAAGAGTGAACATTATTACGGTCAATCAATTTGAACGCTATACAAATATAACATAATGAGAGTGAAATAAGATAGTATGAAATAAATAATTGTATAAATATGATGATGAACATATGAACATTAACACATACATACAACAAACACATTAAAACCATTACATGACCTTTTTTTTTCATTAGTACAACAGAACCATTAAAAATAAACATATACCGCATAATCATGAAAAACACGATCAGTTTTATTGATATAAAAGTTGTAGGAACTAAGCGATTTATGTAATAATAGAGTCTTGATTATTATTAATAGTATTCTAATTAGTAGTACCGTGAGTTATTCAGTAATTATATAAACAGATATATAATAACCATGTTCTAATTTACAACATAATTCATAAAAATTAGTTTTCACATAAAGTATAAAAACTTAATTCAATGAAAAAGTGATGATCATCAAAACTATGTGATAAAACTGCCTAATAAAAATCTATTACAGAGTTAACATTATGGAATGATCTTAGTCAAACAACTATTGTAAACCAGAAGGCACTAGATGGTTATTTCTTCCAAGTATAAGACTCTTCAGCACGACCTCACTACTAGGGGGTCGAAATCGGGACTTTCGGTCTCGCAAATAAACACTTAACCTATAAACAAAAATCAATTTATACAACATAAAACATTTACTAAGCCTTTTATCGAATAGTATATCATCTGTGAAATAAAAGTACATTGGGCAGATCGATAAAAACGTTAATAATATAAACATAAATAAGTTTGATAGAATATGAATAAGTGAGATTTGAATATACAAACTTTTATTTGGTGGATATAATATTTTGGCGAGACTAAACTATATGGACGAGCCAATCAGAAGCTTTTCAAGGGTTTTCAAGGTCACGGTGCTAAGTTCGGTACCTGATGCTTACATACGGTCGGTTTACAACGGATTTTAGAGAAGACGTGATAATTCAGTGACCACAATAGAAGTGATCATAAGATTTCGGCGCGAAATTCAATTATTTATTTGTATAAATAGAGTTTTGGCATTATGGCTGATGTCAGTTCGTGATGAAAACCCTAAGTATAATCCCTAACCTTAACCATGTGCTGTAAATCATAATTTGAATTCTTTACACAAGTTTATAACCATTTAGTCTTACTTATTATGTTGGTTTCAGAGGTCGACTACTGTGGAGCCATATGGATGTGTTCCTTTACCGTATGCACTATGATTTTAGAACTTCTGAACCTATATCTGATCTTGAGAAGTTTTTGACTCATGTAAAAGAAGTGTATCCACTTTAATTCTTCGGTTTTGTCTAATAAATTTTTACTGTACACTAACAGTCTTATGATTGGCTAATATTTCTCAAGGTCATTTAGGATTCGTTCAAAGGTCGTCCATGTAGTTTAGTCTCGCCAATATTTTCAGTAAACATGCCAGTAGGTTAAGGTTTGTTTCAAGATTGAGGATTTAGAGATGGTGTCAATTTACTTTGTCATATATCCTCTACAAAGACAGAATTGCGTATTTGAAACTGTTATATCCTAGCGAAGACATAAGTACGGGTAACTCCTAAGACCTATTAATGGACGATTGTTCTATGTATATTCTTATTGTTTAACTATTGATTAACTAGATTTTGTATATCCATATTCATCTTATTATAAGCTTTATGGTGACCTATGGATTATTATTATACGAATTACTGTTCTTAAATTGTAGTCAGTTTAATGATTAATGTATCCCACGTTCACAGCCACATTTGGCTTGATCTTGCACAAATATTATTTTCTATTTTATGGTGTAATATGGTCTGTCTGTCTGGTATATAAACCAAGTCTGCTTGAAATAAATGATTCGCATAGCAGAAGCTGCAATCGGTGTTCTGGAATCAATTAGAAGGGCAAGGCGGACAAAGGACCAGTAAGGAAGCTAGGCTGCTTATACTTTTCTGGATATAAGTAACCCACATTATAAATATTTATATTTCGCTTAAAACCCTAAAAAGGTCTTGTTCTCGATACTGATTGTCTTGTCCCTTGAGCTGAATGTTAGAATTTGTTATCAGTAAATAAGCGAAGACTAAATAATCTAGGGAATGAATCAAAATTACCGATAGATAAAGTCATAAAAACAATGCTACATTAAACGATGTTCAGCTAATTATGTTCAAATGTTTACAGCTTAATTGTAATAAAGATGCATGTTATGTATTATGAAATGTGTTTAGGTTGACCCCTTCCCTCATGTAAAAGTGTATGTATCCGTGTTTTATTGTTATCGAAAATTCAAGTGAAATTAGTTTGTGTTATTCCATGAACTGATTGTCAATATACATATCATAGTTTGGCTATTGTTTACCTAATATAAATCTGAACGTTATCACCAAGTTATAATAATAGATATTTTCTCTAAAGGTTGAGAATATATATATATATATATATATATATATATATATATATATATATGAATCTAAATTATTGTTAGTAAAAAATGATATTCAGTGAACTTTCATTTCTGAATTGGTAACTGTTAACTACCGATTTCATAACGTAGTATCCGTGGATCTTAATGTACTCGCTGATTATTTTCTTCTCTCGCTTATATTCATGCCTTTACAAGTACATTGCTTCTTACAATATCATATTTGAGGTTTTAATTCATAGAGTGAATTTGGTTAGACAACCATTTAGGAATAAGAAGCATTGGACAATTCTTCCGAGTATGGGACTCTTCAGCATTGCGCTTAAAAGACCCCACCAAGAGTAGAACCCTTAATCTACTAGCTTTGTGCTGGGTGCTTAGCCTTCAGACTGCTGCGTTACCAAATGGTCTTTTATGGTACATTTGTTCAATCAGAAGTCTGTCAAGTGAACGTGACTTTCATTTCCAAGAGATGAGATTACGTCAATGGTGACTTATTTTTTTTGAAGAAAGGATATATATATATATATATATATATATATATATATATAGAGAGAGAGAGAGAGAGAGAAAGAAAGAAGGGATTGACACACATACGGTCGACTCAGCTAAGTCAATAAGCAATTAGTGTTTTATAAATTTTAGTCATTGTTGAGCATTACATTGCATTGGTAACTATTCAGCAACTGATTATTGTAATTGTATTGTGAAAAAAGTGACTTGAACATGTATTACGTATGTCTACATAATGCCTTCCTCAATGAGTGATGTTTGTTAGTGTGCATATAGGTATGAAAAAAACCTAGGGACAGCGAAATGAGAACGTAGTAACGATCCACAAAGTTACTGATTGAATACAGAAGGTAGGTGAATAGTCCTTGATTGAGCTCCGAACCCTTATCTTAACTATTGGTTGGAGATAGTAGATGGAAATGGATCAAAATCGATTCCATATGTCATATATATATTCACTGTTTGTCTCCACCCAAATGATTAGACTTGAAATTTTATACTTTTCTTTATCCTGCGAATTCATTCTTCACACACAAATCATATTTCCCATACTTTGTCTTTTATAATGTTAGTAATGTTATCAATAGTTCCACCACATTGGCATTTGTCTTGATGATTTATAGTATAGTGCTGATGCAGTGAAATAACTTCGACTGAAACACGAATATGTACAACGTTCAAAGTTGCTTATAAATGACTTGTATTATTAAAAGAGATATCCAACCTCTTAAGCCTGTACACATACGCACATGTAAGAAGTAGTGAAGTGAGTAAAAAAATTTATAATTCAGATGAATATATTGGATGATATAATATTAAATTATCAGGTTTTTAATTATATTATCATCATTACTGCCTACTTCATCAAACAGAAGTTATCGCAATTAAACCAATCATTTTAGATCACAGATATATCAATAACAAAAACAATCAGTGACATTTTATCTCTGTTGTTATTTAATGTATTTGTTCAATTTTCACTGAATACGCATAAAACAAATTAAGAACTTACAAGTAACTATGACAACAACAACAACAACAAAAACCAAAAAAAACATTTTATCGATTGTTTACGTCATTCAGAATTTACTTCCATTAGTAGAAGTAAGGGGATAACGGTAAGTGATACACCAAATGACCTTGGGAAATCTCAACTACTTATTTGGTTTTCGAAATTGGGTTAGGGATTAAGATTAAAAGATAAGGCTAGGAGTCAGGATAACAAATGAGGGTTAAAGTTCTTATATCAACTATAATGTAAGGATCATGTGAAGCCATATGGATGAATGAATTTCGCGCATAAATTCAATAGGCTCTATGTGAAATCTGATTCATATGTCCCTATACTTTAGTTTCATCGATTCATAAACAATTCAAAATATCAAACAGTACTAAACATATTGTCTCATCTTTGCTTAGAATTCATCAGCTGGGGGGATATACATGACAATACATATGATGAGAACTAATTAATTCATGTGTCATAACAAACACGATACGTTAAACTAATTTTATATAACAAAAACTAAAAAGTTATCATGAACCTTTCAAGGATAAATTATTCAGAATAAAAAAAAAACAACTTAAACCATTCAATACATGTGATGAAATTAGCTCACCGTTCACGAACAATCGGGTATAAAAATGATTCATCTTTATTTTCCTGTTGTTCCCTATTAAAATGTTCATCATTTATTTGAGAACAATCATGATTTAAAACAAGCATATTCCCAATAGAAATTTTAAAATCACAGAGAGTATCGTAAAATTATTGTTAGGTTTCTTTTTGGTATGTATTTCACTAGTGTATATCAGTTATCTATATACCAATCATAAACATATCCATAAAGTTATATTGTGGGCGTTAATAAAACAATTTCAAGGTGAAAAATACTACATGATAATTGGTTAAAATGATTGTAGGTTATAGAAATAACCTTGAGATGACCTTAAAGAGAAAGTAAATATGACAATAAAATTTCTCTTTATTCAGAATTAATGAGATTTGAAAAAAAATTTATGATTTATTTAGGTGGAAGCTTTACGTGGATAAAAAAAAAAGAACAAAACTTGGAAGCTTTCCATTGTGACCTGAAAAGTGAACAGGTTCTGTTAATGTCGTAAGATTAACTCTTGAAACGCATACTTTGATATTAGAAATAGAATTAGGACAAAACATATGCTTAACAATTATGAGACTAGAAGTTTACAACTATAAAAAAATAATGACAACTGTATGACAAGAAATGACTATCATATAGCATTTGAAGTGTTGGGTGGTATTGTTCTATTTATAACAATAAACATAAAATAACGATTACTGCACTCACCCTGAAGCTATAGGTTTTCGAGGAATAGGTACATTGTCTGGGGTGAAATCCCATTCAACTAGACCGGAAAATCCTGTTAAACTTGGGGCACCTGCCATAGCGAGTTCAGCATAATCTCGACTTATTCGATTTTCAGACAATCCAACTTCCTGAATTGGAAACGAACATACAAATGAGTAATACTTACAGAAAATAGATACTGCTTACATTAGCTAAAGAATACTACTGTAATTACACATAATACAACTTATGCGATCTAGATTTATGCTCACCTTAATTCATACTCTTTATTATTGATGCTTTATAATGTACATCTCAAAGTAACATCAGTTAAATGTCAAGAAATCAATAGAAAACTGTATTTTCTTCATCAAGTGTATGTTGAGAAATATGTTACTCAAGGCATCGAATACTCGAATGATAGTACAATTCAACTGTTTGTAAAAAAAGATTCCTAATTATTGAAGCTATGATATAAACTATTTACCTAATAGATAGTTAGATAATTGACATTGAGCCATACTGTATCCATGGGGGGGGATTGTGAGACTACCTGATTATAAAAGCCAAGGCAGGAGTTGTACAACTCGAATCTATCTGACCAAGCCTTCTGACGACTGAGATACTATTTCACTATTGATGATGTGAATCAACTCATAAAGTATGTTTTATAGGAATTAAAAGGAGCACATTGAACATTTAACATTTCAAAAAACTGTGTGGACTTGATATAGTTATCATTTTATCCAGTGAATAACCAGGACTCTAGTCTATACTGTCCTTATATGGTCATAGAAGTGAGGAAATTACAATAAACATTTCTTTCTTCAAAAGACATAAGAAAATTATTAAAATACATTAAGTTGTATTCCAATGTAAGAAGAAAGGGCAGTAATAAATGAATACATCGATTAGAATGCATGAAATCTTTGAAGAGGTAGATCTTATCCCTAAAGCGAAGATACCATGATATGCAAATTAATGTCATCAACATTTACTAATCCTGTAAATTATCAGACAAAACAAGCTGTATTATCAATATCATATTTATTTAACGATATAAGGGAATGCAAATGAATTTATATTCGTTATTTCATCAACAAACATAGTAGGGTAAAAAATGAAATACTTTCAACTAATACTACTCTGTTTAACACCTAATAACCAAGGAGATATTCAAATGTAGGGATTATTGTTTGAAGGTCTTATAGATATATTACTCGACTAGGTAAACCGATGTATCATTGTTTAATATTGCTGGTTACAACATTGTATAAGATTGACCGTAGTTAGAGTAAAAAAAATTAGTTATGATCAGTTGCTATACGAAATAATGTTAATTGCCCACTGTTATTGATTATTGGACTGAGATGAAGCTGGTGTCCACAAGATAACTATAATTAACGATCTAAAACCTGGGACAACACAACTCAAATGGTGTGGACTTAGAATATTTTTTATCCACTTGCAAATATTTTGAACTATAATTGTTGGGATCCAATTGTATCAGTACTAATACGACAATGTAATGTTATTATTGCCGTAACTTTTCACATCTCGACATTATAACACTTTTAAAACAGAGATTCCTTGTAATTCATACCTACTCCTGATGGCTACTCTGTCACTGATATATATATGGATCCTACGCTCGGTAGTGATGTCGTAGATGTTCACTATTGAGTACCAGAGCAATACGAAAGTTCAGTGATTCCAGGTTCCCACTGACTATCTAAATTACATTGGTTCATGATTTTAATCACTTGATTGTCTTTACTTTAGATATAAAACCTCTCATGAAAGTCCATTTTTCTCTTGGTCACCTGTCTAAGTATTCTTGCTGGAGGATTGAGATCGGGTCAATTTCGTGTGAGTGTTCAATTGTTATTGTATTCATCAGTAGCAGTTAGCTGAGTCAATGAACTCAGTAATGTTATTGAGATCAAATGAATTCCTATCAATAACAGATTTCCTACTTCTTATACCTTGATATTATTCCTTCTGTATGCTAGAATTCTCACTACTAATTGTACTATTGCTATTTCCCATTCTTTTGATTTGCATATTGTTAATTACCTTTCCTTAAGTCAAGTACAACAACTTGGGCACAGGAAAATTCATATCAGGCTCTATGTTATCTATATGAAATATGAGTCAAGTCTAAAACACACCAATTAGTTGAAGACCAAGAGGTAAGTTGATCGATCTGAAATCATTGTCTTGTTATAGTCCATCATAATGAACGAATTATAAATACACGTGATTATTAAGACCTGCCTTGATTTTATTAACACAGTTTGTAATAAACAATCGAGTTACACCTACTTAAATACTATTTTTTTTACAAAAAACAATGATAAAATCACACAATGTAATTAAAGAAACGTGATTAGAGCATTAAGCACTAATAAAGACTAATACAAGTGGTTAATCTTACTCTGGTGCCATAATTTAAATGTCCATCACGCCAATTCAGTGCGTGAGCATTTTCAGCTGTTGTGCCTTCATGTATACTATCTTCACCTGAGTAGATCAATGAATAAATAAATACATAAATCGAATATGAAGCAAGAAAACTGACAGACCGATAATGATTTAAGGGTAATAATTAGTATCATAAATCAAGTGTTGGAAGTTAATGTTAAAAAAATACTTCAAATGTAAGATTTTGAAAGGAGACAGTTAATAGGAAACGCTGGACATAGGCTTCGTACTAATTGGTACTCATCAGCAAGATTAGATTTTTAAAAACCAATGTTTCTTATACGAAGAGAACCTGGTTCATCCAGGCTTACAGCCTGAGACGTGGTCACTGTACGTAGCACACACGATATCAATACATATAGAATAATGGCTACATTACAACTTGATCGACAGAATCTCATCAATAATAAAGGACTGCACAAAAATGAAATTATTCAGTGCCAAATGATCAATCAGTTGCTAAGTTTCCTCTCTAAAGTAACATCATCCACTTTCTTTTGACCCCATGTTTACTTAACAAGAAAGACAAGCTACAAATACTTCCACCTTAAAGGTAAATTTTTGGTTTAATGATCTGTAAAATTTGGATGAATTGTGGCTAGTAGCGGAATTCAGGAAACTTGTTGTCTTATTTGGGACTCATCAGTTAGATATACCTTTCGTGATTCTTCTGTTCTAATATAAACTCGTAACAAAACAGCTATGTCAAGGTAGTTCAAACAGGATTCAACGATGCCGACTGAGGCCGATAAATATTCAGTCAAAAACATCAATGACAAGATAATTTCAACACTGTCTAAGTTCAGTAATAATATCAAACAATTATTCAGTATTCTGTAATTCCGAATAATTATGTAGATATCTGCCTGCAATGTGAAATATCTCTTCTAGGTGAATAATCTCTACAAAACGCCTTTTTAACAATATTAATATACCGAAACGACAAATCGGCCTAAGCAAGATCATCATTTAAAACCTGGAGACACTGAATGATCGTTTCATTTTAATTTGAAACTCCTAGATAGTGCGCATCCGTGATTCTGTAACCGAGAATCAAATCCAGAAACTTTAGTCTCGTGCGCGACCATTTACCCACAGACCACTGAGTTGGCATCCAATGATGTTAGCATTTAAGTTCAACTAATTCACGATATTGAAAGACCATCTTACACTGTATTCGGTGGGTTGCTGCCTCAAACCCGAACTCTACAAGTCCCGGCTTCTCGCAAGAACTTCGGAAATTTACTCTCAAAGCCAGTCACTAGAGAGTACATGATTTCAATGACATTGCATAATCACTACAATCCATTACTGACAATTCTGAAACATTCTGAAAACATCAGAAAAAGAAACGGACAATGTACAAAATAAAAATCAAAAGATTGAAGGAACTAACATCATCACCTACCTGATACATTTGATAATTTATCTGGAGCTATTTTAACATGATTCACACCACCACTACGATGTCCATGATGTTGTTGTTCATCAGAATGTTTATTATCTGATTTGTGATGAGATTGTGAATGGTGTTGAACATATTGCTGTTGTGGTTGTATGTGCATTTGCTGACTAAGACTCTGTCTACTTTGTGCACGTGAAAATAATGGTGATGATGGCATAATTGTGAAATCCGGTTCAACTAAAGTAGAAAATTCAATAAATATTCCATAAACTGTAGCATTCAGAAATAAAAATAATGTGAGATGGTGGAGATTTGTAGCTCAAGTGGATGATTTTGACGAATTTTTGTTCTTTGAGCTGGATGGTTTGGTAGTGGAGCTTTCATCGTTAGCACAAACTTCAGGTAGAATAATGATGAAAGCTCCACGACCGAACCATCCAGCTCAGAGAACAAAACTCCACCAAAATTAAGGTGAGTTGTAGTGAAAAATCTGAGTATAATTAATACAACAATAACTACGACTGACAATAATATTATTAAAACTACCAATACTATTACTATTAACACATTGCCTAGAATAACACTATACGAAGACGATTAGATAAATGGCAATGTTTCCAAAACCTACGGTGACATGCAAAGTGAACGGTGTTTATTAAGTTACTGACGGTTTTTCATTCAGGCCTGTTGATAAAACGTACTGGTATACTCCAAGAAGTAGGTAAATAAGTTTTAAATCGTAAACTGTTCATAATTGTAGTGAATCGATAAAAATTGTAGTATGGGACTCCTCAGAAGAGCAGATCCATGACCCAAGCACTGATGGAACTCACAATTTTCCAGCCTCACGATAAATGGCCCTTATTTATCAACTGTAATTTCACTAATCATTGAACTCAAAAGTATCCTACTCCAGATACAATGTTTACTAAAAGAAAATTGGATAACTTTAACTATTAACAAATTAACATATGAAAACATTCATCAACAAGAATACTACTGATGTAGACTGTAATTTATAACCAAACACAATAGTAAATGAATGTTGTAAATAACTTATCATCGAGTAGTAATCAATTTCATGCTTGTTTATTCCTTTAGTGTTGATCAGATTCCGTCGATCAAGTTTCAATATAATATCAAGTTGGGATGTTAGATGGTTGAAGGGAGTTTTTAAGAAACCCTTGACATAGGTTTCATGCTAATTAACATTCATTAGAATTTTCTGCTAACTAACTTCAACTCCTCTATAAAAAACAGCTTTGTTAAATAATATACATCGAAATAAAAATATCTCCTAAAAAGCAAAGAATACTGTATAACATACTACATTCTTCTTCAGTATCTGTAATTGGATTATCTCTCATCATATCTGGATGTTCAAGACCAAGTCGATTAGCAGAGATATGCTGTTGTCTACTCAAAGAAGAATTATGATACTCTGGACCAGATGACATGGATGATGCCAATTCTGCATTCATTGGCAATTCATCAGTATTTTCATGCTCCCATGATTCTACACATGTAGTCACCTGACGTAATGCTTCAAATATATTTAAATAATGTTGATGACGAGCAACATGCGCTGGTGTCCAACCATACTATTAAAAAACAATAATAATAATTATTATTAAAGAAATGACACTATAAAATTAAATATGATAAGTATTAAAAGTATTGAGATGTAAAATGAATTTAATAACAGTTTCCAAAATTTAAAATAAGCAGATTTCCCTAATACCTAAAATTGTAAATAGACACAAAGATATTCGGTATGAGGAATCTTATATACAATAATCGAACAATCACTATCATATCCACACCACAAGTGATACAGAAAAAAACGAAGTGAAAGGTTTTTTAAGAGATGGTGATAATTAAAATAATGCCGGAGACATTGTATTTTATCTCAAGCCTGTATGATGAGATTTAAATGTGAATAGATCATTGTGTAAACTTTAGATTAGTTGGAACACAACTACATAGGGGAATAAATGACATTCCATTAGTCTCTCAGAATTAAGTTTTGCTCACGGTTGTAAGCATAGTTAACCAGTTGTTCGATAATAATGTATTGCAAAGACATTTTGTTAAAGTTTTTATACAGAGTTGGTTGATCAAACGTAAGAATATGAATCGATAACTAAACTGAACTATAAAAAACAAACAATCAAACGTAAATATATGTTTTATAAGTGATTAGTTACTGCCCCATTAGCTCAGTGGTGTGAAGCTAAGAGACTCAGGTTTGAAATTCATGAAGATCAACAGTTATCTCAAGGTTGCAAGTACTCTTTTCTTGACAAGTGCCAAGTAGTACAAAAACCAGTTTCGGGGTTTCCTGCTGACTACTTTTAACCACCTGACAATACCTTTATTACTACTGTTAGCATATTTCATAGATATTTCTATTTACATTGTTGGTATCAAGCAAAGTTTTACTATACAATACATCAGTGACTATTTAACACTTAACCAACTTAGGTCTACCGATGTACATATGTACACGTATAATACAACATCTGAATTTGAATAGTACTTTAATAAACCAATCATACTCAGATGATTGAACAGATGAAACTACTTCTACAAACAAGAACAAATGTGTCCATTTTTTAAATGAATAAATACATCATTTTTCACTAAATCTGTACACCAATTGTCTCATCTTTCGTTTATGGAGTTAAACAAATAAAGACATTTAAAGACAAGAATAATATCTATGATATTAAAATGATTTAATTTGATAAATTTAAATAAATTGAACACTGAAATAGCTTGTTTTAATAATATAATTTTCACGAGGGGTTTTATGGAGATTTAGTATTTTCATAGTTGAAAGCATGAGTCAATTTAAGCTAGACCACTAAGAAAAACCTGGAAGCACTGGACGGCCGGCTCACTGGTCTATCGGTTAAGTGCTCTGGCGCGAGACTGGTAGGTCCTGGGTTCGAATCTCGTAAGGCAAGGTCGTGGATGCGCACTGCCAAGGAGGAGTTCCACAATAGGACGAAACGGCCATCCAGTGCTTTTAGGTTTTCCTTGATGGTCTAGCTTCAATTGACTCATGCTTTGTTATATAAATACATATCATAAGTAATTTACTTAGTTCTATGATAATTTCTCCTTAAAATTAACAAGACTAATTAGTCACATTGTATTTATTAATAGAAACAAAACTACATTGAATACAAGAATAAACATGACCAATTCTATATTAGATATTTTATTTATAATATGATTCAATTACATTGTTGACCTTGTTATATGCATTTCAAATTTATGAACATGATAGACATGTATGTACTTGAAAAGAAATTATATTAAGTAGAATAAAAGTGGTTAGTCATTTAGCAACTAAGTGTTGTATACCACCTAATAGTTTGAATACAATGTTTAACTACTGTATTATTTTATACATAATTGTGAACTAGGTTTATTCATTAATTAAAGTATTTCATTGGGTATAACAATACTACTACTACTACTACTACTATTACTACTACTATTACTACTACTACCAATAATAATAATAATAATAATAATACGTTTAAAAGTTGAAGTTCAATAGTTGAAAAAAACGTACAAGAGCGGTTACATACATATTTTCCAATGTTCAATATATATGTCCTATTTATCATTTTCAAATATTTTTTCCGTTCATCTCATGGGTGTGTATTGTATAGAAAGGGGAAAGTTTCAATGAGAATTTCATTTAGAGCTCTAACTCCTACTTAATCAGTTTTTTTTTGATACAACATGTTGGGATGAGCCACATTGAAGTATTATGGTTGAGCCATGTGTTACGTATGCCTGAACACCGATTACCACGACGCGCTATGATGACTTGTACTGGGGATTGTTGGAAGAGATTTAGGGGCGGCCAAACCAAAACATGACATCAATGTTTGAAGTCACTAACTTCTAGTCTGAGTCATGTTGGCAGATGCAGACTACCTGGTTGGGGTCCACGTGACTATCGTAACCAATGGTTGGAGACTCTAGGTGACATGGCTCAGAATCGATCACAATGGCGTAGGTGTATACACTCTTTAACTTCCCTTAAACCTGGAAACTAAAATTGCTTCATATCTCTCTTCCTTCCTGTACTATATCCTTATATACAACCTATAATTTATATACCACTACCACCACTAAATTAATTACTTCTATGAATCCAGTGTTCATCTTGTTGTGCTAACGAGGTATGGCAACTTGGACCGATGCATATATGTGCCTTGTCCTACGTTGTAGCTGACTGAGCTGACTGACATTGAAGTATTTGTAGTAAACAGATATTGATGGGCTCAGATGCATGAAATGAAATCTTTAATAAAAATTACGCACTTATATCCAACACTCATCCACCAAATGGATTAAAACGATAGATACTGTACACTTATTGAAAGACTTTACATCAGCTCACATGTCTAAAAGATTTTAGTGGGATCTTGAAGTTTAGAGTTCTAGTTTCAGTGTGGTCGTGGGTATCCACTTCCTAAAACCCTCATGCTAAAATAGAACATCTATCCAATATTCTCTGGTTTTCAATGACTGTTTAACTTAGATCAGTCTATGATGCCAACTATGTGACTATGGTAACCTAGTTTTTTCCAGAACATTGTCCCGTGAATTTTCTAGCTATATATATATATATATATATATATATATATATATATATATAGGCGTATTGGTGATTAAAAGAATAATTTTTATGGGATTGAATAGATAAGTAAAATTGTCTGTAATTGACGGAAATACCATCTAAAAGACTATTTATTACATATGGATAAGAAATTTAATTGAAGTTAAGTAGTAAATACACAAACAAATTTCTAACTAGTTTAAAGTTCGCTGCTTAAAAATATAATCCTATATATATATATATATATATATATATATATATATATATATATATATCAGTGACGAACTAGATTTATGCAATTTTAACAACTAACACACTTTGTTGGATAAGATTCCTTTATTTGAGGATAATCAATAAACTACTATGTACTTCTGGAAATATTTAATTCAAGAGTTTATTACTTTCAGAATGGTGATTTGTGGAAAGTGCAGTAATTTTAACAGTTGAATTCAGGAGTCGATCTAAGCTAGACGATCATCGAAAACCTAGAAGAACTGAACGGACGTTTTGTCCTAGTATGAGATTCATCAGTTGTACGCATCCAAGATCACGCACGCAGGACTCGAATTCAGGACCTTCGGTCTCGCAAGTGAATACTTAACATCTAGACTACTGAGTTGGCATACAACGGTGTTAATGTCTAACTTCAATCAATCCATGATTTTGTGCAACGCTTCATCCATTAAATTTTTAAAAATTCATTCGCTGAGATTTTACAAATATATTATTCCTATTTAATGTCTTACTTCAACTCGGCGCTCAAATACTGTGAAACTATTCGTTCTAATTTAGACGAGAGTTCTTATACCTTCATCCATTATCTAAGGTGGATAACTGTCTCCACCCGACACGAGTTGAACTCGATTGGTCACGGCTTCCCACTAGAAAAATGTAATTAGTAAACTTTTATGATGATCAGTTGACTGAGATGAATGTGGAAACCATAAATTTTAAATCTTACTAATATGAACTAATTATTAAATCCATAGAATTAACAGTCTTAGTTGAAGTCCATAATGATGAATCAAGAAAGTTGGTTGAAACTTAAAGTTATCAAGCCTGGAAGAGTAAAAAATTGTCACATCAATATTCTCCTTCTCCTCATGATATAAGAAAGCACAAAGTGAGTCGATAAAATATGATTAGATAGTTTAATGAAACCTAATAAACATTCCGGACTAGTTATTTGAAACGAAGAAAAACAAGAAGACTTCATAGAAAACACACATAAAGTTTTAGATGACAATAAACATATAATGATGACAAAACACAAAGCATAGAGATCAAAATCAACTAAATTCCAACCTATATTGTAAAATGAAAAATATTTTATGGAACCGATTTCTGAAGCTAGAAGCAGTTAATTTTTAAAAAATGATGTGGTCTGCTTAAGGTTCACAAAACCCAGAAACTCTTAACATTCTGCATCTTAGTCCCTAGATCATGAATTTAGACAATAATTATTCTAGCCTCGAACAAAATAAGCTAGAAGTACAAACGGTTTGAGAGATATTAATCTTTGTATTCGTTGTTTGAACTAACCGTTTGAAGTGAAGGGTACTAGCTTCGAGTCTCTGAGTAAACATCAACTCCGGGATGTGGGTACATCCGGCTGATCAGTCCCGAATAGGACGAAACAAGCATCCTGGATTCCACTGCTAGCCACCATCCATCTCTATTTATAAAGTTTGAAATATACTTTTGATTTTATTGAATAGGAATAAGCGCATTAATTTAAAAACTAATTGCATAGTTTCTTTTGGCGTGAAGTCAATATTTTTAAATCTTCCCTTAGAAGAAAAACTATTGATATCATATGTTGTTGTACTGATAGACTAGGGGGTTTCTTTCCAAACAACGATTCAAATACGGATTGTCATCATAAAGGAGAGGTTAGCTTCATATTGATTTTGATAAATAAAACTTTTTCGGTTTATGAATACCTTGAAGTTTGTCTGTTTATATCTATTGTCATATAATGGAAGTAATGTTATATCATTACTTTTTTTAAGGCAACAAAATTATACCCTGAAGATTAAGATGAAAATTTAATAGGAAAATCATAAATATACATAATTGATCACCTTGTTACGCATATTTGGATTAGCGCCACTTTCTAATAAAATGTAAATAACTGTCGAATGACCTTGTTGTGCAGCTAAATGTAAAGCATTTGATCCCATACATGTTATAGCATTCACATCAGCACCTTTGCCAAGTAAAAATCGAACCATATTTACCTAGTGGAAATAGATAATATAAAGTATATCATATGTAAAAAATTTAGAATTTTCATTATTAACTCATTTACCGGGTATAGAGAATCCGTGTACTTTGCACCGACGTACACTTCAAGCGTAAGGACTAATGAAGCTATTCAATTAACTAAAGTATGTAGGGTGAGGGTTAGGATCTGAGAGTCAGTGACTGGAAGTTGGACACTTTAACCACTAAGCCACAGTTTTACGAAAATTTAAGAAGACGAATAAGGTAACTAGATGATCGCCTAAAATGTACTGCACCATGTTTGTTTGTTAAATACATAACTTTCAATATGGACTGATATAATCTGGTGAACCGTTGAAAATAAGACAACACTGGACACATCTACTTTGAACAACTGTGGAATTACTCATCAGAGCTCTTTTTACCGTATAGCAATCAAGATAAGTTTAGCAACTGGATTTGGATCTAAAGGTTTACAATTTCATTTCTTTACGTAAAGCTGTCGTTTGACAATATCAGGGGTGTTACCTAAGTACACAAGTCACATAGTTTCTCACTAGAACTTGATCAGAACCATTTTAGAGGTAGTCACTAGCGAACATACGATTATCACATCGTTTAGGTAGATTATGGCTTATGGTTTGGAGACGGTTTTCAACATAATCTGATATCAATTAAAAAGAGTTACTCAATACTTATGGAAAATGAGACCTAGTCATAGGTTTGATCTGGTACGGAGATTGTATATATGAACAACTAAGTAGTTATGTAGTTAGTTATTGACTAGTCGTTGCTTTTCAATTGTTCTCTAGATGAAACCTGTTAGCAGACAAAATTATCTTTTCAAGTTGATAATCTGATAGCATGAAGTAAAATTGCTATCATTTGACTCCTCAATTTCAAAAGTTATCCAAACACATAGGTGCACACACATAGACAGAGGAATTCGCAGCAACACAAGATAGTTATGATATGAAACTGATTTAATACAATACATTTATATAAACTCACTTGACCAAAATGGCAAGCTGTATGTAAAGGAGTATATCCTGCTTTCGTTTTCAAATCTAACTCAGAACCAGCGTTAAATAATAATTCTGCAGCTTTAACACTATCCTCTTGTGCTGCTAAATGCATTGCTGTAAGACCATTCTAAAAAAAATTGTAAATTTAAATTAAATATTGAAAATTAGTTATTTATTGTACAGACATAAGAGACAGTAAATTGTTTTCAGATAATTTTATTTTAATAAACCCTCATACTGATACTTATTCCCCACAAATATATACCATGAGTCTCATACTACGACGAAACAGCCAGCCAATGCGTTCAGGTTTTCATTGGTGATCTAGTTAAGAAGATCATCTCATGATTACAACTGTGAAAATATGATATGACTAGTTTGATAATCTAGTAATTCAGTCTATCAACTGCCAAAAAATCTAGTGTTGTGAATAAAAATTCGCTTTAATCATGATGTAGTGTCTACTACTTATGTCAACAGACGGCGAGCAGAACCACCGCAAGAGCGACTGTTTAAAAGCGAGGCGAGTGTGGTGTATGCTACTTATGTCTGTCGACATAAGTAATGTGTAATACCATTCACAAGTGGAACACTTGGTATCAGAGACCTAGGAAAATCAGATCGAAGATGACGGGGATAGAGAGTAATTGTAATAGCTATGAAGGAACGATGAAGATTCAGACAATTGATGGAGGGTTTGCAAATGAAATATTTAATGTATGGTTTTCACAATAAATTGGTCTTCTCCATATGTGTTCCCGTTCGCAACAATGAGATTAGAAGAAAAGGAAAACTATTGTACTGAGAACTAAAACAACTTATCTTTTGTAAAAAAAAATATATGTAACTGAAACTATACAACTCTTTTAAATATCACATAATACACACGATGAATAGTGGATGAAGACAAAAATGATTATATGAAAAAATTGTTGAAATTTTATTGTCAACTTCATGTGTGTTCATTGACGGATCTAATTGTATTGGTTAAATTATTAGACACATTTGACTTTTATCGTTCAAAAAGGGATAAATGATAACCATTAGAACACCTAGATTTGAATATGAAGTTAATTCAGGAAAGCAAACTGATATCGGTAAGCAGATTTTAAAAGCTATCCATTGTACATCACTTATCGTATGTTATGTTTAAGTAATTAAAATTTTAACAATAGAAAATCTAATACAAGTTTGCTGTTGTTACGTTTTGTTTTACCGGCGTTCAGTATTTTTATCACCAAACATTTTGATTCAGATTAAACATTCAACTTATGAAAACAATAGCCTCCATCATCCACCACAACTTAAAAAACAATTTTACTCAGCTTTTATTACTGAAATAATAACTCACTGTTATCAATTGATGTTATTAACCGCAAAATTGTCTTCTAACTATTATGGTATAATGCTGTATATATAAACACATACTCTGTTTTTAATATTTATCTTAATTTCAGTAGTTATTCATTCTAAAATTAAATAAACCCTATCAATAGACTAATTACTACTAGTATTGTACGCTTGAAAAAAAAAATTAGCAAACTTTTATTCCAGTGTACACTCATGAAATAAGAAGCTAAAGGGAATGAAAACGGTTAAACGTGAAATTCGTTTGAATACTGAACGCTATTGTTCACAAGCATTCGCATGCATATATTTTTTAAAACTCACTTAACTACTATATTCAAAATGAGTAGTTAAAAAAGTGAAATATTATTAGATAATAGTTATCATCTAATCACATTTATTTGTATCAGAGTAGGTAAATATGTAGATTTACGAATTAATTAATCCTACATGCAAGATGAATAGATTCATGAGTAACAACATGTCTAACACAACTGTATAAAAATATATAAGTTTAAGAATATGAGCTACATCAATAACCATTCAGTGGAGTGCTCTAAATAAAAATGAATTTGAACTAAATATCTGTATTGATGTATCAAGTCCGATTTACATTGACAGTTTTGAATTAACTGTAAACAAAGCTGTAGTTGAAATAACACCATTCACAAAAGGTGTGTATGCCAACAAAATAACAATAAAATAATACTACAGTCTTCATGGTTAAAAAAGGAAAATTTTAAACCACTATTAATAAATTCCTACACGTTTAATAGATTGGTGGATATCTGAGCTCAACAGTTCAGTAGAGTGAGAGGTACAAGGTTAGCGTTTCATTGTAAAAATCAATGCTGGGATGTTGGTATATACATTTAAAAAGCCTCTAATAAGAAAGAACATCAGCCCTCAGTTCCACCACGAACCAAATACCAAATATATCAATATGTATGACGTAACCCTATCTCAAAACAATATGCTCAGGATGTTCATATAACAACAGCGACTGGTAAATTACTATACTAAATATCAACGGTGTAAAGTTATTCTAAACCCTTATTAGTAATAATAATAATAAAGTGGCTTACTTTTGCTAAAGCGTTTACTTTAGATCCAGAATCAATCAGTAATTTAGTCATTTTCTCATTTCCATCTTGACAAGCTAAATGTAACGGAGTGAAACCATTACGTGATTGTATACTACAACAACCACCATCGACACCATAACCGCCATTATCATTAGTATTTTTCTTATTATTATTATTACTGTCAACAGTAGCTTCAATTAATAATTTACCAATATCTACTAAATGTTTTTCTGCGGCAATATGTAATGGAATAAAACCATTTTTAGCTTGTGAAACTGGAGATGCCTAAAATTGAAAATAAAAATAGAAAAGAACAGAAATAATTATAAGATTCTTAAAGTAATGTGTTGGTATTTTCGGGTGTATAAATACTGTAGAAAAATAAATTCAGAATTGTTCACACTCGTAAGGAACCCTACAGCATCTTTTTTCTAGATCATATTACGCTACTGAATTTCAGTGTTATCTGTTTGGCTGATTTCGCTTTTGGTTCGCTATTTTTGTCTCAGGGTATGTCTCAAGGTTACATCCATGATTACGTTAACGAAGTTGTTCTAGTATAATTTCAACTGCTTTGACTATCAAATATTTTCCAAAAATCCTAACTTTACCTTTTTCCATTGTTAGTAAGGAAGTATTGTGTATAAATCAGCTGATATATTTAGATCTCAGAGATCTTGTTCTTATTAAAAGAATTTTCCTAATTGTCTGTAATTCAAGATTATCGTAAGTTATAACCAAACATTAGTGGTCGCGAAATAAATCAGGAATCAAATAATGAGTAAAGCTTAGTCAGTTCTAAAATACCAAATCAAACTATACATATCGATCACATGATATATATATATACTCTGAAGAAGTGGCCTACATTAAATCACGAAACATAAGAAATGCGATTTCTTACTCATCGGGATATAACAAAAAGTATAATTATAATTTAAAAAGATAATTGTTAATTTTAGTAACTAACTAGCGTCCTTTTAAAGTTAAGCAGTGGTTGGGTATCATCAGATAGTATTCATGATATATGAATTGACGTATATTCATAACCACACACCCAATGACTAACATAACTTTATTGGAACTGTAATTTCGAAAGCGTAAAGAAAAATCATTCAATATAGCTACTACCGAAAACCCTAGTGTTTTGAGTATGACATGTAAATGTAGACGTTTTAACTGAAAAGTCCTAAATTAAGTTTGTAAAAATAAGATATGAACTTCAAAACTTTAAACAGAATTGGATAGTGGGTAGCAGTGGAATCAAGGAAGCTCTTTTCATTCTATTTCAAATTCGTCAGCTGAATGTACTAGCACCCATGTTAGTGTTCACGTGACTGGTAGCTTTCGTTTTAAATGATCAGTGCGTTATCCAGTTGCCTACTGAGTCCAGATAAATACCGACTTGAGCAATGGGGTAGACTGCGATTGATCAATCTCTTTTTGGTATACTTAGATCATGTGTGAATTGCCTCGTTATTGCCATTAAGCTACAAATATTTTAGTTGCAATCAGTAACACCAACGAGAACATTCAAAAAATATCAATACAGATGAATAAAGACTTAAGGTTTAGATACAAGAAGTATAAACCAAAAATGTGTCAAGATGAAGTTGAGAAGTATGAAGGCAGATAATTAAGAATTGTTCAATATTTAACGCTTCGGTCTAATTCCAATTGAGTAATAATCAGTATTAAAATGCTTTATATTTTGTTGAAATTCCCGGAGAACTTTGAAACTGTTTGTCGCAAATGTTTATAGCCAGTGATAGTGCGAAAATAAGTTTGAATAATTCTCTGTTTCATTCTCATGACTAAAGCATATTTTTTCAAGACTATAAAAAAACATCACGATTACAAATACACCTATGGTGAAACAGATGTTAACAAATTTAAAATATCGTTTAATTCATGAGTCAATTGAAGCTAGATCACCATGAAAAACCTGGAATCACTGGACGACCGTTTTGCCCTATTGTGGGACTCCTCAGCAGGGCGCATCCACGATTCTGCCTCGTGAAATTCGAACCTAGGACCCATCAATCTGGCGCACGAGTTCCACAATAGGACGAAACGGCCGTCCAGTGTTTTCAGGTTTTCTATGGTGGTCTAGCTTCAATTGACTCATGAATTCAACTATAAAATTACTAAAATCACCACAAAACCCCTTCTGAGGAAATTTAAAATATTTTGGGTTAAGAAAAGTTTGCTGCAGTGCAGAATATTATGATCTCTCATATTACTTAGTCTAATAGCTATTATGCAGATAAGTCAATCATATTTAGGGAATACTTTTTATTTAGCAAAAATCGATCATTAGGATGTCGCCAATTAAATTGATCAGTTAAAAGATTATCCTTTTTTCAATATCATTTTACCATAACTGATCAGTTAATCAGTCCACTAACCAGTACGAAAAAAGAATATAAAATTGATCATATGAAACTTATTTGTGAAAAACAGCGTTATCATCTAATAGGTTACTCAATAAGAGTAACTTTAAGAGCAGCGATATTTTAAATACAGGTAGTCTACACCAAGTTTTTATTCGCTTATTTTCACTCCTAGTTCTAATTAATGCAGTTCTTGTGTGACGGTTAGTACATACCATTTAGGTTAAATCAGCACTTCATTTACTAAGTCAATGGTTGGACTCAGCCGTGATGGTAAGTAAAGATTACCTAGTTAGAGTTTACACGATTATTGTAATCAATAGTTTCAGATGTTGGATAAAATGACTGAAGCTCAGACACAATGAAGAAAATATATCCACCCGTTGTCTTCCGTTAAACCTCAGCTTTCGAAACTAACTTTATTCTTTCCTCTCGAATCATAGTATCTGTTCCTAATTTCTCCTTCTTTCCCTTCTTCTTCTACTACTACTGCTATTGCTTCTGCTCCAACTATTCTGGCATCTCACTGTACTGATATAGTCTGGTACCTTGAACCGATCCACATGTCTCCCAGGTTCTGCGATGTGCATGACCAACTGACTCTTTTTCGATAAAAACAATTTAGAATAAATTGTGTACAAGACCAACCTAGTTATTTTTACAGAAGACTTATTTCCTGGGTTCAACATTCGTGGATGGGCACTCCTGAAAATTCCAACACTACGATAGAACAGCTGTCCAGTGCCTCACGGTTTTAATGATTTTTCAACTAAGATCAGTTTATGATGTTAACTATGAAGTAAGATGTAATTGAACATGATCAATTTGGTTGGTTTTATGATTAAGTGAAAGGAGAAAGCTTTAATATAAAAAAACAACTCACTTTATGTTCAAGTAATAATTGGACCATAGGTAAACATCCATAATGTGTAGCCAAATGTAATGGTGTTAAACCATTACGTCCAACTGCATTCATATCAGCACCGGATAAAAGTAAATATTTAGCTGTTTCTAAATGCGAATGTTTTACAGCTAAGTGTAATGGAGTGAAACCAGACTACATGATTGTGAATGAAGTGAAATATAAACAAAAACCCTTATTATTAGTATGCGAAAAGATTTGAGAAGATTGTATAATTTTCACAGTTCAAATTATGAAATGCGCTTAGTTAGACTAACGTTGAAAACCTGAAAGTAAAGGACGGTTCGCTCGCCTTAGTACTGGACTCCTCAGTAGATCCTAGGTATTAAACAGAGTAACACTTTTTAAATCTTTTTCAACAGTCTTTATTCCATTACTATTGTTAAGAGGGCAAACTGGGCTCTCTAGTCAAATTTAAGCAACCTAGAGTTTGGGATAAATGGGCATCTGTCCGAGATACTACTTCATGTCTTTTAGAACATTATTATGAAATTAATAAATTGAATACTGAAGTAGCAAAAGTAGTAGTATTAGTGATAGCAAAAAAAGTTAAACATATAGATTCTGAGTGGAGAAGAATGGGCAGTCGAAATGAAAATTATGAAACCTTATTGAAACTCGGGATCTATGATTAGACTAAGACTAAATGGACTTAAACTGCTGTGAGTGACTTCAGCCACTGATCACAACAAACGAGTGGATTGCAACCAAATATTTTGTACCTACTCATGATCTATGAGGGAGCTATCAATAGACATTGTCGAGACTTTTTGAACTATGTCTAAAATCAACTGTTCAATGATCCCTATTTTGTATGCATGCCATATTTATAAAGTAAACATCAAACTATTTATGATTTACAACATCATTTCCAAAAACACTTAAAGCGAGAGTGCACTGAACAGTTGGTTCGCCTGATTATGGGACAGTTTGGTAGCACGTAAACGCTATCGTACCCAGGACCTTCATGTCTCTGGCCAACCACTCAACCTTCAGACCAACAAGTCAGCATGATGTAGACTATGAAATTCAACCAACGAAATATGCAGTCAGGTAGTGTAAACTCTGTTATAATAAGATAATGATTACTAGACCAAAATGAATACTGGACAGTTATTTCTTTCTTGCTTTATTTAATTTTACCACAAGAAAAATGTTCAGTAGCATATATCAGCGGGAAATACAGTAAAACTGTTAATGTCATGATTTGTGTGCAGGCCATTATAATACTAGACCACCATGGATACTTTGACCTGGAATTTCAATCCACAAGACAGTATTCATATCGAAATTATCCATTTTGATGGTAGCCAGTGACTAAAGTAGGTGCATACATGACTCGTTCGTTTGACATTCTAAAGACCACGTCAACTACTCGTTTGAACTCAAGATTTCTCAACCAATTAATTACCTATGTGCACCGGACATTGGTTTTCACTTTCTCACGTTCGTGTTAATATATTTCCCTACTCTAAGAAAAGAGAGTGTTTAATCCTTCCTCACTATGGGAAATATAAACGACCGTCTCATCGATTTCAGTTCAGGGTTCCTCGTGTGAACCATTGATACCATTAGAATTTAGTATATTGTCATTTATAGACATATTGAAAGATAATATTTAAAAAAAAAGAAAAGGGATTAAAATATTTCATAATAAACAATAATATTCAATTACCTTCGTTGTTATTTCTAAGTCTGCTCCATTTTTTAATAATATTTCACATATCTCTTTATGATTACCTTTTGCAGCTAAATGTAATGGTGTATACGTGTCTTTGGTTGAACATTGTACATTAGCAGCATGTTCCAATAGTAAAGTGACTAGTTCTAGATTACCAATACGTGATGCTATATGAAGTGGTGTCTGATTGCCCTGATTTTATAAATAATTAGAAAGAAAGAGAGAAAGATTAGTGAAGGAGAAGAGAAAAGGATGATTTATTGATCTTTTTTCACTAATCATCTATGAAAAAACAAAGAATATTGCCGTGTATTTATCAATTAATAAGTACTACTTGTTCTATAACAGTAAAATTTGATTGAAAACTAATTTTTTGAAGAATGTACTTTGTTTAATTTCAAAGTTTACTTCATGAATTGATTTCAGTTAAACAATCACTGAAAACTAATTAATATTGATTAAACCAGTGACCAGTGGAATTCAAATGTATCGAGTATCAGAAAATTACCTACTAAAATCACTGGGAAATGGTCATGTGAGATCATGAATTGAATAAAAATAGATATGTGAACAATTGAATTTCAACTCAGTAATTCCATTGTGAAATGCTCACGGTGAAAACTGAAGAATCTGAGTTTGACCCCTGATGTGATTGTAGAGAAACAGTACTAATAAGTCTCATATACAAACAAGACAGCTATATAGTGCTTAGTGGTTTGCACTAACTGTTTAGTTTAACTATAAAATTCAAAAATCTAAACAAATCCTTTACACTAATAAAAATATTTTTGATACCGTTTTGATTTGCTTAGCTAGTTTTGAACGAAAAGACTTTATAGCTTGAACGAACAGTTTATCAGATTCTTAAACTTATCACACTAGAAAATAAATGATTTTATAATTAGTCTGTTCTGTAATAAGTATTAGATGATATTTGATAAGAAGACATTTATTTTCAAACATCATAAAGCAATATCTCGAACCAAAATGACAAAATGATCATGGAGAACTAATATAAAGAGGGAGTTGATAACTGTATTGTATGTTAGCTCACTTACCACAGTACAATTGATCAGAGATGACGTTTATGGTTGGAAATGAAAATTATAATAGTCCGTTGTCTTATTGTAGAAGTAGATTTTCATGTACATGAATTAACTAGTAAACAATTAAGAACTTTACTCATCATGAAAGACAACCGGAGATAAAATGACTACATTACAACAGAATGAAGGTAAACTTTATTTTTGTTTATAAACTGTAAAGGTAATAGCTTAGGTATACGTGTTAAAACTTGTAGGCTTTGTTGATATTAAATTAATTTTGTGAAATGTAGTTTATATGACAGTATTAAAATATTATTTTATTACGGGCTATATTACATGGGAAAAAAATCTAATACGTGATATGAACGTATACGTTTCAACATAAGTCTTGTTTAATAAAGGAAAAAAAGATAAAATGTAATATTGGATAATATTGTGGTGTGGTCTACTTATATTCACATAAGTAGTATATGGTGATGGTCAGACATAGGAAGTATTTTGGCAGAAGATCTATAAGAAAAGAACAGGAATGAAGCGCAATCGGTACGAAAATGTATGAATAATGAAATCAGAGAAGACGGAGTGATATTTGCAGAAGGAACAGTTAAGATTGAAACAATTAATTGTTAATCGGTAAATTATTTGTTTACTATATGGTTAATCGAATTTAGTGAGATAGTTTGTAATTTGTGATTAAGTACATTCGATTGTCCCCAACCGTGTTCCTGTTCACTACAATATATGTATTAATATCAGGGTTGAAATTGATGATTTAAAATAATCTGAGAATTGGGTAAAGATTTATTAATAAATATGTTTTTATTATATTCCAACGAGTAGAAAAATTATATTTCTGACATTTCGTAACTTAATGTAAGCCACTTCTTCAGAGTAAACAAATGACCGAAATAAACATTATTATTGAATAATAAATAGTTGAGGTTCACATTTGAAAAGTCTTGCTGATTGAACGCTATATTCGGATCCTAAGCTAATTTCGTAATCCCCGAGCTACAACTAAACAGCGACTTGAACACGACAGAAAAGGCACAAAATATACGAGAAGCACTTTACTCCAAAGGTTCATTTATGTACAGAAAATACAGGATTTTTGCAGTGTTTTAAAAGTCCTTGGGTTTTTCCAAAAATTTTGGAATGCTACCAAACATAGTAGCAGTATAGTAATCAGCCAATCAGAAACTCGAGATGTGACTTTCCATTGTCGTGATGTTTCTAGCAAAACTTCTAGTCAGACGCTGATTGGATAAAATGCTTCCTAATGTTTCCTGAGCTTGTTATGTCTATTGTGAGAAATTTTCTGGATCATCACAGCATGACTATTTAACTAATTACACACATTTATCAGTGTTCCTCTCATTTATATAAACTAGTCTCTTAAAAATATATTGAAACATTTCATCATAAAAATAGTAAATCAGTTTCGTTCCATTAATTATATAACTTACTCTAGCTTTCACATCTACTTGAGCACCATTACGTAATAGTAGACGAGCTACATCAGTTTGTCCAGCACGTGTTGCCAAGTGTAAACTAGTTTCACAACGTACAGTTGGTGCATTTGCATTAGCACCATGTTGTAATAATAAAACGACAATATTTAGATGCCCCATGAAACATGCAACGTGTAATGGTGTTAAACCGGACTAAAATGAAAATAAACAATGAAATGATATAATAATGCAGTGATATAGCAAGCAGAAATACAGTCCCATTAGTTTCTTCTGAAATCTTTATTGTCATCCTTTATAAATTATTTGTTATCTGATTATACGATCTTGATTGAATATTTTAAATAAAAATGTCACTTTTAATTGGTTAAAGTTGATTCAGCTACATGACTGATAACCTTATCTTGTGAAATTAAATCCCATAGATGTTTCGGCCACATAAGTCATGAGAGTATTTTACTATTTGATAGCGCCATCAATCGATCAGAATAATATTCATTCATTTGAATAACCGAAAATTCTCCCATAAAATCATGAAACCCGAATTCGTAATACTTTCACGAATGAAGTCAGTATTCTAACGGGTTAGTTCCTATATGAAGTCAACCAATTTAGTAATGAGGCAGTTAATCACTAGAGATAATTACTGAAGACCATGGAATACAACAGATCAGTTGAAGTTAAACCACTGAACATATACTCAATGGTGACTGGATGTTCTCTTATTCTTCATGAAACATGAATAATGCACGTTCAATGTGTATGCTACTAAACAGTACCAGATAACTTCATTTAAACATTTTCTCAGTGCTTCTTGACGTTAAATGGTTCTCTAGTTGATGCTGATCATTCGGTGGTGTGTTATCCTCGTGCCAGAGGGTTTAATTACGAAGCTCTCATTTTCAGTGTGGATAAAATTGGAGTAGGCACGAAGTAGGGGTTGATGTTGTCCAGGACGACAATAAGATCTCTTCAGTAAAACTGTCTGGTTTAGAAAACACAACACCACCAAAAGCAACTATCTGAGTTGCAAATCTTCTTCACTGGTAAAAACGTTGCCTCCACAAAAATTTACATCATTGAATAAGTAAGTAGAATATAATTATTTTTTATAACTTACCTCTGTTGTAGCTTGAATCAAACAATTATATTTCAATAATAGTTCAACAATTTTAATTCGGTTCTTTTGACATGCAATATGTAAAGGTGTAAATCCATTCTAATAACACAAAAGAGGAAAATAATAAAACTTGTAATTATTGCAGACTTATCGTTATTCATAAATGTAGTTAGTGTTTGCTGTGGATTAATTGTAGTAATAATGTTAAACATCATGAATCTCTAGACTGTTGTTTAGTCCTAGTATAGGACTTCTCAACAGTTCTCACCTGCAACCAATCAGGAACCGAAACCAAGTACTTCATAGGTTTCCCATTAAATGCTTAACATTTAAACCATTTGTTTGAGATCCACTGATACACATTTCTAACTGCAATCAATTCACGATGTCATATGGCTATCGCCTAATATTAATAACCAATAGCTAGCTTCAAAATGGATCTACAAAATTATAATGAGAAGTTTCAACTGATGAATTTCAAAAATCGCGAAAATCAGCGTGTTATTAATGACAATATTAGATGAATGTAACGCAATACAAAGAATCAAGCAGAGTTTGAAAAGAAAACAATTAAGTTTCCACTTAAATGTGAACTGTTACTATATTTGATCTTAGATCTCTAGGTGCTAGGCTAGACTTTATAAGAAAAAACGTTGATACACTACACAAAAAATCTTGAACTCAGATGAAACAATTTTCAAATGCCCCCCATTTTTCAGTAACTTAGCAGCTAATGTTAATCTGCAATGAAATTTCCGTGTATATATAAGAGTGAAATGCAAACAATAGCGAGTGATTCTTACAGGTACACATGTTATTACCATACAACTTAAAAACTCTCTATTTGAATGTCAATTCCAAATAATTTAACTGTATCACATAATTAAATTCTACTTACATCAAAAATAGTGCTTTTAAAAGATGTTTTGTTTGCTCACTAAAACTAATGACAATGTCTAGCCAAGAAAATTTAAAAAGGAACACTAGTAACAGCTTTATTAGCGAACCAAGGCAAACTAATTCAAAGAAAAACGATAATAACCAAGATGAAAGTGAATACAACCATTTTAACATGGAGTTCTGATGAATTTAAGATTTCACAACCTTAATTTCGAGTTATACCAGTTATTGTGCATGTACTAGAAAACCCCACTATAATCAAATCATTTAAAAAAGAAATACACTAGTAAGGAAGAATATGAATTTATTAGGTAATAAAGTTTCAGCGATGAAATCAACTATTAGTAAGACAGTTTTATTTATGTACCGGGACTAAGTTGGAGGAGTTGAAGTGTAAAATAGAAAATAAGCCATATTACTTAAGAGATAGTTATTAGTACTGTGTGAGCTAGTTGATAACTCTTCTGAAACCTGAATCAAATAATGTTGTTATTTAATCTCATTGAGATTCGGCTAATAACAAACAACCTAAAAAACCGTAACAATAATAATCTGGCGGCCTGCCTGAATATCTAGGCTACCTGTTCCTGTCATCAAGTTATTTTAACAAGTTACCTGTCTTTCGTTTGTTTTAACACATCATTATGTCTATTGATCACATAAACTACTTAAGCGTGTTTATGAAAAGTTTACAACCTTTCGTTGTACAAGCCGAAAAAGTATAATCAAAGACATTGTGGTGGTTGGCAATACCCATTGAAAAGGATGAACATTATTTAGATAATGATTTCTGAACTGCTAACATCTTCTGGAGATCACTCATCATTAATCGTCAGGATCAATCAAGAAAAATAAAAAATAAACTTGTCGAAATACTTTGTTCTGAGAATTATATATTGTACCGAAAAATGTTGAATAAAACCATTAATAATAAATAAATAGATCAGAAAATGTTTTTGTGGAGACTTAGTATTTTCATAGTTGAAAGTGTGAGTCAATTGGAGCTAGACCACCATCGAAAACCTGGAAGCACTGGATGGCCGTTTCGTCCTATTATGGGACACCTCGGCAGCACGCATCCGCGACCTTGCCTCGTGAGATTCGAACCCAGGACCTACCAGTCTCGCGCGAGAACCCTTAACCGATAGACCACTGAGCCGGCACCCCATGGTGTTTATGTCTAACTCCAACCAATCCAAGAAGTTGAGCAACCGCTCACCAATTGTCTTCAGTGAGTTCCTATCTCACAACAGACCTGGTTTGAACTCCACTGCTGAGAAGTCCCACAATAGGACGAAACGGCCGTCCAAGGCTTCCAGGTTTTCCCTGATGGTCTAGCTTCAATTGAATCACGCTTTCAACTATGGAAATAAATAAATAACAAAAAGTCATCTATAAACAATGTTAGTAGACTAGAAGAGGTCAAATAATTCACTTTAAAATTAACATAAAAAGTACAAATTAGAATTCATGCCACTAAATACCACCAAAAGATTGATTTATGCAAGCACATAAAACTGAATACCTATGTGTTCTGTTTAGATGAATATTCAAACAATTGTGAAAAATAAGCACTTCATGGGACAAATGGAATTTTTTTGTCAGGTCATAACAGGAAAGATATAATAATAAAAGTACTATACATTTGATATCCTTTGTTCAAACCTACCAATTGTAAGTTGTTTAAGGTCAAGTGAACAAGAATATACTATTGACCATGGAAAGTGACTAAACAATCTACATTAATCATATCTTATGATATGCAAAAGAGATATTCGTGTCTATTACAATCATTAAATGTGAAAATCACATTTCTGGATTTAGTAATTTGCATAGTTTGAAAATAGTTTTGATCATGGAATAACATCAGCTGGAGAATCAGTGAAAACCAAGAATTGTTAGATAGCTGTGTTAGGTGGTTAGAGATAGTCGTTAGTAAATCCCAAACCTACGTTTCGTGATATTTGTTACACCTCAGCAAACTATACTTGAGATCTGCAGGAAACGAATGATCCCAGTAAGATTCCAATCTGAATCACCCAGCTTCATACTATGAGATGTTATCACAAAGCTATTTGGACAATGACTGTCTCCTTGTAAGGCTGAAATATTTATGGCTGATTACTGAGTAGTGACCACTGCTATGATCGTCTTGTTCTTTGGCACTGATAGATCAAATTGTTATGTGGCCACTCCATCAATTAATTATACAGACATTTACTTTGTTCTATATTGAGACAATGTTAAAATATATACCTTCAAATAAGACTAAGAATCGACCTTAGAAAACGTCAAGTTTCATACAAAATACGTTAAATATAGAAAAATGATTTTTATTTCTGTGGCTCAAAAATTCGCAATCAATTTATGATACAATGAGATCTTTCTAACAATATCACTAACCAGTTATGGCCTCATCGCTAGACTAGTTTACCTCATATTTCACAACTTCATCGCAATATCGTCTCTTTATTTTGTAGTTGATGAATATCAATCTCTAGCAGAATCAGTTTGGGATAAAGATCATCTGTAAACTCTAGAAAACATTTTCACAAAACCACTATTTATGAAAAAAAGATATTTTTTTCAAATATAACCTGAATAATGCTTAGTCCGCTGTGAAGTTCTGGAGATTAATCAATTTTGCTCAATCATGTATAATAATTTACAATTTTAACTATTCTCCATCCTCTATATATCCCATTCAAAATACTGCCTATATTTTTATTCATCTGTCAATGGTACATTGAAGTCAATAACAGAGGTGTAACTAGATTAAAATATAGACAAGTTATTTAAGCTAAAAATTCAACATATAAATAGTGTATAACACTACAATCACACATGCACACAAACACACATAGGCACGCATGAATTATTTAATCATATTTAAGGATTACGATAGTAACAATAGGAAGTAGAGTAGAAAAAACTAAAAATATAAACATGATAAATCAGGATAGTCAGCCTACAATGCAATTTTGGGTGTGACTGAATTAGTTTGACTTGAATCAGCATAGTGTTGATTAAATGATTAAATAATAGCAGTATATACGGGCAACAAGGTGAGTATGTTGGTAAAAAGAAGGGTATATACATACCTATTATTGTAGTGTAAACACCATTCTTTGCTTTATTTCATGTTACTTTATTTTGCAAATCGTACAACTTAAAGAGTCATTATAAGCACTCACCTAACTATTATGAGTTGCAAGGTACTACTTAAAAAATAAGGTATTTAATAGAAGTAGTATTATTACAATCAATCAGTATTTTTTTCAAATATTTAAAGTTATATGTTTAATTGACATTTCTTACAGAAAAACTACCCTACTTTAAATGATTTATACAATTGTATAGACTTAAAGGATTGAATTAAGATAGGATTATACACAGAAAAATTATAATCTAATAGAGTCAGATGTGATTAAATAAATCTTAGTATTGAACATTAAAGATTGTTGAACTTCATAGTTTGGATCATGAATCCATTTTGATTAGACAAATCACTTAAAGCTGGAATGCACTAGACAAGTGTGTTGTCCATTTAAATGATTTTTCAACTATCCGCACCCGCGACCCGACCGGGGATCGGACCTTACACTTTAAAGTCTAACAGCAAACTCCTAATCTCTAGATCATCGGTGGTATTCTGTAGTTTATATTTATAATTTATATTTATAATTTGCTATACTGAACAATCCCTTATCAACTTCAATACTGATTAACTGCTCCATACCAATATGGTTGAACTCTATTGGTCATGGGCTTCTGATTACAATCCAGAGAATTCCTTCCCAAAGTTGGTCAACAATTAATGTACAAATTGTTATGAAGGCTTAAAACACCAAACAGATTTATACTACATTTAGGATCGCTTTGTATATCATTTCTTTTTCGCTTAAATCAAAGTAGCGAATAGATTATTTTGAAAGTTAACCAAAACTAGTTTTATTCTTTTAAATCAAGTCTTAACAATATACTACTTTAAAACACATATATACATATATAAATAATAAATATTCTTTCCAACAGATTTTCATCAGGTTTAACAGTTATAAGTGCGAATTAATGATTTCAGGGAGTAGGCAAGTTTAAGATAAATATATGTTTCAAAGTTACACGTTATAAATTTAGGACTGTCAATATGATGTGACTATTTATCTTAACATGACTGGTATGTAATGCTTGGTTGAATCACTTTATTTTTCATTAAAATTAGGAAATTAATCGATGAAACTACAATTTATGGGCAACCTTTGAGCGACGCTAACGTGACCTTGAGAATATCCACCCACTAACTAGGACTAAACAAGGACTATAAAACAGTGTGAGGAATTAAATTCATGATTTACAGCTGATGGTCAGGGTTAGGAACTAAATTTAGGGTTTTCATCATGAACTGACCCTAGCCAAAATGTAAAAACGCTATTTAGCAAAATGGATGAATGAATTTCGCGTCAAAATTCAAAACCTGGTATCTTACATCTGATTGGTTCGTCTATAAATTATAGTTTCGCCAATTAATCATCAAAGAAAATATGTGTAACGTAGATCACAAGAAATAGTGATGTAACCATAATAGAAATCAATTATTCGATCACTGACTACATAATATACGGAATGATATAATTAAGTAGGAAATAGTAATATAGGATAAAGGGTAAATAAATTTTTATTATATTTACACGAAATTAAAAGTCATAATTGAATCGAATGAAAATATAGAGCGGAAGAACGTACAGTAAGTACAGTAACTGGATTAAGTAATCTGATAATTGAGATAAATATTCACTTACTGAATGTAATGCTGATGACAGTAAGGGAAGACTTGGGACATGTTTTTTTCATTAAAAAGTCCTACTTATTTAATGTATATTTAAAGGACACCGAGTTTGATTTAAGTAAATAATACATACTAGTCATTTTAATATTAACAATCTTAAATTCATCCATTGTCATAATAAAATATGTATTTGTCTTGAACTATTAACTATATTTCAGGATAATTAATTTGGGCTTTCTAACTATAGAACGTGACATAGATTCATTGTAAAAATATATTTTTTAATTGGAAGTCAATGTTGCGATATTGTGGGATTTTCTGAGACAATATTATTATTGATTTTGGGTACTAGTGGAGATTGTAGTATTTTCAAAGCTGAATTCATAGGTCAGTCTAAGCTAAACCACTATTGAAAATCTGGAAGCACTGAATCGATTGAAGTTTGACATTAACACCTCTAGATGCCGACCGACTCAGTGGTCTAGAGGTTAAGCGTTTGTGCCCAAGATCAAAGGTCCTGGGCTCGAGTCCAGTGTGGAGTATCGTAAATGTGTATTTCTGAGAAGTCCCAAGCTAGGACGAAACGGCTGTTCAGTGTTTCCAGGTTTTCAATGGCAACCTAGCTTAGATTGACTCTTGAATTCAACTTCCACAATATTATCAGTTCTCGGTCGAATGTATACAACAAGTCGATAAATCATTTATCATCAATCGTATATGTAAGTTCAATACCTATTCAAAGAGTATAAAGACTTGGAAATCAAAACAATGTCTTCCAGTGGTGGTTCTACATTGAGTTACAAACTATTAACTAGTGGAAGATTCATAAAAACCCAAGATAGCCCAAAATCACAAAAGTTTATATTCACAATCTCGTTTGGAATAAAACCTCCTGTCTTCAACACACAAGAGTTCCTAAACTCTTAGTTAATATGACAGAGAACCAGCTTATAAGCTTGAAGTTATAATGTTTTACATGTTATTATATTGCGTAATCCTCATTCATTTTTATTATTGAGCATCCATTTCACAGCATCAAGTAAACTGAGCTTCCTAAACAATAGTTTCAAATTAAAAATTTTGTGAGATGCATTTAGAAGGAAGTCATTACTCACAAAATAATCGTTAATAATTAAACCTGATTATGGACGGCTATATTGTGAACTAACACGAGTGAAAATTACCACAGAACAGTTATTCTGTCCTAGCTTGTTGCTCTTCAGGAGATGACAGAAAAGATTTGTAGCTCAGGAGGATTATTTTGGTGGAGCTGCATCCACGGAGTTTGATGGTCTAATCATCAGGTCTCTAAACAACATATTTAACCGAATTTTATGCTAAAGATATTATTTAGGAAGAATGAAACTTTTACGATTATAAGCCTTCCAACTCAATGAACTCAACTCCACCAGAAACTGTTCAAGAATATCCAGTTTCAATAAGATGTAAGCAAGATTTTTACGTATCATTAAGATATACACTATTATAGTTCCATTGTTAATTGACAAAAACCATGGGTGAATAGTTCATATTTTAATTATTCTTATCTCATATAATAAAGTTGATGTCCAAATTCATGTAGTCTTTATTGTTTTTTGTGCATCATATATTCAAATGTCAATAAGACAATCAAATTGAACTAACTAACTAACTAACTAACAACTCAATGCATTTTTATAAATTATTTTCATTATAAAATAATACATACAAGCATATAGAAATAATATGATTATCATTACTATTACTAAGTAATGGGTTAACAACATAACTAATATGCCAAAACTGATGTAAATTGGAAAAGGCCATATGATGTTTTGACCTAGTACATATAAATAGGTTAGAAACTATTAACTAAATTTCAATTTTTAAGTGACAACTAATTCGAAAAATAAAATTATTTTATATGAAATTAATTATTCTTAGACAATATGGTTATGCTTGATTAAAATTGAGAAAAGAATTTCAAGTTTCCTGATTGTAGGTAAACACAGATCGTCTTTATGTCTTAATGAAACAGTTCAATAGATAAATGAAAGTAATTCATAACTAAAGATTTAAGATTTCAGTAATGATATAAATTATTGATGAGAAGGGGTTTTGTGGAGATTTTAGTATTTTCATAGTTGAAATCATGAGTCAATTGAAGCTAGACCACCATGAGAAACCTGGAAGCATCGGTTAATTGATCTGGCGCGAGACTGGTAGGTCCTGGGTTCGAATCTCGCGAGTACGGGGTCGTGGATGAGCACTGCTGAGGAGTCCCATAATAAGAAGAAACGGCCTTCCAGTACTTCCAGGTTTTCCATGGTGGTCTAGCTTCAATTGACTTATGATTTTAACTATATATAAAAATTACTTAAGATCTCCACAGAAAACCCCCTTATTAATCATTAATTTACAGTAAATATTTTTATTTTTTTATTATCCTACAAAATATTTGGAGAAGTTTTCATAATATTAGTGTGTAGAGGATCAATTATCAAGTACCTCTTTTAATTTCTAGTTATTTGATCAAATTTATTCGCACCTTCGCTGTCATCCCAACTGATAATTAAATACACAATAGATTAGTTTAAATCTTGGAAAATATTTTCTTATTTTAGTGTGACGTGACTCCTACACTTCTCTCAACAAATATCAGTTGTGAGTAGAGGGAATTTATGAAGATTTTTTGAATTTCACATTTAATATCACGAACTGTTATCATTCATACAACCACTGAAAATCAAGAAGCGCTAGACAGTTGTTTCATCCTAGTATGAGATTTACCATCAGTCTGCACTCACAATCATACCAAGAATCGAGTCCGGAATCAAGTTAATGCTGGCTCAGTAATCTAAAGCAATAAGTTCTCATTGAATAGTTATGTATTGCTGAATAGTGCAGCAGTATAACATAAGAGCTGTCCGGTAGTCCCCTGGTTTACAACGGTTGTTTAACTGTGATCAGTCTATGATATTAACTTGAAAATATCAACTGCCCAAAGAGTGAAATTTCTTAATACCATTTTTGGATACAAGACAAAAACTATAAAATATTGTCAATACAAGAAAAGATTGATAGTAGCTAGCAGTGGAATTCAGGACGTACGTTACGTCCTTTATAAGAATCTTTAGCTGGATGTACCTGCATCCCAGAGCTGATGTTCACTCAAAGACTCGACTCCCGTACTATTCGCCTCAAACTCAGGTACATCCAGCCGACAAGTCCCTAATAGGACGAAATGCGCGTCTTGGATTCCGATACTAACCACCATACATCTTTGTTTATAATGTATTTAATTTAAGGCAATATCGAGGCAATTGGCACATGATGTACATATGCCAATAAGAGAATGATCAATTGCAGTCCTTAAACATCGATGGGAAGTTTCAAACAAACAATACAAAAATAAATTATCAAGGCAGTTTCTTTCCATAAAAATAAATCAATGCTTATCTATATTTTTAAATACGTAATATTGAAATGTAGTTTAAATCTGGAGACCTTTGAAACTAAATGATATGACTATTAGCTCATTAATTTGAAAGGATGAACAGAATAATGACATTCGTATGAAAATGCATATCCTTTTAAGAAATCTAAACAACATTAAATACAAAGATGGATAGTGGCTAGCAAGGAATTCAGGACGCGCGTTTTGTCCTACTTCAGACTCATCAGATGGATGCACCTGCATCTCAGAGTTGATGTTCACGCTTGGACTCTAACCCAGTACCTTCCGCTTCAATGGAAAGATTCAAACAAGTAATACTAAGTGAATTTAAACGTTAAATACATTTTACAAATTCTAACAATCTGCTATTTTCATTTCTTTTTTATATAATCAAATGTATTTCTTTGACATAATTAATAACCCAGTACCTTCCGCTTCAATGGAAAGATTCAAACAAGTAATACTAAGTGAATTTAAACGTTAAATACATTTTACAAATTCTAACAATCTGCCATTTTCATTTCTTTTTTATATAATCAAATGTATTTCTTTGACATAATTAAAGAGTAGCGAAAAAAACTTAATACAAAGTTAACTTACTAATGCTCTTGCATTAACATCACATCCACGCTCAAGTAATAATTTCGCTACACGTACATTACCACAATGTGCAGCAACATGTAATGCGGTTAAATAATCAATCGTTGGATCGTCAATTTGTGCTCCATGTTGTAAAAGTAGACGTGCAGTATCCACGTGATCACCTTGAGCTGCCATATGTAATGAATTTAAACCACTCTAAATGAAAGATACGGAATGAATCAACGAAAAAAGAGTTGAAATATGTGTTTTTATTGAAATCCAAACATTCGAATGACTGCAAGTAATATAGGACAGACAAAAAGCAGTTGATTTTCAGTACTTTTATCTAACTATATATATGTATACATATACATGATCAAGGATAGTATGCAGATGGGTCAATGACAAATCGAATCATCATTTTAATTGTAACTTACGTGAACGTGAATATCTAGCCTGATAGATTGTATGGTCTTATAATTGTTTAGTTTTTATGTAGGGAACAAACACTCAGGTAGGAAGGATCAATTTACTATTGAGTGCAAAATTACAGACTGTCATTATAAAATATGAAAACTATAACATTAAATACATCATTTGCATATCTTCCAACAGTTGTCTCTTACAAACTTCATCGTTCTTTCATTCACACTGTTATTTTAAATTCTCTTTATTCACATTCCTGTTCTCTTCAGTTCGATCTTCCAATCTTCTACTGCCAGATATTTCACTTCTGATTGGTGTTACATACTTACTTATATCTGTCAACATAAGTAGCATCCAACACAATTATACACTGTATTGCATTATTATTATACAAATGGTATACGAGGATCATCAAGACCTTATAATCCCATGTAGATCTACTATTAATGACTTTATTTGTTTATATAGTTCTATTTTTTAGTCACATGTACACACTATGGCCATGGATAAAATAAACTAGTTAATGAAATTTTATCAGGAAATCATGAGATGCCAAAAATTAATACAAATAAATCAGCATCATTTATGTGTTTTGGCACATGACACAAAATTTCACTTTGCTTAACAGAAACTAATTTGAAATTAATTAAATTAAGAATTTATGTTAAACTTGATATTTAGTGAAATTAAGTTCTGTATCACAATATTGTATCATTGGATACTATCATGTATAACCTTTCATCGGTAATGATGAAAACATGTAGGGACTCACATAACGTGGCGTCATTTATCTATCCTTAGTTTAATTTTATTGGCTAACAAGCTAAATTGAATTGCATTGAAGTAGAAATACATTCTAGCATAGTAGTAAGTTGAAGGAAAGTAGAGGCCGGCAAAACTATAGAATGAAATCAGTCTATAAAGTCATTAACTGTTGAATTCAGCAAAGTTAGAGGATGAAAACTATCATATTCGGATCTGTATAAATATCGCAACCAATGATCGAAGACTTTGGATAATATGGTTTAGAATAAATCTCAATAACATAGATGTATTTATTCTTCATCTTGCCTTAGATATTGAGTTTTAGAATTTCTCTATAATTTTTATTTTGCAAACAACCATTTTTATAGAATTATATCGAATTTGATTAATATTTTCTAATACCACTGATAATGACACCATTTCTATTTTGGTATTTGTTTTGATAATTTCTTCTCTCTGTATTGAAATAGTGTATCAATTTGAATTGATTTACATATGTGTCAGGTTGTAAGCTGCTTATGACAGACTAACTAAATGTAGAAAATGTTAAGATTAGCTAGTAGTATGAATACCACACTCTCTACAGTACAAATTCATATCAGATTAACATAGAATTTTAGTATTCCAGATCTCTGACATGATTGAAATAGTTGAAAGCTACTTCATTGATTAGATATATTGTTTCTTCATCCTTATTAGTTAAATATTCGATATAAACTTTGTATGAATGAAAACATGATATAAATTTTCGATAATGATTCTTAAAAAACTACCTGTAAATTATGATTAATAGATCTTTTTTCTTAAACTTAAAGTACCTATCACTCGATCATTTCAAAGTCATTAAATTGTGTAAATAAAAACAATATCTAGTATTGTTCAATGCATAAACACCTAACGTTCTTTCTCATTTTAAATTCCTGACTATTTTGATTTACATAGTTTACATCCAAAACTGACATTAATTAGATGAGTAATGGAAATCAAGAAGTATTGGATAACCTTTTTAAGTGTACATGGAACTTCTCGTCAATGAAAATCCATGACTCCATCAAGTATCGGACCCAAGACTTTTAGATCTCATGACGAGTGACTGGCCACACTTTGGCACTGGGTCGTCATCCAATGACTTATATTTCTCAATCTAATTAAATCTTGATGATGCGGGACCACCTTTCAATGCCTAGAGTGGGTGATATAATAGTCTTGGATTCGAGTTTTGAAAGGGTTGTAGATGCATGCTGCTAAAGAGTCTGATATTCGAACGAAAAAATTGTCTACTTCTTTCTAGTTTTTCATATTTGTCTTGATTATAACAGTTCGTGACAAAAACTACTAAATAAATATATCATGCTGAAGTTTAATTGTTGTGGACTAATATATCAACTGTTGCAATATATTTTTTGTGTGCATATTATATTTATTATTAGAATAAGGGTTAGTAGGGATTGTAGTAACTTTTAATAGTTGAATTCATAAGTTGATTTAAGCTACTGAAAACCCGGAAGCACTTCATGGCCGTTTCATTTTAGTAAGGGGCTCCTCAGCAGAATTAGAATTAGACCATTCAATTTGAAAGACAACAGAAATTATCATCTGTTAAACAACTTCTGATGTTACCCGATGATGTTAAAAAAATATAATCTCCAGCTGAATGTTATTCAAAAATATTACAATAAGTAACCAAATGTACATCCATATACTAGTAACTCAGTTATATATTTTTTTACCAAAGAAGCAGTAAAGACACTCAATTTGACTGGTCCAAATAAATCAAGTTAAACTTCTGAACCACATTAAAAGTGATTTCTCATTTCTGCAAAGAAATCCTTTACAACAAACATTTGGATTACAAAAAAAAGAAACTGCTTAAATACACCATTGAAAATATTTTTAAATCTTACCCTTGTTTTAGCAGAGATATTTGCTCCAGCACTTAATAATAATTGAACAACTGTATCATGTCCAGATCTAGCAGCACAATGTAATGGTGTCAATCCATCACGTGTACGACAGTCAAGTTCTGCACCAGCTGTAATTAAACGTTCAGCTACACCTTGATTACCCCATTTCGATGCTGCATGCAATGGAGTTATATTGTTCTGTAGTAAGAAAAAATACAGAGTGTATGTGTATGTTGTGTGAGTGAAAATAATAGTAATAATAACTATTATTATTGATATATTTCTATGAATCAGTTTTAAAGAAGTAATTTATTGGAATTTATAAAAATTATACTAATGAACATATTGTTAAAACTTAAGGGAAGGACAAATAAGAGCTAATGTGTCAAGCTTGAGATGTCAATGAGAACTAGAAGTGAATGGATAACTGTTTTGTTTTAGCATAGATCTTTTCAGCGGTGAGTACCAACGACTCGATCAGGGATCCTATCCAGGGTTTTCGCGGTCATTACTCAGAAATTAACCAACAGAACCACTAGATTCCTGTTAAATGGTACAATTACAACTTCAATTAGTTCGTAGTATATTGAGGTGACCATTCAATATAACTGGTGACAGCTACTTCACTTCCAACATCTCTGAAATCAATGAATACAAATTAGATAAGAATCTATAAAACTCCTTTGGCCAAATTGTAAACGATAGTGAACATAATTTCCCATGACGAATCAACCTTAGTTTGAGATCCGTTGAAACCATGAGATGATATATAGTTTAGAAATCCTGGTTACCAATACTTACTCATGATATAATACAACCATTGATCTTATGATATTATATTCGAGTGATCATGTTTTTCTACTTAATCATTATTTAACACAATGTATGATATATGAGTTAGTGTTTACTAAATTGATTACATGGAAATATTTGAATAATAAATAACAAATACAAAAGTATAATTTGATAGAATTTATCAATTGATAACCATTTGATAGATGAATGGATATGATAAAAACCCTGAGAAAAAAAATCACGATATAAACAATGGATTACATTCTCATCATATATATATAGAAGTGGTTCGAACTAGGATTTATGACTCGTACGTAAGATGACAGCTGGTTGGAGGTAATCGACAGTGAAGATTGCTTTACATAGGTCTTTTGTTAGTTAGCACTTACTGGCCAGACGTACTTGGAAACGCGAGGAAACTGATGGTCCCTATCGGACTCGAATCCATGTTCCATAGCTACATAGTCTGAAACTTTGTCATGGAACTGTTTAGACGGCGAATAATGGGCGTTCAAATCTACCAGACAAAATCTATTCCATCAAGATTTCAGGCACACCTTGCCAATAATAAATAACTGGTATAAAATCTAGGTCAAATAAGGTTTCCTATAGACTGCCTTCAACCACTTAGCAACTAAACATAGTTCAATCAATAACTAGTCACTTAAACTTAATCAACAGAGTTCAAGCAGCATCAAAAGCAATAGAAAAACATAACATTGATCACTTTTCAAATATACAATCAATTGTAAACTCAACATGAAACTTGTTAGTTTCATTGTTTTTAAACTAATTAATTTTTCAATTGAAGGTCTGTAGAAATTGTCAATAATAAATGAATATGTATTTATTTATATTTATGATCATTAGTAAATTTTGAAAGTATTAAAAAGATAATCCTAAAATAATTTTCTTCATACTTACTTTAGCTTGAAAATTGATATTAGCACCACGTGATATTAATAATTCAGTCATATTCACATTACCATAATGTGCAGCGATATGAAGTGGAGTGAATCCACTCTAAAACAAAATAAGACATAAACGAAGAAAAAGTCAACAGATAATTTTCTAAAACTTTATAATAAGTAATTTATGATAAGTTTTAATTGAAATCATGAACCGATCAATGTCAAACCATCAGTGAAAACCTGGAAGCATTGAACGGCAGTTACCCATCGAAGACAATGGGAGATGGTTGCACAGTTTCATGGATTGGTTGAAGTTAGACATTAACACCATCGTGTGTCAGCTCAGTGGTCAAGAGGTTAAGAGTTGGCGCTTGACATCGAAGGTCCTGGGTTCGGATCCCATGTGTGGGATCGTGAATGGGCAATTCTGAAGAGTCCTATACTAGGATGAAACGGCCGTTCAGTGCTCCCAGGTTTTCAATGGTCGTCAAACATTGATCGATTCATAATCTGAATTAAGACTTAACAATCTCCGCAATCTTTTATTGATAATTTATGGTCTAAGGAATTTTATTTTCATTTTAAATAATATCAAGTAAGAATGTCGATATATATACAGAGAAAAACAAACATATTTATGAAATCGAAAATATTTACACTATAAATAGGATGGATTATGTAGCGAATAAGAGAATCAAATCGATTTTAATTACAGTTAACAGAATGTTAATTATCAATATGAGGTTTTGTGAAGATTATAGGATTTGCATTAAAATTTTAAATCATTAACTGATTTTAGTTAGACCATTGTTGAAAACCTGGAAACACCGGATGGCCGTTTCGTTCTAGTATGGAATACTTCAGCAACGGACATTCATGAATTCAAATCAATAGTAATCTAATTCACATTACCAGTTTGTGACTTAGAATCTGTGGTAATGATGACTGATAAATATTAATAGAAACACGTTAATCGTTTTAATTATTTGAGTGGTTTAGTGAAGAAATGGTATATTTTAAGTGGATAAATTATTAAGAATTGGTAAGTCCTGGATAGTTGTCATTGTCATAGTTTGGGATTTATCAACTAAGAGTATCAATAATAACTATGCATTGAAATGAAAATAAATCATTCAAATCTTATTAGAAAAATATTGTTGATCTACGATTGAAATATATATATGGGAAGATTCAACCAAACAATACCAAGTGAATTTAAACTTCACCCCATCGCACAAGCAAGTGGCTATCAGGACTCAGTAGCTAAGTGGATAACGCGATGACGTTTGAAGCGAACGGTACTGGGTTCGAGTCCCAGAATGAACATCAACTCTGAGATACAGGTACATCCAGCTGACGAGTCTCAAATAAGACGAAACGCGCGTCAAACTGGATTTCACTGCTATCCAGTATCCATCTTTGCTTATAAGGCTTGTGAATTTAGGCTATATCGAAGCAATACGCCCAGTATGCACATATGGCCAATAAGAGACTGGTCAATCGCAGTCCTAAACATCAATGGGAAGATTCAACCAAACAACACCAAGTGAATTGAAAATATAAATTGTCAAATTTGTATAACAAGAAGCAGTCCATTTGTTTACTTTTTAAATTTAGTTATATGTTTAACAGTAATTAATTATAACAAATATCAAACCGCCGCCAACTTCGACAACATATATTTACTAAGGTAGTGATAGACTGAACGTTAGGGACAGTCAAACTAAGATGTGGGATTAGTCCATGAAGTCATTGACTATTAAACGAAGCTGTGAGCACATTATCATAACCAAAGGTTGAGGGTGCTAAATGAAATAGTTTAGAACAGATGACAATCATGTAGATTCATTTACTATTTGTAGCAAAACACTCTTCATCCTTTCCTTTTAAACCATGATGGCTACGAATAATCTTTTCTACCACTACTACTTCTCGTAACATTACTACTTCTGATCTGGCAAATGTCTTGATAATTTCATCTCGTTATGCTGATGATATGTAATAACATGAATTGATGCACTTATGTGCCAGGTTGCATATAATTAATTGATTAATCAAATACTACACATTTATGAATTTACAATATAAAAAATGAGATAAATTATCACTTTAAACACATAACTTACAGCTGATTGATGATCTACATTGACATCACTATTTAATAATAAATTGGCAGCTTTAATATCATCCTTTTTAGATGCAATATGTAAAGCTGGTAAACAGATTTTACCACGAGAATCACTTTCTAATAATAAAGCAACTACACGATCATGACCTTGTTGTAAAGCTACAGCAAGTGGTGTAAAACCATCATCTGTAGTTAAACCAGGATTGGCACCATTAGATAATAGTAGACGTACAACTTCCAAATGATTCTCCTGAGCAGCCATATAAAGTGGAGTGAAACCATTCTGAGAATAAAAAGTAAAACAATGGATAATTTAATAAACTATAAAACAAAATCATTGTAAATTTTAATAAAATAATTTGAAAATATAAGGTTGTTTATTTGGCTTTATAGTGAAATTTTGTTTTGAAAGCTAGTCATTCATTCATAGTTAATACAATCTGGTATAAACAAAGGTTAGCCAAAGTTCCCATTACCATATCAGCACAATGCAATGGAATTAATATGAACAGTGCCAAAAATGAATCAAAATGATAATAGAATCAATGATAATGAGAAATAGTCAACAATGAAAAGTGCTCTTCGAAAACAATAGGTGAATTCTAGGAATAAAATGCATGAAATAATGTTGTAGCTCATGAATTTGAGGAAAGTAAAGAATGAACGCAGCTGGGCCACTGTGATGTGTCATGTTACCCAATAACTTCAACCATTAGTAAGTAATGGCTGCATTACCCAGTTATTTAAACTAAAGTGGGCAGAGTGGAATTCAAACGTATAACATATACCTCAATGGTTAAAAGGTGGACGCTTCAACTATTTAGTTATCTCTCACCACTTAAGATTCATATGAATCCTTGAATGGAGGATCAGTAGTAAGGTTATTAGTGATCAAAACATAACCAAATTTAAATAACTAATGAAATAATCAAGCTATTCCAGTTGCCAACATACATAGACATAAACGTGATAAAAATAACAGGTTAATAATACAAATCAACTTGATCAAATAACTTGCGAAACAAGAGGAACTTAATGTTAATTGTTTAAAATATTTGTGATGATCAGTATACTTTTGATTTACATAGCGGACTGACCTTGGCTATAGACAGCTATTGAAACCCTGGAGATAATGGATATTTATTTCAACATTGTATTGAATTTCCCATCAATTAACATCTATAAACTAATCAAAAATCAAACCTGAGATCTTCAGGTTTCATGACGAACTCTTAAGTTTCAAACAAGCAGATTGGCATTCAGTCATTCGCATCTATTAGTTCAATCGATTAGCGATATAATTTCAATTTATCCGCTTCTTAACTTGTTAAATACGTTTCGTTGTGCTAATGTAAATCTTAGTGACTTGGTTAGATACACATTCATACTAAAGTTCCGAGTTTTTCGTTAAACTATTTAAAATCTTAACAAATACTAACATTTACACACAAGAATATGATTGAAGATAAGGAGAAACAGGATTAGTGACGTATTTAGTCCTTCAGATTACTTATTTTATCTTCATCAATTTAGAGGGAAAGAGATTAAGATTTTTTATCTATTGAACTTCCTTCACAGCTCTTGCGTTAATGTTATGGGAGATAAAGTGATTCACATTCCTTCAAACCATTGTGTTCACAGAAATATATATAATAGGACTCTGTAAACAAGTGCATAACGATGAAAACAGTCTGGAAAGATTCATCACAGACAATAAAAACTATATTTTATTAGAACGTTAATCTAGTAGGGTTTCAAGTATAAACAAAACTTTATTTATAAACAGTAAGCTACTTATCGAAATAGATCTAAGAAAAAGTATACCTTAAAATAATAGGAAAGACCACAGAATAATAAACAAATAAATGGGGAATTGAAAGTTGATACTTTTTAATGAAAAGAGAAGTGTTTTCTGATGACTACAACTTTTTTCTATTGGGAAATCGTGATTTTTAAAGTCAACTAAATCTGCAGTGAGTTAGCTTACCAGCGATGAACTTTAATAATGGTCGTCGTCTAACCCAATTATGAACTGACTGAATGGATGAACAGTTGCATGCATACTATGAATGTTCTTATATGTCACGATTCCTATACTCTGTGAAATTAAAAGTACTTGATGCTGAAGATTCGTAAACTAGGACGAAAATTTCTATCCTTTACTATCGGAATAATAAATGGTGAGAACTATTTTCAAAGTGAGAAAGTCTTCATAACTACTCTAATTATGTAAAAGTATGTTTAGTTGTACTTTTCTGAAATAAATTAGATTACATTTATTATTATTGACTGCATATACTGTGCCACTTCTATTCGTATATCACATTGGTCAATCAATACAACAACAAAAATCACAGATAATAAAAAGTATGCTACATAACTATTTGATAGATATTCTTAAAAGCTAAAATAGTTATAAATTTTGCAGTACTCTATTCTCATATTTTATTTTAAGTATAATTGTTTACTTTTAAAAGCTTTGTAAGAAGTAATTACATTCTTTTTAAAAAAAAACAATTGACGAAATAGTAATAAAATAAGTGTTCATAAGATAAAGAAACAATAAACTGAAAAAATGAGTGATGCTATTACAGCCCCGCTCATCGACAGTAATTAGCAATTAGAATAGTATAATAAGTCATTTTGTAAATTGGTACCACTGACCAACAATGATTAACTGTAACCATGATCTAAGAAAGCTGTAAAAATGCTAGTAAAAAAGACTAATAGATAACTGGTATTTCTCAAACGAATAGCAATTAATAGAGATATTAAAAAAAAACACCGAATTCACTAAACTAATATAAAGGGTCTTAAATTGTTACAATTCAACAAATTGAGTCGCTATATGATGTGACCATAATGAGATGATAGTATTAAGATAAGCACCAAAGTAAAAGAATTATTAATAGTAGTAGTTACCTTGATACGGTCAAGGGTTTGGAGATTCAGGTCCTCCTCCCGAAATGCTTTCATATGGTCACGCGTATACGTTCACTGTCAGGGAATTCCTACTCACTAACTTCTTGTGGTGAGGGTATTGCTTACGAAATCGAGAGGTCAAAAAGCGAATGTCCTGCGCTCTAACCGGGTCGGTGGATATAAAGGATCCACCTAGGGAATTTGGAATACCCTCATTTCAAACCAATGGTGTACATGGGCTCCAAGATCTTTAAGGAACAAACTGCGTATGAACCTATTGTTAGTCAACGGCTATCATGGGACTGCATCTCCTAACGTAGTTCCACTGCCTTGTGTATTAGACCTGTGGGTCTAAGGCTCGGAGTGTGACCCCCTAAGAAAACTACTTGCTTCAGTTAGGTCACCCGGGCAGTATTCAAGCCCTCACACAAATCGAATGACAAAGTGTGGCGCATATATATTTGGTGCCTCCTTGAACCAATATTTATGTGTTTAAATAAATAAATAAATGTAGTATTATTACTGTCATCATTATTATTATTGTTATTAATGGTAGTAGTGTGAGCAGAAACACAAAATCTCTTTAAGCAAATCAACTAATTTAAAAAGAATAACACGACATTAAATTAGAACAAAATTATCATTTAATTCCATACAACAATCAACTACCTTGGATTAATAATAACTCAGACAGAATTAATATCGTTTGAGTAGATCAGCTCTAGGAGTTCATGTAGATGATAACCCAAAAGACTTCACCGGTTAATATATATTTAATTATACCTAAATCTTTTTTCTCGACTTTATTCTTTGTATAAAAATATTATTTTGTATATATATTTACATACTATATAGTACAGTGCTATACAAAACTAACACATTCATTTAAATTCGACATGTTTAAGACCACACACACACACATACATACATACATATATTTATATACACCCATATTATTTATGCTCATGTATCCATTTTAACTATTCTGGTTTAATCTTGTCAAAGAAAAAAAATCTGTCATATTTTACAGTAGTTAGTGAAAATGTCTCTTTTTTGGATAGATGGTTTAACAGTTGGTTGCTAACTTATATTCTTTATGTTATTATGTTACGGTTACTTTTTTATTTGCTATTACTGATAATTAATCTGTATTTTTTTCTTTTAGTGATACAGAGACAAAAGAGTAGAAATAGAAACCGGAATGAAAAATTCCGTTGTTGTCAACTTGCAATTGTGTGTATTATACTACTTACTTATTTTGACAATTTTTTTGTCTCAAACACATACACACACACAGTACTTTGTATTCCTTCCTAGGGTATCCATTATGTCTTATCCATTATTAACCAATAATATTTATTTATTAGGTCAATGTATAAAAAAATAGTCTTCCATAACTAAATAGTAAGCTAATTAATAGATTAACCAACTGTCTGCGTTGTCATACCGTCAGTCAGTCAACTTCACACTGATGGTAAATTTCCTCAATAATAATAATACTATTATACTGTCAATCCAATAAGTAATTCCATATCCATGTTGGATGTATGTATATAGCATGTATGTATTTATGTATAATTGGAGTACTTAAAATAAAAGACCAAAAGAAATCCATAGATGACACTCATCGATTAAGAAGAAGAAAAAAGATCAATAACAACAACGTTCATATATGTGTACGCATGTATAGATGTACGTATATGTGATTATCAATGAGTTGAAATAGGTAACTATGTATGAAAGTAATTAATTAGCTGAATCAGTAATCAAATGATCTCTACAAACTGCATTTGTGATGATTTTACTAAGTTCTAAAACATTTCCAGTGATCGGTTAAGTCAACCAATGATATTGGGTGACTGATGTACGATTATATTGTTGAGTGACTGAAGTCAATAGAATGGATGTTATGGGTTACCTATAATGTTGACTTATAGGCAGCACACTCCTGAATGGTATAATGTTATGATAATGACACAATTATTAAGTCTTAATTGTTTTTTAAATCGTTTTCCAGTTGATATCGTCTCGTAATAAAAACTCGACTTGAAATTTAAAAGTTTCCACTAAATCAGCTTAACGTAAATTTCTTAGAAATAAAAAAAGTTACACTGAAACTAAAATTTCTCAGAAATAAGAAAGTGATTTATGATAGTAGTTACCAACCAATAGACTTAAACAATAGTTAAGCAATATTGTGAATTGATTGTATTTGGAAATATAAATTTTTGAATACCGATTCAATTTCTTAAAAACCGAACACTAGCCATAAAACTTGATAGTTCTGGGTTCAATTCCCTCTAGTGTCATGGATCTTCATTATGGAACAGTTACGTGCTAGTATAAAACAGTTGTTTAGTCCTTTCTAGTTTCAAATAGTTGTTTTATGTAGGCCAGTTCATTGTGGAAACTATAGAATGACACTAACTATTAGCATGACAACAACAACAAGAACAAAACAAGCAGTACTATAAACTAACCTGAGCTTGAATATTTACTTCAGCTCCAGCTTCTAGTAATAATTTAACCACTTCAAACTGACCAGCTAAACTTGCAATATGTAAAGCTGTATTCCCTTTTTTTGTAGCAGTATTCGGTTTTGCACCACGTTCAATTAATTCACGTACAACTTCTGCATGGCCTTCTTTTGAAGCCAAATGAAGTGCATTTAAACCATTCTAAACAATAAAGAAAAAAAAGAGAAAATCATTTTATAAAATAGAAGAGAATTTTTTTTATTGGAGAAAATAAAATTAAAAAGTAACAAATTATTTAATCGAATTGAATTAATTTATTATCGAAAGGAACTTTAGTAAGGATAAGAATTTGAACGGTTGCTCAAACTTCGTGGATTGGTTGAAGTTAGACATTAACACTGTTGGATGCCAGCTCAGTGGTCTATCGGTCAAGTGCTCTGGCGCGAGACCGGTAGGTCCTGGGTTCGAATCTCGTGAGGCAGGATCGTGGATGCGCACTGCTGAAGAGTCCCACAATAGGACAAGATGGCCGTCCAGTGCTTCCAGGTTTTCCATGATGGTCTAGCTTCAATTGACTAATGATTTCAACTACATAAAATTACTAAAATCTCCACAAAACCCCCTTCGGAATTAAAATTAGTTGAAATAAATTATTTGATCAATCGTTATTCTCTACAGGGGATTATTTCTTACTCGGATGAAATACCAGAACTACCGATAACGGAATGAGTGGTGTCAGTTTGGCTAGACAAAGGACGGCTAGATAGTTGGATAAAAAGGATGCACCAAACTAATGTGTATCAATCGGTAAAATGAGTCTATACTCTCCCAATAGTTAATTCAAATCTAAAAAAGGCGTACACATTAAAGTGTAAGATCACTGAAACGATATGACAACTAGACTGATCCCAATAATAAAATTACATCATCTTTAGGTTCACAGTATGTGAGTGACATACTTACATTGTATGAACTGAATGTAACTAATAAAATGCATTTCACACCTGACCACACCTTTAAAATGCGCTATATAATTGTCAAAATTAGAGCTTATAGATGTTATTGAGTACAGTTAAGATTGAAAATCGACATAATTTAGTTGAGCAGCATTGCAAATCCATTGAGATCAAAATTTTAAATCATTGGATATCAACTTAATGGTTTGAAGGTAGAGCGCTTGCCATGGAGCCCAAAAGCTAAAGTCTGACCCCTTAAAAGGTCAGACGAACAGTGCTAAGGAGTACCATACTAGGCCGAAACGGTTGTCTAGTATTTCTGGTTCTCGAAGGTCATCTAACTTAGGTAAGTCTGTAATTTTATTACAAATGTGATCATTTACTTAGAGCAAATAATATACATACATATATTAAAAACTGATAACCAACAATAAACAAATCAAAAATATACAAAATTAAGGAAAGAACAATTGGATAATCATTCTAGGGAATCGAATACTGAGTATTATTTTTATTGACAAGTGTGAGTTAGTTGGGTTAGACATAAACAATACAAAATTTGCTATATATGTATATATATAGCCCTAAATTTCCTACATAATCTTGTTAAAAGGAGTGGACATCAAGAAAACGTATTGAGAACAAAGAATTAAAGATTATGTTCATGATATCAAAAGAAACCAAAGGTAAGGAATTTGGTTTGAAGAGAAAGAACTGAACTGAAAAATAGAAAAGTAAGCAATAATGTTAATACATAAGATCCTAATGAAGATAAGTAACAAAAGAATTTGTACAGCGACTTGTTGGTGAAAGAGTCCCACGGCACCTACTGTGGTTCGGGCAACTTGGCATTATTTTCAGTTCTCATTTTTAAAGTATAGAGCATACCTCAGTACTTTCTGCATGAGTTAGTTTGGATGTTTTTATATTTACCTCTGGGTCAGAATAACACATTTTGAGTTATTTCACCAAGATCCCTCCAACCATCGATTATAATTGTTGTGTAAACCTTATGTCAATAAGTCTGTATTTTCTAACAAGGTTCAAATCAACAATCAGTAACTTCATAGACTGATGGTACGCATTGGTCTGGTGGTCTTTAGTTTTTTTAAACCTACTCATTTACTAGCTAGTATTGTGAAGAAATTTATTGTGTTATAATATGCTTCACATATATTTCAACTCACGTTTTTAAAGTAAATACTAGTAGTATACGAATATTTCGTACAACTATTCTAAAATGAATTTAAAAGTGTAAAAAGTATCAATGACGATCTCTATATTCACATCCCTACAGGAATTTATAATGATAAAATATGTGAATTTGACTAGCATAGAATGACCATGCAAAAATGATGCTAACAGTTAGTCATTGACCAATCTCTTGTCAACATCTCCATCCTAAAGGGAGTTAGCTGCGGCTTGAACAACTCAGTGGTAATATCTTACATTATGAAGACGGATAATATGGGTTCTGATACTGCAGGTAGCATCAGTTCCCTAGAGATTACAGCAGCGTATTGCTAGTGAACACCAACTATCAAGATACTCGAATTTATGGTCTTCCACCGACTTCCTTCAACCAATTAGCAGAGTAAAATTTAAAATAATTCATTAGTCAATGATAAATATTGCCTTTCTACGATAATTCAAACAAATTCACTAATAAACATAGTGCACTGATATATAAAATACAGTGAAAACTAAAAGCACAGTGTTAAATGCATATATATTTATTTTTCACTATCCCCTTAAACTTACTGCATTGCAGGCATGTACATCTGCATTGTGTTCATTGATCAGTAGTAAAACCTTTTGAATATTTCCAGCACGTGCAGCCCGTAAAAAATGCTGACCTATATCTGACTAAATATTTATAAAATAAATCAAATTAGTAATTGTTATATGAGAATTTTAACAATTCTAGTTGTAAATTATCCTTGAAACTCTTTTGTGAGCTTTTAACCTTAGCATATAAAATAATGATACGATGATGGCACTTTGTATTTAAAATTGAGATAAAGTTATGGTGGTGAATAAGCAAGGTTAAGAATAATTATCACCCTTACTGAATACAAAACATTACAGTTCTTCAAGTTTTATATGCCTCGGAAATTAGTTTAACATCAAAATTTGTGAAAACGATTTACATTTACTATGTTTTTTAGATATGACTCGCCAAGAAAAACGTGTAGTTGTCTTGAGGACTCACCTTCAGGTTCATCTGTATACAACCCGTCAATGTTCAAACAACGCATGCTGATGACGTGGAAACATGGGCTTTCATGTTGGCTACCTCCTGCTTTGAATGAATTCTCCAGTTTGGTAGTGTGAAACTGGCCAATGATTTGCAACCGGTATATTTTTATTTTTGGCTCTAGGGTTTAGTTCAGCGTCTGGACCTGTACAGCTCCTTCTCAACATCGCAAGAACACTAGATAATTGTGCACATGCAGCACTTGATCTGGATGTCTGTTTCACAAGGAAATGAAACAACTTCACAATGTTTGTTTCCACTCTAGTCAGTGTTTAAATAAGATTCATCTTTACTTTGTTTCTGCTGCAACGCAGCTTAGGTTTACCCTTTATCGGAAAATTATGATCTTTTAGTTATTTCTGGTTGATCTGTTGCGTTCTTTGATGTTAATCTAATTCTAAATGCTATCTTTTCCACATCATGTTGTGAAAATGCTACTTGGTAGAAAGTAACGAGTATCACACCCCCAGAAACCTTAACTCGAATACATTTTCAGAAAACAAGTCTTTTTCCACACAGATTGTATTAAAGCGTTTAAAATGATGAGGAAAAGTAATCAAATGATTCAATTTTATCTGAAAGCAGCTTAAAATATGCAAATATATGTCTAAAAACTCCATGAAATGACACAATCTCAGAAAATTGTTTAATAAAGCAAAGTCAAAACCAAAAAAAAGCAATAACTTTCATAATATTAGCGGCGAAATAGTTTACACAAATAATACAAATGTGCTATGAGTGAGACAGTTTCTCCTCTCAGAAACCAGTTTCACAGCATTTAAAAGTCTGTTTAAAATGACAGCAGCATAGATTGTAAACAATATCAACTACATAATTCAGACTTTGTAAAATCACTCCTTTAACACCTGGTGAAAGTCTTTTAGAAACCGCTTTCATTTGTACTTCATAAATCTTGCATCCAACGACCCTATCCAAAAAACGAAAGTTAACGTGTTATAGACCTATAGCATTAGGCTACTTACAAGTCTTCTCATACAAAACATGAAATAAATGTCAATCGCTAATAGAAATGAAAACATAAACTCATGTTTGGGATTCTTAGATGGAGTTTAGACAATTCACTTCAGTTACGACTGTAAAAGAAACTTTTTTGGATTGAATAAGGCGGAGAAACGAAAGTTATTCACGAACTTCCTGCTACGACCTTGAAACGGTAGTTATGCTAAATAACAAAGAACAAAACGCATGAAGTAATGTGGTTGATGGCAGAATTAATGGACAAGACTGACAAACCATGCTTACAGATCAATATCTCGTTGGAAATAAATGCACTAACTGCATAAAAAGAAGCAAAGAGACTGAAAATAAAAATAAAAATCAGGTATTAAGGTTTTGAGTGTACGCAAAAGTGAATATCTTTGAGTCATTTTTCTGTCATGGACCATGATTTAAACGCTTGTGAAAAACTTTCGGGTAGTTAATATATACCTATACGACACTAATAAACACTCAATAAGCCTATTTTTTGCATAATGTTTATCAGGCACATATACTCCTACGCTATATGTTTAACTATAAATACACTATATTACATCTACAGTCATTATAGTAAAAGCAGTGTGAACGACTTATCTCGTACCCAAATTCGATTAATCTATGCAGCTGAACCCTAAAGATTAGTCTAAACTTGTTTAATTTAAATTTATGTAGAACGTATATATTTTTTCCACCACATATGGGAAATATCAAAGGATTTACAGCTATCGTTCAATTAATTCAAAAGAATTGATGTTATTTACGTCATTTTAAACGTTGAGGGGCTGATAAAATTTCTAATTTAAAACAATTTATAGACCACGACATTTATATGTATGAACATCATGTATATACATAGTTTAGTTATGAATGTCAAAAGAACTTCTAGTCACATGCCCGAGTCGATAGTTTTAGGGAAATATCAGCTTACCTTCTTAGTTATGACAGATGTATCGTCTTCTCCCAGATTCGTACTATCCCTACTTTTGGTCATTTGCGTTGAAATTTAATAAGCGCAGAATTATGAAGCGAAACACCATTGATGTAATTTGAAGTTTTAAAACACTTCTGACCTCTCAAATATGATAAATATATTGTGTTCATTCTCACGGAAACCATCTTCTTTAAAATAAAACGTCTTTCTCAATTTTCTCTTTCATTCGCCTGGAACAATTGATCCAAGTAAGGAGTTTCAGGCCATTGTGGAATAGTAAAACCTAAAGTTGATCAAATCCTTATTTACGGTATTGGATTGAGTTATAAAACGTTAAGTAACGAGCTGGACCGCACCTTGCTAGTTTATAAGGTTGAATATATAGGTTATCAGTGAACTAATAACAAGCTTAGACTGTTTATGATTACATTCAATCAAATGTGAAGTAGTTGCTGGAATAAAATATTGTAAGTGGAGTTTCGAACTTTTGAAGAATGGGGTGTTAAATGTGCCAGTCATAAAGCCTTTGATAAATGTTTAAAGTGGTCTGAATATTCAATAGTTTCTTCGGTAGCTACTCCCTGTAGTATGCACTTAACTTTGAACCTGAGATGGTTGGGTTGACCAGGGACCTCCTATTGAGATTCAGACATTATGATTAAGGCAGTTAGTTACTATCTTATTTGGTACAGAGATTATATTTCCTTTTATCATAAATTAAACGTCGAAAGATCTGTGCCTGTAAATTAGGACGTTATGCTAAAACCATCTTAACATTTGTTCTATCACCATAAGGATACAAATGAGCACTGATCCAACAAAATTACGCCGGATTCAGTCTATTTTGTCATCTTATTTTAAATTAAAGTCCATACCGGTAATCCACATGTACAGAATATTCCACTTTTGGAGAGGTATTCTTGGCAATACAAATAATCTGATTTGCCCAACGGTATTTACGAGCGTAGATTTAAAGTAAAAGCGTAGACGGTTAATTTTTCATGATTATTTCTCAATGAAAAGTTTGGTCACGCAATAGAAAAATAACTGGTTTCAAAAGACTTTTGTGTAAGTTCCCTAATAGCTTATTTTAAGGAAGGTACCACACTTTTCAAATTTGTGTATCTCCCACTCTCAATAGCATATTTTGCTATTTTGGATTTATGTGCGTGACACGTATGCTGACATGATATCTCATTATCATGTAGGACGGAGTCACATGCATTCTTTACCGAAATCGCAAATGGCATAACCAATTGCAATTGGTCACCTGTAAATTTATAATTTTTTCACATGAATATTAAAATGAACAGTCAAAATTGAATACACTTTCTATGCATTACTTGTACATACTTAATTTGTGTCCTTTACATTAGATCATGCACCATTTTATACACTACGTATAAATCTTATTCTACGTTATAGCACTTTTCAGAGTACACTTTATTGTTTAACTGTTTTTCTTCAACCGTTTCACCTGATGAACTTCATAGACCTGGTCTCACATGTATGTACAAGGAACCGGTATCTAATACAACACCTCAATGTGTACAATGAGGAGGACTGAAAATGGCCTCCAAACTTCTCTAAATTTATGAGCTGTTCTTAAGCTTCGTCAAGCAAAATTCGTTTTCTGGTAATCAGTAACGACAGTTGACGTATAGGGTGAAGCATTTTTTCCCACACCTTACTGTGATGGATAGAAGATGGTGGATTTAAATGGCTTTGAATTAACCTCGGGACTATTTCTCATTTAGTTGATTGCAATTTTTAGTTCAGAAACCACAACTCCGAAATTCAAATTATTTCAGATTATATTTCCGTGGACATCTCCCTTCTCCCCCAAAAAGCAATAATGTTATCATAAACGAATAAGCGTATTTCTAAGCCAGGCCACTATTATAACTAACTCCATCCACTTTAGTTAACGATCCCAAAGTGAATAAGATTCGTGTTTTCTAACACTTATTCCGGTTTGGATTATCAACCTTAGACGCGGTATGAATATCAATGTCCTTACAGAGAATGAAATACAGTGTAATTAATTATCCTCAAATGTCAAGCCAGAACTGGTGATCGAACAATCGCACACCAAACTGTTTATTCAATAATTACAGGAATTTTGTTCACAGGTACAGCAATACGAGCACGATGTCGATTGCAACTACAGGTCCCATACTACACAACCACAAACGGTTACAATATGATGATACTGGCGCTTGAAAATCAAACGTTACACAATCTAATAGGATAGATGGTTCAACACTCCATCTCCCTTGACAGACGTTCAAGCCCGAAATCCAGAGTTGGACATTCCAAGTGCTCTAAAGAAACGTCAACTTCATCTTCCTTTAAAAACCTAGAACTTTCTAACGTAACTTTCAGTTGATTTCCCTTTAACTGGCTCTGGAAGGTACCATCTTGTGTGTTATGCTCAAAATTCCTGTAAAACCACGGGTCTACTAAATAATATTCAACGCAGACTCCACAAATCGCCAATTTTCAAATTTAATATTACAGTTTCACTGACACAACCTCTTCTTCTTCCGTGGTCTTACAGTTCTGTACCATAATTGACACTGTTTGGAATAACATTCCTTCTATTTGACTTCTGTCTTATGATTTTGCGACTTGGAAGGGTTCTAGCGTTCGAGGACTCAAGTATTACGCGACATATCAAGAATCTAACTTCAAGATATAACAGTAAATATGTTAGTGGGTATTGAGCGTGTTGGTTGACTGATTGAATTGTGTTAGTGGTTGTCGTTGTCATCCATCGGTTGTGTAGTCGTGGTAGTCACATTGTGCTAGTAAAGAGGTAAGTAAATGATGAAGCAGATGTTGTTTTATTGAATCATAATGTATAGCATATATGGTGTATCGATGGTGTTATTAGTAGAATATGTGTAAAATATTAATGATGATAATCATAGGGCAGACTCTGATGTGGACGCTGTCCGTGTGATTACAAGTTCTATATGTCTGATATAGATATTTTTGTAGACAGGTTGAGTGTGGTGTTGATCCGAGTTGATAATGCGTGTAAATTGTGTTATTTCTTTTGTATTGATTGATGCAGGTGTTGGTGTTAGTGTTGACGTTCGTTGTGTCGTGAGGAGTGGATTTGTGAATTAAGGGAAATATTGATGGATGGACGTACGAACGGTTTGGTGTTGACAATTGCTGTTGTGTGCATCATCATTATAATGATTTGAAGATGACAATTGACAAGAGGTGGGTTTTGATTTTCTAATGATATAGATATTGATAGTGTCTGGGGAAGAGGTGATGTGATGACAGGATTTAGTGTTTGTGTGAAATTGATAGTGTGGTAGTTAATGGATCAATAAATCTGTGATGATATCTACATGCACCACTATGAACTGTTTGTTTGTGAACAAACAGTGTTGTATTGGATTTAGATCTGAAAGCAGAGTGAGAGATGGAGCGATGTTACTTTACTGTTAATGATATTAGCGATTTGTCTTGTTAATATTTGTGAAATGAGTAAATTGAATGTTTGTTTGTTTTATGTTTTTTAGGTGGTGTTAATGAGTCTTTTGGAGTTGATGATGTTGTAGGAAGATGATATGAGATATTTGGTTAGTGGGTAAGTTTAGTAGAGTGGAGTGGAGTGGAGTAATTGTTTTGATAGTGTGACGAAGTGGTACATGTATTTTAGACGATATAGTTAATGAATTGATTGTATATATACTGTTTGTTGATGTTGATGGTTTGTGGTGAAGTACATTTGTTGCTGTATAAAACTCACTAGTACTATTATTTCTAGTGTATCCTGTCTACAGCTACAGTGGTGTGTGCATATTAACCACAGTGTGTGAATATGCATAGAAAGAAGTATTGTTCATGTATTTTTTAAAAAGAGTGTAGTGTGTAATTGTTTGTTAGTAGTAGTAGTATTCGAAGAAGAAGTAGTAGTAGCGTTTGTTGTTGTTGTTGTTGTTTGTTGTGTGTAGTGAGTGTCAGTAAATGTGAATGTAATGAGTGTGATGTGATGGTAGTGTTTAATAATGATGATGATGATTGTGGTGGTGTTATTTGCATGTGTTTGTGTGTATGCTGATAATGTTGGTAAGAAGATAGATGATGAATGAGAAGGCGACGGGCGAACTGAGAAATATGCAGTTGTGCTGATTCGCCGAGTTCTGATTTTGTGCAAACTAGTGTTGGGACTGTGATTGATTGTGTTTGACAAATTGTAATTGTATTTGGATAAGAGATATTAACACTGTGTTTTAATGTGTTTTTTTCTTTGTCAGGTGCGTGACCGAGCAAGCAAGCGTGTGTGTGAATGAATGTGTTGGTGAGTGCCGGATGGCGATGGGATGAGGAGTTGAGTAATCAACCGGGTGAGTGTGTGATTATATGCGTTGATGTGCATGTATGTGTTTTTCTATGTTTGAGTAAATGATGTGTTACCTACATTGTGTAATCAGTTTGAAATGAACTGAAATGATGCTGAATAATGATAATGTTAATATTGGAGTTTGTTTTATTGTTGTTCTTCAGGTTTACTGGTGGGTGACCATCTCCATTGGGTGTGGCCAGTGAGGGAATGATTGTTTACAATGTGATGCGTTGGGATAGGTGAGTGTTGTGTGTCTGTTTTGTTCGAGTGGTTTAATTACATTGTAGATATTTGTAAATATTTGTGTAATAAGTAATAGGTAGTATGGGATGATATAATGATGAGTGTTTATCTTTCGGGTCACCAGTTATGGTGTGATTTGACATCTGAGTGACCGGTGTGCGTAAGAAAATCAGTGTTTGGTGAATTGTATGTTAAAATGTTTTTGTTGTTGTTGTATATTTGTAGATGTGTGATAGTCGTCCAGTGAATGAGCTGATGATGTGGATTTGAACGTGAATGGAGACTGTGGGGACTTGTGATTGATGATTGGGCACTGTTTTGGCAGGTGAGTAGTGGATGATGAGTGAGTGATGTGTGTTGTAATTTTATTGTTTACTAGTGATGACTAAATAGATGACGAGTGTGAGGTGTTGATCAGTGACCGCTCAAAACGAGGCATTTGTCTGACAGTGTGATAGTTGTGTAATTCTAGTTTATATTGAATTGATGGATATGTACTAGTGATTTGTGTTTTGG